ATCCCATCCCATCGCATACCCATCTCAACAGTCCAACCCAGTTATTCTATCTAGTCCATGCCCGTCCTATTCTCCCCATCCACCCCATTCACTCAACCGCTCCAACCTCCACACCCCCCGCTCCCAATTCATACACAAGTCCATCAACTACCTAACCATTCCTCCCCTCATCCCTCCCTCCATCCACCCAAACTTCCATCCACCCAAACTTCCAAACCACAAACTTTCTCACTACAAACTCCAATCTTCAAACCCCCTAACCCTTCCTCTCCCTCCAACACTACAACCCTCATACCCCCCTCCCCGCCCCTCATGTAGGAACCTAAAAAAGGCAAAAAGGCAAAAAGGAAAAAGAGAAACTGCCTCCCAACTCCCTCCCAAATATCTATCTATCTACCACACCATCCTGATCTTATCACTATCTATTCCACCGCAATCAAGCCGTGGCCATACTGCATCCAAGCCCATGCATGCAAAATCACAATAGAAGATACTCACGCGAGATCATGGCTATAAGCAAGCAAGCGAAGAAGCAGAGGAACCATAGGAACACCCAGTCACTCACCACTCACTAATTCACCACTCACTAACTCACCACTCACTCACTCACAACACAAAAAAACACACACGCGTATACCCATTAAAATGAGATTTTTTATTCCATTCCATATCAATCCATATCAATTCCAAACCATCATAGTTCATCCCACTTATACCACTTAATCCATTTGTTATTTTATTTTTACTCCCTCCCGATACAGTTTTCCCTCGAAACAAAACACTCCATATGTAGGAAAGAAAGCAAATACCCCATACCAGACCATCGCAAATATCAAAGCCCACATCAAAGATTCCCCAAATTGTTGTTTCGCCGTAAATGCCACGAGACAAGACAAAATAGCAAAATCCTTTCCCACCAATTATTACCATTTGAACATCCCGAAAAAACAAAAACACTAAAAAATTACTCCTTCCTTGTTGCCGCTGACGAGAATCAATTAGACTCCTGCAATATGTGCCGAGAAGCAAAGCATGATAGCGAGATGGTAAAAAACTCGCTTCCCTCCATCCAGAACCTGCCTTCCGATAAATTCTGAAAAGGTTCCATACGCCTGCCATGCCAAGCCTATTATCGATATTTCTTTTTGTCCAGTTTCCATCCACCACGCACAAACATCTGCAGATAATCAATCAATCATACCGTTTCCCTTCGCGCCTGTTTTCTATGTTCATTCATAATATCATAATTATCCCCATACCGAAGCCTGTACACCAAGATTCTTGTTACCCCAAACACCACTCTTGGATCCCCAACCCAATCCACTTTCAGTCTGTCCTTGCGAGTTTGGATTTGACGAAGCGGAAGTCGTTCTTGCATCCTTAGATTCCGTAGTCGAATCATTAGCGGCAAAGCCATAACTCAATGGTGATGGCAAAGGAGTAGTGGATCGTTTATTTAGAGCTGGATTAGCAGCTTGACCACTAGGTCTAGTGCCAATGGGCGCGACGCCGCTAGCAGAGGCCTTACCTCCTTGGCGTGGCGGGGACCCACCAGGGGAGGAAGTCGAAGTCCGACTAGACTGCTGAGCAGCAGATTCGAAAAGACTAAAGCTGGTAGGGTTGGACGACGGAGAAGATGTGCTATTAGCGCGAGATCGTTGTTGACCCGGAGCCTGTGCGGTTGTAGCTGATTGAGGCTCCGTAGTATTTTGCTGATTTGAGTTTTCGGCCTGGGTAGCTTGGCATTGAAGTGGTCAAAGGCAAGAGGGGAGTGTCCACGAATAGCACCAGGGGCAGGGTTAAGGGTTTGAGTGGTAGACCCTTGAGTTGTTGGGCGTGGTGTACCATTTTCATCAAAACCGCCATTTTCGGCATTGAATGCTGGACCCTCTCCGTAAAGAGCACTTCTCTGACGGGCAATCAACTCACGGCGTTCTTCCTCGCTCATGCCGCTTCCTGGGCTTGCGATACGGTCTGGCTTGCCACCCAAGATCTCAGCTGTGACGCCTTATTTCAGTCAGTAAATGTGCAGAATGCGGTATCAAAAGTAAATAATAAAGATGTCGTTTTCTTTTTTCTCATTTCACACAGAACAATTGTAGGCGAGAGGAAAAAAAGTCATGTACAGAATTTTGACTGATATGAACGAACCGCTGGGAAGAGCCGCTGGGTACAGGGTATTTGACAAATAGAATTTTTATACAGCGGAAGAGGGTGGCCTACTTCGATTATACTGCTGCTCTTGATGGTAATTGCGCAGTTCTCTCTCACGCTGAGCCGCCATTCTCCTCTTCGCCTGCATCACTTGTTCGGCTTCATTTGCGCCTCTCGAAGGTTGGTGTCGCTGACTCGCATAGAAGTTCTGGAGATTGGATCCCGAGAAAGACCGAGCATCACCGCCGAAATCGCTAACTGAGTGGTGTCTTGGAGGACCGGCAGTCATTCGAGGATCTGCAATCAACAGGTTAGGGCCAAAGAATTTGAAGTTGTCCTCTAAAAGTGGAGCATACCAAATTGTTCCGGGAAGGTTCTTGAAGGACCAACCACTGGCATGGAATCGCGACGACCACCAGCTGGTAGGTTGAACATCTTTCCGCTCTTGACTAAGTTGTCAATGGCACGGTCGACCTCTGTATATGATTTCATCAGCTTCTTGATCATGATAATTCTAGCACGATTATCATCGAGGCCATATGATAAAATCGTTCCCGTCGTAAGCCAGACACCAAACTTTATCCTGCGCCAGGCAAAAGCCAAGATGATCAATCACTATGACCAGTATATTTCATTGAACGTACCCTCAATTTGTGTGCTGAATGCCGTGGAGTCCTCGCGCGGAGCAACTGAGTTGGCACCTGTAACACTTGGTCAATTGACACCCTGGCGATAACATCAAGAATTTCCCAACATACCAGAACGAGCTGGCGGGGTTTGTTGCTCCCAAGATGGTTGCCCAGCGGCAGACCATTGCTGATTATCGTAATAAGACATATTTGCTGGAGGGTCGATTCAAAAAGATGCTTTCTAAAGAACTGAAGCCTGCAGTGGTGGTCGATCTGATTGAAAGGAACGTGAACGACTAAAATTGTCGTGGGGATGGAAATTCTATACAAAGTTTTTTACAATTAGTAATGGTCGAGTGAAGGAACATCAATATTCCTCAGGACATGTACTTTGAGGCCAAAGTCCTCGAAGATTGGAGCGCATACAGAAAAAGATTATTATGTATGTAGCCGAGGAGAGAAAAAATTGATATTGCAGTAGCAGCGAAAGCGGCGTGTGGATGTTTTGGAGGAGGGGGGAAAGAAAAAGCGAAGTAAGAGAAAATTGGTCTCACTGACTACTTTTTTTTAAGGAAAAAAGTCTAACACACGCACACACTTACCAAAGAAACACAACCTTTTGGAGTAAAAAACAAAAAAGTACTAGGGATTTCCAGTCAGGGAAAGGAACGACGCAAAATACTCCTAGTGACAAATCGGTATATATATAATTTGATAAGTTTAATTTAGTGGATAATGTTGATGTTGAGAAAGAGAGATTCAAAATTGATGTTTGTTATTTAGATAGGTAGGAGGTAGGTAGGGAGGTAGGTGACGATAATGGAAAGAGGGAACGAAAAATAAAGGATTGATGGATTGATTAATCTTTCTCCTTTTTCTTGGTGGATGTACGATAGCGGTACTGAGATAAGTAAATGGGTAGGAAGGTTTAACGGGAGTGTAGTGAGTACTGAGTATTATCAGCGGTGATGAGTACCTAGATAGTCAATAATGAGATTTGGAATTGGAAATCTGAAATCATTAGGGTTACGGATACAAAGAATAACGGTATCGATGATAATCGATCGTGATTATTCTTAGGTTAGCCAAGAAAAGATTTATTTACCGGTAACACACTTTTTAGATGATCTTCCACGTTGCCCTTTTTCCCCGTTGGTCGATGAATGGATGAATGAATGAATCAATCAATCAAGTCATGAACGGATGAATGGTCATTGGCGAGTCTCCCTCCAACTGTTTCTTCGGTCGCTCAATCAAAAATGGCCAATGAGAATGGGGATGCTTACTCGTTTCGGTGCCAAGGGCCGGTATGAGGTTATGACTTATGAGGATATCGAGGATGGTCCCAGGTTGCAATTTCTTCCTCCTAGTGAAATCTCTTTTGGCTGATCCGTGAGTTTGTAGTGGTGGAAATCTGCTGATAATTTTATTATTTCGGGTGGTGGTGCAGTAGTGTGTACACTGTATGCTGACAAGGAAGAGGAGAGGAGAAGGAGAAATGACTTTGGATCTCTCACCAATAGGAGGAGATTATCTCGTATGGGGTTGTATTCGATGCAGATAAAATCATACATACTCTGGACATACATATCTTTTCTTCGTGGTGCCCTCGAGATGGATATGTGGCTTGATGACTCTGTCTAAAAAGCTATATATATATATGTATATGTATCTACGAAGTATATTGATGCTACCTTCTTCCTTTGTTGCAAAATGCCTGGTTGATGATCTATATACCTCCACCATCATTCTGTTGGTGTCCAAATATATCTTCACCACTTCTTACATCGTCCAATCAATGGTTAATTCTTCCAGTCACGGTCCTCTAGCTGTCCCTCTTCCTGTAGGCCCGTTTGCTCCATATATTTCCTCCTAAGTATTATCGTTGTGTCAGTGCTTCCTTCCTAACTATTTCTAGTACTAGTTTTATATAAAAAAAAAGTGTCAAATCGCTGGTCTCCGTATTACAAGAACTAGGTATATTAGGTCATCCAAATGTTTTATCTACTTTCCTTTTTCATCCTTCATCTCAGATTCATTTCCTTTATCTTGTTCTTGCTCTTGTTCTTGACCCTTTTCGAAATAGACATCGGTATGTGGATATGGGATCGTGATATTGGCATTGATATGGAGATACGGAAAGCGAGAGTTGTATCATCAACCGGCGTAACAGGATTTTGATTTATTTCGGCCATTATACTCATCAAATGAGTCAGATCAAGGAAGGAGGGGATGGTTATACCAAACATTATCCCCTCGTCCCTCTCTACGTTTAGATGGGTTTGTGCAGGAAACCCGTTGATAAGGATCACCATGACCTACCTTGATCCTCCACCTTCCATGTGTAAGGCTGATTATTCATTTATTCAAGATTTCCGGTAGTGACAATGTATCACCATGTTCATCCCAAAATGGAATTTCTATTCAGCCTCATCACTGAAAGTTCTGGATGTTGTTCCGTCCTCTTCCCAGACATTCATCACATCTACCTTCAAAATTGATGAGACCGTCGTCGGAGCTTCAATATTTATTTATTGATTGATGCTACACACCTCCCTCTTCGATCTTCGCTACTCGGGCCTGCTTCTTTTAAAATGACCTCCACAAATCTACACGGACACGACAGACTATTTAAAAGTGTATCAAATTCGTTATTTAGCAATGACTTTTTTCGCTACCCCTCTTCTGATTCTCCACTATCCTCTGGGTCTTGAAGAGTTTCCACTCTTCAATCAAACAACTTGGCCTAACGGATCACACCTAGAACGAGCGATGAACCCGCTCAGCACTTGAAGTATGCGTGTTTATTATCTCTTTGATTTCATATCGTACCAGAAAACTCTCCCGATGGATTCTCACCCGACACACAATACTGATGGAAGAAAAACGGTTGTTCTCCCACCTTCGATTCTTCATCAAAATACCTAGCAAGTGTATCCATCGAATCACTCCAACCACCACTTCCCAACGCACGTGCAACCAAACGGCGGAATACAATTTCTCTGAGCGCGATATGCGGCTGCTGACCCTTGTATAATTCTATTTTCTAGATGATAGATGCCAGTGATCAAGCCACAGACGACAACCTTTGGATAAGTCTCGGGTTATCTGGATAAAGTTTATCTAATCCCGAGGTTCTCGTGGGGTTGTGAGAAAGAAAGAGAAACAAGTTCAAGCTCTTTTGATTTTCAACCCCTATCCAGATGTTGGACTTATTAACGGATGTGATGAAATCCTTTAGTGAGAAATGTTTACATACCAAACATTTGGAGGAACCATTCATCCTTCAACTTAATTTCCAAAAGGGATAAAATAAAAATATCTATTCCTTATCGTACACGCACCACAGTTACCACTCCTTTTACAAGGATTTTCACCCTATCTGTTCCTCACTTGCCTTGCTGCTTTAGTCGAACATGTCCGAAGGTTATCTTTACCTTACAACCTTACAGACTTCCATGCAGCATTTCGACAACCGAGCCGAAATGCAGAGAGTCAGAGACGATGCAGTAGGTAGCATAAGCACAGACAAAACGAAAGATGAAGAAACTTTATTCTCAACGTACCTATTCTTAGGAAACGGCTTTTTCTTTTAAACATTAATTGGATCAATTCAACCATGAAACATATCCACTCTCCCTCGCTATACAGAGGAGGCTGGATTTAAGATTGTTTTCCAAAAAAGCTTCATGATCACCTGGCAATCATGCAGTGCCGCTAGAAAATCCTGCCAAAAGACCACAAGGGACAAACAAAAATCTGTAAAGATTGCCCAACGAACCGCAAATCAAACATATGCATCCCACATCGAGGTCTCTTACAATCACACCTAACCCAATACCGGTTCCTTTATGCACTGCACGCCACGAATCTGCAATGCCCGCAATAATATCTTCACCAAGTTCATCCCACCATTGGTCCAGATGGATTGTTTTGGTACCGTTGCACTGAGGAGGGAAAGTTTGATACGACATTCCCCTCCTTCACACAGCTTTCCCCACAGGAAATTATAATCACACTTTTCCTTTTTATATCAGAGAGCCACTAGATGGGAAGGGATTAGGATACCGATAAAGGAAGCCATTATCGGTATTCTTGACAATCGGCGATGGGTGAGTAAAGTTTCAGCTTGTATGTACTCGGGATACCTTTACGGGAAAAGTATGGCCTATATATTAGAGATAACAGCTCCAGCACAAAAGCATAAGACATCAAAAAGGTAACGTTTCTTTATATGGTCAGTTTCACCTCAAACAAAAATATCAATATTGGAAGTTTTCGGAAGCGAGTACTGCCGGCAACATACATTCGATAAACAATGGACATTATCCACAATCATCCATCTCCCACCAGTTCATCACTTCTTATCATCACGAGGAAACTCAAATCTTCACTTATCGGCTTCTTTACCCCACCATGAGCTGTTTGTTAATTGCCGTCAGTGGGGTTTGCATCCCATTATTTCTCAAAGTCCTCTTCTTTCCTTCCTCGGGCTTATTTTTGAAGACCGGGTTCCGAGGGTTTGCTGAAAATATATTGATTTTGAAAATACATCAATACTACCAGCTTTTGTCAGTTGACCGAGCCAGCAGTTCCCATTGCTTCTTGAGAGTCTGTGGATGAATGATATGCGGGCATAATAGTAACTAGTTGACCAGTGGTCAACGGAGTATCTAAGGTGTGTGGCTTTGGGGATGGCACTTTTATGGAAAGATCAATGATGTTGTTGAATATCTCATTTCTATCTTCTTAGGCGGCTACGGAATTCATAGTAGTAGCTTGAATGAGACAATGTATTGCAAAGACATTCCCATTGCTATTCTTCTCAAATAATCCATTACGCATTAATGTGCGAGCCTAAACTTACAAAACAATTTCAACATGAATAAATGTGTGCAGGACTTCTGCTCAGAAATCTTACTTCAAAAATACTACTTCCACGGGGAAGAAGACTGTTCAATGGATATTTGTCCAATCGAACTTTTCAGAGAATCAACGATAAGCTCTAGCCTTCAGTGGGAACCAGCAAAGAGAAGGTAAAGAAAAGAAATATAAAAGACAAAGTGTTGACCTACCTATTCAAGAAAAATAAACTGTCCAGCCATCTAAGCGCTTGCTTCTATCCTGAACTTACAAATTCCTATCATCTCTTCCAATATTCCCTTTCCACGCTCCTCATACTTTCAATAATACCCGGAGAGTTTGATAAATCCGCAATACTGGGAACGTATTTTAATCCGAGAAAGAGTTGGATGAATGAATCATCTAGTTTGGTTTATTAGTGACTGACTCTACTGCTTCTTGCTTCTTCTTTTTCTTTCACTTTTTGTGGTTATGTTGTTGTTTGTTGTTACACGGATTGTTAGTTGTAGGTTTGTCTGGTTTCTTTTGGTAAAAAGGTTGTTGGGTAATGGGTGGTTTTGGTGGTTTTATTGCTCCCCGGGTCTGGTGAGATGAAGTGAGGTGAAGTGAGAGGATCTTTGTGGTTGGAGTATTAGGTATGAGCTTATTGCAATTGTACCAAGTAGAAAAGTTCTTCAATTCTGCTCCAGTCTTGCTCGTAGAATATAAACACTCCGACTCTATCATACTCGAGCCATTTAGCTCTAGGCTTTCCAGCTCCGATACCAATATACACCGATATCCCTAACCTGTGGAAGTTGCGATTATCTTGTGCTGACATCTTTCCAACTAAAGTTACTCACGCGGCCATAACCCTCGAGCAATACAGCCATCTAAACGAGCACTTCGGCCACCCAACCATCAGTGGAAATATGAAGTCCATATCTCCCCCTATCAAATCGAGTACCGAGGTCTTCTCGGAAGTTGACCCAGAAGTGGGCGATGGAGCAAAAACCTCAGAATCAAAGTGACGGGCGGACAAATCTTTGCAGGAGTCTGATATTGCGCACCTTTACTTCGATCTTATCAACCAAAGCTTAGTATTTATATATATCCCTATTCTCTTTCTCCTGTGCAGCTATTGACTTTTGCTTGATAATTATCTCCCTCGGTATTTCATACTGTGTAGTGTTATATTGTAACATCATAAACTATTATCACGTGTTATAGGATCATGTGGATAGTCATGTGAGGGAGCGAAGGAGCGAGATTCGAATCTCGCTCCCCAGCTCCATCGCTCCAATGTTGGAACACGAAGGTCTATATAATCAAGATGGATTTCCTTTGTATAGAGCTTCGTGCTCAAAATCAATCATTTAGTATACTCTACTATTAGTTACGAATTGCATATCATTATTGTCATTACTTAAATCCCTGCTTGACGTCTAGTTATAAACCACTTCGAGAGCCTAGAGCACTTCCACGTGATCTAGACGGCAAACCTCGTAACATAAACAAATGAATATAATAAATAAAGTATAAAACTCTTTTAATATAAAAAGAAAATAAAATCATTTTAATTAGATTTTATTTTAATATATTATTTTTAAAAACAATAAATCTTATAATAAGATTGAAATTGAAATTGAAATTATGTTAAAAGGAATAGAAGTTACCGGTACTAATCACGTGTCGTGATTAGTAATACGGTTACCTAAACAGGCTAGATTAGACGAACCATAAGCAGGCATATTGGTCCCCTCCGAGGATACCAAGAGGAGATCAATATGCCTACAGACGTAGTAATATAGTCAATATAAAGGCCTCTTCCACCCAATCTTTTAATAAATTATATAAATTCAAAAGTATATATGTGTTACGTGACGGTTGTTATCCCACTAGTGGCTCACGTGCACTAGCCCTGTATATAAAGACCTTCTTACTTAGAATCCTCTTAGTTCTTTAGTTTTAGATTCTAAGTAATTGAATTGACTCCGTTTACGACTTTTCCGTCACAATATGTCACACTCAAGAATACTAAGTAGAGTATCTTGTATTAGAAAATTAATTATTATAAAAGGAAAAAAATAAAGGTTTTTTTATATTTAATTACAAGAGGCTACTGTGACGCCTCACACCTTCGGGTCACGTGGCATGCCCCGTTTGTATTTAATCACAGGAAAACTCGCTACTCTTGTTTTCCTTCTTCTTTTCTTCTTAGCTTAGTATTTTCTAATACAAGATACTCTACCCAGTATTCTTGAGTGTTACAGCTACATGATTAAATAAATGAAAATCTCTCTACATATGACTTATAATTCCAACTCTCTCATAATAAGAATTCACTTTTACTTCTAGGATTATAGCAACCTACCACATCATGATTGCTGCGGGTACCTGGGCACTAATCAAAGCCAAAATAACTTTCCATTGCAGAGTGAATCCGTGAGCAAATGCTTCGAGTACAAGCCCCTTTTGTTCTTCAGATAAAGTCTTAATAATTTCAGCAGACTGAAGAATCGCATAAAGCTGCTCAGGATCTAAAATGGTCGCCAATCTAGGCCGAAGATTGCTATTAAAGACACTTGTGATTAAACCTAAGCCAATTGCCCCACCAAGGTATCGAAATTGTGTGTTGGCACCCAAAGCAGCCGCTGTCGGGTTTCTTTAGCTCTTCTGATTTTGCACTTTGGAAGAAGCGAACTCACGAATGTCTTTTCTCTGCACAATGAACGGCACTGAAGTGGTCGCTATGGCGTTACTCATGCCAGATCCGATGCCGAATATGACTTGAAAGCCGTACTGGGATGATTTGATGTCGGAAGAATATGGCATGGTGACGAAACAAATTGCGCCGATTAGTTGGAAGACTGCCCCACCAATCAATGCATATGTTGGCTTGATCTTAAATTTGTCGGCCAGGCCAGCTCCAATGACTGCACCTACTGGGGCCATTACAATGAACGCTAAGAGTCGAACACCAGCATCGTACGGGCTCAAACCATTGACAGTCTGATATCTTTGTGGAATCTGAATTGTTGCACAAGTAAAAGGCGCGCCTGTGAGAAAAGAAACCCTAGAAGAATAAATTAACACTGTAATACACACAATACGAGAATGAATGTAAACGCACATAAAAAGGCCGATGCTACGTCTGGTAGCAAGGTTCCAAGATAGTACTGGAACGCTTGTTTTGTTGTGTATTGTCAGAAACCGCTCCCAAAGAGTGAAACTTATAAGTGATATACCAGACACGACCAACAAAGCGATTACCACAGCTGATCTCCATGGAAAAGCAACGCTGCCTTCTTGCAGGGCTGCCACAAAACAGATTGATGAACCAAGGAACAGCAGAGCTCCAAGTACGTCAAGCTTTTGGAAAGACACGAAGGTGAGTTTAGACCGTTTTAATGTGTGTTTGTGATGCGGAAATGAGTTTGGAATAGCGAATATGTCGGTTAAAAACGTTAGAAGACCTAATGGTAGGCTACTTGAGGTTAGAAGCGTTCAGTGTGACGGATCTTTCACTTACTTTATCCAAAATACCCATCTCCATGTTGCATGACTTGTCAAAGCACCACCAATCAAAGGTCCAACGGCAAATGCTATAGCAGTAATGGCAGCCACAAGGGATACATACTTCGGAAATTCTGACGGTGGAACTGCTTCGGCCAGTATTACCATTGCCATATTGTACATTCCTGCTCCACCAATTCCCTGGAACGCACGAAGAATAATCCTGAGAGGTTAGTGAAAAACAATGTGTTCGTTGTTAGGCATAACCTACAGTTGTGTGGAAGTCTGTGCTCCTGCACATCCTCCAGAGAAAGCCGTGAACATTATCACAGCTAGGGCTACAAATAGCTTCCTCCCAAGCACATCGCTAAATTGGGCCCACACAACTAGAAATCCTAAAGCATTATCTTAGTACATACGTCTACCGTTTGCTAAGACAAGACTAATCTTACCTGTGTATGTCAGCAAGTAGGAGGTAATGACCCATGTACTTTGCCCAAAGTCTCCAAGATCACTCGTGATTGCGACAAGCGCAGTGCTCACGATTGAAACTTCCATTGTTGCAAGAAAGAGCCCGAGATATAACCTTCCGAAGACATTAGCTGAAGTGCTGCCAAGGTTGAATCCGGCATCAAGTAACTTACCCAACAATGGTCCCATAGAACCTCCAGCCGGTCAAGTAGGAACTCTCGAATGCCTGCGCTTCTTGGTCTGCCCGGGCTAGCTCAAGCGTTTCGGTAGCGGGCCATTCCGACATCTCTCCCCCTGGGCTATCCTCTAAGAGACTAGGCATTTTGTTCAGTGTACGAAGTAGTGAAATGGAGTTGAAAGTTATCGATACGGGTCACCAAGGTGATATGGGTAAGCTTTACCTCGGAAAATTGCTATGCGAGTGAGACAATTAACGGCTGACAACTAAGACGCCCCGGAGATTGAGCGGAAATGGGTTTCTGGAGCTAAGTCTCCATTGAGATAATTACTCGTGCTGCCAGAAAGTATGTTACACAGTGACTCACACTCCACTTCTAAGCGCAAAACGGTAAACTACAAGGGGAACAATTGCTTATGTGTGGCATACTTACTGGCAGCACGAGCGCCGAGTGAAACTCCAGCTAGCGATACGATATTACTACCTGCAGTTGATGCAGATCTTCTGTAAGCATGGCCTGAACGGATACACCGAGTACGTACTACATACTAATTTATTACTGCAGCATGAAAAATAATCCTTGATGTAGCAGCGTTGTGGTGCTACGATAAATTCGTATTTTTAATACCCCCTGTAAATCCACTAATTCGCTGTACCGAGGGGAGCAATTGAAATGACGAGAAAAATAAATAAACTTAAATTTATTTAAATACAATCTAATTAAACTATATAAATACTATTATTAAGTATTATAAATAAATACTAAAATATTTATATAATTAATTTTATTAAATAAAAATTATATATTTTTTTTAAAATAATTAATGAGTATTATAGTAATTGTTAAAGTGAATGGTTCCTGCGTAGCACGGTGCACAGGGCACTAGTCCTATTAGGACTAGATTGAGAAGCTCTCTGTAAGAGAGCTTCGCACTTCCGTAGAACTTAGAAGAGAGATTAACCTACTAGACCAATATTACCTCAGTTCTGCCCTATCAGCTTCCCACTATTCCCCGTGTGAGGTCATTCCTTTTAACAGTAATTTATATTTATTTAATTATATTTGAAGTCAATTATTAAAGTTTTATGTTACGAAGTTTGCCATCTAGATCATGTGGAAGTGCTCTAGGCTCTCGAGGTGGTTTATAACTAGGCATCAAACAGGGACTTAAGTAATGACAATAATGATATACAATTCGTAAGTAATAGTAGAGTATACTAAATGATTGATCTTGAGCACAAAGCTCTATACAAAGGAAATCCATCTTGATTATATAGAACTTCGTATTCTACCATTGGATTGAAGCGATGAAACTAGAGAACGAGATTCGAATCTCCCTCCTGTCACGAATCGTGGTTTGGATTAGTGTCCTGAGGCAAGTAATGATCACATGATGGAGCCTCCAGGAGCGTAGGCTCCTCAGGGCTCCAGGAAAGAGCTCATTATATAGTCAGAGTAGTTTCATAGTATAGGAGCTTCGTGCTTAACTTAGTTATCAATTAGTTTACCTATATTCTACTTGATCTAGTAACGACTTCACTTCCAAGTGAATACCAGTGATAAAGCCTTAACCTACAACTACCAACCAAACGAAACCTTAGGCAGCCGCTGCCCCCAGTACAGTATCGTTACAGTGCCCAATTTTAACAGGGGTGATATGAATGATGATTGAATGGTACTCAATTGAGTTTAGTTTCGAAAAAGATTTCGTCATTTCAAACGCTGTACCGAGCTGTTGTTACCGCTCGAGCCGCTTAGTGAACCGCCCTTTTTAGAATGTTGTGCATTAGCAGTAGTATTTCTAGATTGGAGGTCCACGTTGACGCCGGCACTTGATAGGGACTTTTAAATCACTCCGCAGGCTGAATGGGGCGCAGTTAAAAAGAAAAACGTCGAATTCTGCCCCCTGTGCAACAATGACAATAACTTGAGTTTTACACTAAAGACATTTTTTGAATACGAGAAAAGCAACAGAGTACTATGAATGATATTTGTATTGAAATCAAGGTTGAAATTTTTATGTGTATACATGTAGATAAATAGTGTAAATAATGGAATAACGAAATCAAGGATGTTTAATGATGTTGTCGGCACTCAATATTTCCCAGGTCGACAGCTTCCAATTGAAGGGCAATTAAAGAATGCTCAAAATCGCAAAATCAAAATGACCTTCTACGGAATTCTAAACAAGGCCCGTCAAAAAAGCTAACGATATGATCCTCTTGTTGAAACTCATTCTCATCAACACTTCCTCGTTTCCCACCTCCAATGTCATTACATGTTTGTTTTGGCCTGCGAAGATCTAGATGCCAAAGAACTAATGCGATAGTATCGCGTATTTCAGTGGTGGCAAGGCTCTGGCCTAGGCACCGTCTTGGCCCCATCGAGAAAGTGGTAAAAGCTCTAGATGCCAAAGCAAGATCGCTTGTAGTTTCGTCAAGTAACCAACGTTCAGGTTCGAATATAGATGCATTAGGGAAGTACTCCTCATTATGGTTCATAGCGTAAATACCGGTTCCAACATCAAAGCCTGCGTCGACGTGTTCCCCGTCAATTTTGAGACCGCCATCCTCGACGTTTCGCCATAAAATTGCTCCGGTAGACGGTGAGAGGCGAAACCCTTCTTTGATACAGGCTTGCAGGAAGAGACATGACGACATCTTTGGCCCGGTGTGGATTTCTGATGCATCAGAAAAGGTGCTGCGAATCTCTTTCACAAGCTTCTCATAGCAACGAGGGTGACGCATTAGATAGAAAAAAATGGCAGCCAGTGCGCTGGCTGGGGACCCCGCACCAGTAACCATAACGAATTTTAATTCGGACCAAATCTGTGTGGCCGAGAGCTCTTTGCCGCTCTCGGGGTCTCGTTCTTTGTAAAGCAACGAAATTAAAGGGTTGTGCGGTTTGTCCATAGATTGTACTTTCTCTGCAGAAAAACGACTACCCTCTCGGAAGAGTTTCCACACGTACCACAGTGCTTGAGGGTAAAATATCTTCTCCAGATGATATCCTGCAAGATCCACAGACTGAACAAAGGCGCTATTGAAACGATGAAGTGGAGATGCGAAATGAATCATATATCTATTCGTAGGATTGGTCTGAAGTTGAAAATTATGGCCCAAGGTAAGTTCACTTGCAATATCAAAAATGAGATACCTGCCTACGTAAAGGTTCAGCAGCGATCGCAAGGTACTATACAGAATACGTACAATGATTTGCAATATTGACTGGCTTTGTCCAACCATCAGGAGAGACCTCACTCTCGATGATGCCTTTAATAAAAATTTCGGACTGACGCAGTATATTTGACTCGAATTGTTTGAGTTGATCTTCGGACAACCATCTGGCAATTAGCTTTCTTTTTCTTTGATTGTCCGTCTTGTCTAACGCGTTATGCACATTCGAGGCATTTGGTCCTGACAATATGCCTTTGTAGGCATCGGACTTTCTCACATTCTTCGCAAAATGTATGTCTGACGGCTGTCAATAGATGTATCTATCTACTTAGGGGAGTGCTGCTACTTACCGTGCATGGCCTCTGCAGTAGAAAAGACCAGGCGATTTGGCCCATAACGAACGATGTTTCCTTCAACAAGTCAGAATTAGCAGTCGAATCCTGCACGTCTCAAGAATCTCCTACCGTATTTTTCGTGGGCGTGGAGAACATCTTTGTGTATATCGCCTTGATAGGCATGATACGCTGCATACCAATCGCTGATTTTCGCAAAGAAGGGACCTGGGTATCTAGCTAGAGGATGCCACCACAATCGATATATGGTGACAATAGTGACCTATGCTTTTTAGTAACCGCATTCACTAATGACTAGAGAGCAAGACCTTCGCAAAGATAAAAGAGCAAACAACAACCAAAGCCTGGTATAGACTCAAGGCAAGTAGACGTGACATGAAGCTCTCTGCTATAGTGTATATATTTTAGATGCTGCAAAATAAAATTAGCCGGAACATAGAAAAACGTTCAAGAAACTGGATATCCAGGCATTAGAAGTCCTGCCATTGAGCTCAAACTTTATCTATTCAATCACAAGGACTTTTGATGGAAAACGGGCAGAGCTCGAGAACTTCCCACGTTGGTAAAGCAATATCAATTCTCAGGTCCTTGTGATACTTCCCCATTAGGGAAAGCTGACAAATGCTGCAGAGCTGAATAGAAAATTAGATACCAGGATTTTAATTCGCTGATGCTTTTGTGTTTGTTAATAAATAGCCGTGCGCGCGATTCGTAACAACGATTCTTCGCAACTTCAAAATATATTTTCTTCCATTATTATCATTCTAAACCACACCTACACTTTTTTCCACAAGCAAATTCAAACATGGAGAATTCCGATATCATGACCCCACCTGCGCTTGACGATGTATTGGCCAACAACATCAAGCTGGTAAGTCAGGGGGAGTACGAGATTGATCTGCCCAGCTCATTTAGCTTCGGTCCAAGTGAGTAATATACAGCCGTGCTCCATGTTAGTACTCATCAATCTACAGGGATTTTTGGAGGACTGGTGATGTCTATGGTCCAACAGACAGTCAAGCAATACTTTGCAGAAGTGCACAGCGAGTATAATCAGGCAGATGTTTTGGGAATGCAGTGGCAGTTTTTCCGTTTACTGTTCCCTTCAGCTGCAAAGATCGACATCAAAGACATACACCTCGGGAAGGCCTCGTCTACCATCTTAGTCACCGTCAGCCAGAAAGGAAAAGACTGCATGATGGGGTTTGTAACGTAAGATATGCACCGCAAATATAGCCCTACTCGGTTTACTACTAACGTAGCTTCAGTATCACCAACATGCTACTTTCTCGGGGTTTCTCCTTTACCACAAGTTGGAAACTGGATCCGCCACCCATCCAGGCATCAGTGTCCGCACTTGCCAAAGATAATGATCCGCGTTGGATTTCTTATCAAACACCGTATCATCCAGAGAGCTTTCGGCGTGTTCAATCCTACCTAAAGTACTTCGTTCCCTATGAAATGCAGGAGCCGAGCATTCGTGATCAATGGATAACCTGGTCCAATCCGCAAACCACCTTTACAAATGAGACCTTGGGGTTCGTGCTGGATATCTCCTTTCCGATCCTCGACAATTTCTATCCAGAAGTGTCGACCGGGGGTCAGGCTGCAACTGTCGCTGCGGGGCTGGAGCAGAAAAGAGAACGAGAGGCCGGAATTACTAAAGTTATCGATGCATCGTCTGGATCGTACAGAGCGCCCGCAATGATCACATCCCTGTCTACTAGCATCGAAATTAAGAAGCTCCTACCACCGGAGGGGACCAAGTGGCTTTTCCTGCGAGCTCAGGCCAAAGAGATCAAAAATGGGAGAATGAGCATGGAGGTGCTGGTATTTGATGAGCATATGGAGTTGGTGGCGTTGAGCCAACAGCTCTGTCCAATCATTGATTTAACACGAGCCATGAAAAACAAGCAGAAGCTTTAAAGTGGGTGCATGTTTTACGGGGCGGGGGGCGGATGGTGGTACGGGTATTGATATGGGGGTGGGGTAGTTGTCAGCTAGTCGGACTTCCCAGCCCCACACAAGATTCAAAATTTCCCCCTTGCTTCTGCTTACGCCGCTAAGCGACATATTTTGATATGTGAGTCTGGGAAGTTGTTGAGTTGTAACAGACAGTTATTAATAAACTGGTTCTTTTTCTGCAACAAATTCACCGAGATTACAGTATTCTACATGTGATGTATTGTGATGTGATTCAAAGCATGAATTTTTGGAGAAAACTTACGTACGATGGTAAATCAGATGGACGAACTTTGGAATGCTGAGTTTCTGTGATTGGTGGTAGGCTCCGTATTCAAAGATGAGACGCAATTCGCATAATACGAATCTACAGTGACAGGGATTTTTATTACGCGCAGCCCTAATCTCTCCGTCTCACAAATAGTTAAGATTCAACAGTGGGTGCAGAAATTCTATAAGCACTTTTTCAATCCTCACCAAGTCAATAAAATGTCAATAATTTCAGAAAATAAATACAAATTCAAATTATAATATTATATAATCAAAACTTATATAGAATATTTAAATTTACTTAAATTATTATATAAAAGATTATATAAAACTTATATATAATAAAAAATTAATTAATTCAATAGTAATATTAAGATTTTTTATTTGTGACGGAAACCCCTGCTTGTTACGAGGTTTGCCGTCTAGATCACGTGGAAGTGCTCTAGGCTCTCGAGGTGGTTTATAACTAGGCGTCAAGCAGGGACTTAAGTAATGACAATAATGAAATGCAATTCGTAACTAATAGTAGGATATACTAAATGATTGATCTTGAGCACGAAGCTCTATACAAAGGAAATCCATCTTGATTATATAGTCCTTCATGCTTCCATGATTACTAGTGATCCTTCATGATCATTAGTGATCATCTATATCGTGATCCTTAGTGATCCTTAATGATCACCAGTGATCACCTATACCGTGATCCTTAGTGATCCTTAATGATCATCAGTGATCACCTATACCGTGATCCTTAGTGATCCTTAATGATCACTATTGATCATTTGTGATCACGTGCCTTGGTAGTTGTGTAGCCCGTCGTAACACAGCGGCTGCCTAGGGTTCGTCTGGTTGGTAGTTATGGGTTAAGGCTTTATCACTGGTATTCACTTGGAAGTGAAGTCGTTACTAGATCAAGTAGAATGTAGGTAAACTAATTGCTAACTAAATTGAGCACGAAGCTCCTTAACCACGAGACTAAATGAATGTTTATATACCCTATATCACCTTTTGAGGACCTCTGGGACCCTAAGGTCCAAAAGGTCCTCAAGGTCCTCGAGGTCACGTGAATTAATGAATCGTGACACTAGTGCCTTGTGCACGTGCTACGCAGAAACCATTCACTTTAACAATTATTTTCAATTTATATAATTTCAAAACTTTATTGAATAACATTAATTTAAAAATATTAAGTTTTAATATTTTATCAAATTATATTTATAAAATTTTTATATTTATTATTGATTGAATAAAATGTCTTTTTTTTTCAAACTTTATTTATATTGAAACAAATAAATAAATAAATTGTTACGTGACGGTTGTTACCCACTAGTGGCTCACGTGCACTAGCCCCGTATATAAAGACCTTCTTACTTAGAATCTTCTTAGTTCTTTAGTTTTAGATTCTAAGTAATTGAATTGACTCCGTTTACGACTTTTCCGTCACATAAATAAATAACTTCAAAAATTTATATTGATTCAAATTTTCATATAAAAATAAAGTAAATAATAATAATAATACAAACTGTAATTTACACCTAGCAATGCTGTACTTTAAATAAAGTACCCAAACCTACAGATAATGCATCCTGCATAGCAGTAAGATTTCAATATCTGCTCCCCGCTACCAGCCTGGCTTGATGACTGCAAATTGAAGCATGCATTTGAATACGGAGATATTGGATTTGCCTCATATTTGCTTAATACCCATGAAGCTACTCAGCTATGTTTTTAGAATCTTGGATCCATGTGCTTTCACTGGTTTGCCGTTTCTTAGGTGGAAAACTGTGTTTCTACCCGCAGATCTCACCCCGATAAGTACACTCATCTCTCATCTTACTTCTCTTACAATATCCACTCATATTCGGCCACGATCTTATCAATCAAGATCCTGCAGGTTTCTCCATCTTATTCACTACAATGTCTGTTTCATTCCCCGCCATATGACCACATTTGCCAAGCGCTTGCAACCCCTTGTGTCATATTCACTAAAGTCGCCGACACGTACTCGGCGATAGCCAACCAAGTAAGATTCTGTTTGTACTAAAACGTATAAGGTCTCCAACACGAGAGACGAAAGCTGCAAATCAAACAGACATAATTTGATCGTCCAACATCAAGCCTATCAATCCTTCTACATGACTATTGACTACACTTCACATCCAGCCGATCTGGTTGGCTCCGGAGTATGTTCTCTTCGTTTTGGAAAATTCAATAAAAATATAACTTACTGTGATATAGAAACTGCAAAATGCACCAAACCATGTTGGTATCAAGGACCTCAAAAACGCGATACCTGCGCATTGCTTTAAGCCGTCCCCTCTTAAATCTTTGTTCTGGCTCCTGCATGACGTGGCATTGGCTATGTTGATCGGATATTTTGCTGCTTGTTATATTCCCTTGGTCGAAACCTCTGTTATTCGCTATGTGTTATGGATATTGTATGCTTGTGCACAAGGCATAGTCTTCACTGGTATCTGGGTTTGTACAACTTTACCCATCTGATTTGATTCGATGTTTTCCTAACAACCAATATTAGGTTCTTGGTCATGAGTGTGGTCATGGTGCATTCCTTCCCTGGGAGGTCGCCAATAATGCCATAGGTTTTGTCCTGCATTCACTACTGCTGACACCATACTTCTCTTGGCGATCAACGCACCGCAGACACCATATTTATGCAAACAACATGAAGCTAGACCACAACTACGTTGCTCCTCGCCGCTCAGAATATCAAAAGTTCTTTGGACCTAGAATTGAGGCCATTGAAGACCTGACTGAAGATGCTGCTCTGGTAACCCTTTTGCGAATATTGTTACAGCAGGTCCTCGGTTGGCCGTGGTACTTGATTAACAATATCACCGCCTCTTCCCAAAGCCTCATTGGTCCCAGGTCTAGTATTTTCCTCGGCAACAGTCACTTTGCTCCCTGGGGATCATTGTTCAGAGTTGAAGAAGCACATCTCATCTTACTGTCTGATATCGGTCTTTTGGCTACAGGCACTCTTATTTATCAATGTAGCTTGAGGCTTGGTTGGTCATTGGTGCTTCCGATTTACTTCCTACCATATATGTGTCTCAACCATTGGATTGTTGTGATTACGTACTTACATCACACACATCCAAAACTACCAAAATTCGAAGCTGAGGCTTGGACCTTCATCAAAGGAGCTACTGCAACTATTGACCGCCCGATCCGCTATGTTGGAAAACATTTCCTTCACAATATTGCTGATTACCATGTAATTCACCATTTATTCTCGTGAGTCATCAATATTCTCTTGCTCTGGTACTTTGATCTTTAGTTCTCACTCTAAATCTACAGACGTATACCCTTCTACCACACAGAAGAAGCTACGAAGGCGATTATTCCACTTTTGGGTCCTGATTACCACACTGCAAAGACAGGAAAGTTCATAGAGAGTCTCTGGGAGTCTTTCACTCAATGCCAATATCTTGAAACTGACACTATTGAAGACCCAAATGAGCAGGCATTGTGGTACAGGAAAGGTCCAGCGCCCCCACCAGAAATCAGTATGAACCGCAAGAAATGGTTTTGGTAATACTGGAGATTTTGGTCATATTGGTTGATTGATTTATTAATTTAATTTACGTCCTTTCTCAGTCCAAGATTTTATAGAACAACTAGAATTTATAGGTATTAATAAATAACTTTTATTTTAATAAGAATAAACATTTTGTCACGGTTGCTCTCAGGGTGAAGGCTGTATCACTATGACGTCTACAAGCAAGAGCCCTTCAGATACTATATCAGCAAATAGCTAGTAGAACGCCCAATTATTAGATTGTAAAACTCTACAAAATCTTTCTTTAGTATGACTACGTCAGACTTTTTTCAATCTGATATTTTTTTTAATAATGTTTTATAAAAGAAGAATAATTCATTTTATTATAAAAGGATAATAAAAGATTTTGTTAAAAGGAATGACCTCACACAGGGAATAGTGGTGTTACGTCCAAAACGATTAGTATGTCACATGACCATAAAACATGTGATGGAACGGTGAGGAACGAACGTTCCTAGGAACAACCAGGAACGACGATTCCTAGTTAACCATAGGCACAAAGGACTATATAATCAAGATGGATTTCTTTTGTATAGAGCTTCGTGCTCAAGGTCAATCATTTAGTATACTCTACTATTAGTTACGAATTGCATTATTGTCATTACTTTAAGTCCCTGCTTGACGCCTAGTTATAAACCACCTCGAGAGCCTAGAGCACTTCCACGTGATCTAGACGGCAAACCTCGTAACAAGCTTCGCAATTCTGTAGAACTAAGAGAAAGAGTGATTAACACACTAGACCAATATTACCTCAGTTCTGCCCTATCAGCTTCCCACTATTCCCTGTGTAAGGTCATTCCTTTTAACAATTTTTATTGAAAACTTATTTCAAATTTTAATATTTTTCAAATTTGTATATAAATGTTACGAGGTTTGCCGTCTAGATCACGTGGAAGTGCTCTAGACTCTCGAAGTAGGTTTATAACTAAATGTCAAGCAGGGACTTAAAGTAATGACAATAATGCAATTCGTAACTAATAGTAGAGTATACTAAATGATTGATCTTGAGCACGAAGCTCTATACAAAGGAAATCCATCTTGATTATATAGACCTTTGTGTTCTAGCTGATCAGTAGGATCAGTATGACTCAGTACTGAGCTTGCTGATCCTCACTGAGTCAGTCACATGATATTGGTAACACGTGAGCGTCTTCTTGTTACCCGGCGTAACAATAAATCTTATATAAATCAAAAATCAAAATTTCAACCTTCAATTTCTTGACCAATAAAATCGTGAAAATTCTAAAATTTTCAGAATCTATTTATTACTATATAAAGATTTTTAAGTTGAAATTTCAATTAATTCAATGTATTGATTATTGAATAATTAATATATCAAAATCATCATTTTTGGTGTAAAAGGGTGGCCGAGATTTGGTGTGGCCAAGAAGTGGGGTACTAGACTTATATCTTCCTTTCTCAATATTAATAATTACAAAAAGTAATAGACTATTCTATATGAACTAATCCATATCCAAATCAAATAACCTTTTGTAAAGAAAATATCAACACCATTTCCCTATCCACCCACCCGCTCCACTCGTTCCATCAACTTAAGCTTAATTTATTGGTATCAATGAGGTCCTTTATATGCCTAGCATGCACTCCCCTTCGTCATAGCATCGGCACGGTTAGATCCTCCGTCTATCCATCTTACCTCTGTAATCTCCTTTCTCTCATATGCTTGCCAAAAGCGTATGAGGTCAATCATAAGTCTCTTTTCCAACGTTGTACCCAACTTGACCAAGCAATCGTATAAGGGTTTTGAGTCAGTTACCAGGCTAATTGACGGTAACATACAAGAACAAAATATAGAAACTCCACATGTTACCTTTAGAGAATGCAATTGTGCTTCAGAGCCTCGAAACTATTCCATGTGTCAAACATTAGTCCTGAAAGTAAAGGAATACATTGGGTATGCGTGGCCCAAAACCCGGCGGAATTCTTAAAGGCCCCATAGAAGATGGTAGATATCACTTTCTTACAGGCCCAAGTGAAGACTCTATAGGCCTACATCTCGTACTAAATTTGAAGATATATACGTTAAATGCTAATAAGTCAGGCTTGATCATTGAATGTCATTTCACAGTCCTAGCTTTCTGCTATTTTGAATGTAGAAGAGCTTTGCTGGAATATCACTATGTATTAAACCGATATAATGAGATACCATTCAGTAAATTCCTTAATTTTTGCAGTGGGATATAGATGGGGAAACATAGAACTTGGGTGTTGGCCGTTGCGATGAATATTCACTCATATTACAAAACGTCATTGTTTATGCTTTGAATTTGCACCATATAGATGCTTCTAAAAGGTCAACTAAAAATGAATACCTAGCTCTTCTTTGCTACACTTGTAATCGCTCAAATTTCCTTCATCGGGTTTGAGTTCGCTCCCATTACACATCCGACACACATGTAGTAAATGTACTTTATATATGATCCTCACCCAGCACAGTCGGCTCCAACCTGTAATAATTCCCTTCTGCAGCGAAAGCTTTTGCGCTATTTCCTCCCCGCCTGGGAGGTGGGTCACCTGGATTGTTTGATTCGTACTGGTTGCTTGACTGACCGGTGCGAGAGCGAGAAGTAGTGCTCCGGAACCAAGTATATATTGAAAGGATGTATCTGTTGTTGATGAACCTCGAAAGAACTTGTTTGCAAGACAGAAGGCACCCTGAGATGAGGTAAATACTTGTCTCGATCACAACCCACATGATTAATGGGGCCGCGTTATAAGTTGGGTCGCTTGCATATGTGTTTAAGAAGAATTGAACGAATCGAATGATTGCTGTCACAAGACCACTGTATTTGAATTAGTGACTGGTAAGACCTTATCCACATGTTTCAACTTACGCGCTTGCTACCAAGAAGGTAAATATAATACCTATCTTTACATGATCGGCGACATGAAGCTTTCGTAAAACCGGAATAGGTAATATGAGCATTGCAACATCCGTAAGAATGTTGGGAAGACCACTGTATGTAAGATGAGCCTGAATATTATTGCAGTGAGCTCCAGGTATGGTAGAAACCCAGGCAGCGGTAGGATGTTTACCACACTGAAAGCCAACTGTGAAGGTATTCACCACAGCACTCAATGATATAACAGCAAGAACTGTCCAGCAGCAAGCTTTTGTGAACCGATCCACGAAAATACGCAGATAGAGTACCAAAACTGACATCTTTGGAAACGATACCGCAAAGCAGTAAAGTATTGGGATGGTGTAAAATCCATTCCATCCCCATGAAGTAATCTTTTCTGGCATAACCTGAATCACCTTTTCAAACCGTGTACCGACACCTAGGGATGGAGCGACTGAGATAGTTAGCAAATGACTTTAACACCAACGAATGGTATGTATTTACTCAAGCCATCGATGCAAAGACCCAAGCAAGTGAGCCATCCCGCAATCATGAGCACATCTTCCCAGCCAAATCCAGCTTTTTGGTAGTATCGAGACAAGAACCTGAGCGCGAGAAAAAGAGTATCTAATATAATAAAGACGATGCATGTGATTATCAAAGATCTTGTATTGGTCTCATCTAAATAGGCTTGGCTAAACACCGATTCAGTGGATGACATCTCGGCAGTTGTAATGAGGGGAAGTAAAGATGAGGAATGAGCTAGAGATGTGTGTATATTTAAACAAACTAAAACTATAGAAAACTCAAGTAATAAACAATACACTGGGGCAAATACTAGATTAACGTTCCATAGTTTTCCAACTAACGCTTCAACCAGCAGCGGAGGCTGCACTGTTTGCGGAATTCGTCAGCCCCGACAAAGATCAAGAGTGTCACGTTGAAAACGAAGAGGTTGACCTGCATACCTTTGGGCGCATTACATTCTGTATTGGAGAGGGGGAAGAAGCTGTTAGTTCGCTCGGCAAAAGCCTGTATACGACGTCTTTTTGGGAGCAATTGAAATGAAAAAAAAAATTAAAAAAATCCAAACCTCTTTAAGTACAATTTAATTGAATTATATAAGCAATGTTACCGAGCACTGTGAGTATGTATCACGATGGTTTATATAATTTAATTCTATTAGATCAAGATTATATTATTTTTTATTAATTAATATATTAGATATATACAAAATATTATAATTTAATTGAAAGTTAAATAATTGAATTTAAAAATTTTTGAAACTTTTCCGTAGATTTTTAAAAGATTTTTAATTTTAATAATCTAAAGTTTATAAAATGTTAAAGTGAATGGTTCCTGCGTAGCACGTGCACAGGGCACTAGTCCTATTAGGACTAGATTGAGAAGCTCTCTGTAAGAGAGCTTCGCACTTCCGTAGAACTTAGAAGAGAGATTAACCTACTAGACCAATATTACCTCAGTTCTGCCCTATCAGCTTCCCACTATTCCCTGTGTGAGGTCATTCCTTTTAACATAAAATAATAAATTTTTTTATTTTAATTATTGATTTATAAATATTCAGTTTTCAATTGTAAAGCTGTAACATATAATAGGAAATTACAATATATAATAGAAAATCATAATATCCTAGACGGGGGGGAATTATATCCTAGATCGGCCCAAAAAGACGCCATATTACTGCATATCGGATAGGCCGGTCCTACCATCTACCACACCGAGTACACACGCCTCTGGCCTGCATCCAGCTCTCCTTTGACAACTTGAATGATTGAGATCCGAAAGCCTTTCGCACTCTGTGTACAACATACATAGGTATGCTTTAATCGAGATTTTAATCACACATCATCCAATTTGGTTTCCATCAACAAGAATTTTCTATACATCTTGACAATCCATCTTCACGTAAATTGGTTGCCCTCGAGTTTCATGGTAGAGACTCCAAACCAAAATGCCGACATTCCAGTTCTCGGAAAGTTCTACCCCACCACAGCCTTTGTTTCCTCAGAGAAAACAGCTGCTAAATCACGTTGTCGATGGTTTGGCTCAAGTAAGGCCAGAATCTATCTGGGCAAAGATACCAAGAGACCCTCTTAGCTATGACGCTGGATACCGCAACATTAACTACAAGATGCTGGCAAATGCTATCAATGGAACGGCATGGTGGATCAAGAATGAACTCGGAGAATCAAAAAGTTTTGAAACGCTTGCATACTTTGGTCCCTGGGATCCGCGATATATAATCATCCTTCTAGCTTCCATCAAAGCGGGATACAAGGTACCACAAGCTCCCCGCTATACCTACTAGGTCGGATTAATTAACAGTCATACAGATGATCTTTCCATCTCCTAGCTATCCGGTGGTCGGACTCACAAAGCTGCTGGATCAATTGGATTGTAAGACAGTACTAACCTCCTCCCACAACAAATATGATATCGTATCCAAGCTATACACTGAGAGTGGCAGAGATTTTCATGAAATTCCGAGCCTCTCTAAGCTTCTTGACGAAGAATACGAACATTATGCACTCAACAAAACATTTCAATCCGCCAAATCAGAGCCCCTAATTGTCGTTCATACATCGGGAACTACTGGTATGCCAAAACCTTTAATCTACACTCATGATTGGGCAGCGAGCTGGATTGAGCAGAACCAATTGCCTGCACCTGGGGGACACACAAGCTTGGAACATATTATCCATGGAATTGAACTTTGTTCTGTTGCGCCTGCAAACCATGTAAGTTCGTCTTTGTTTCTGGTTATTTGCAAGTCTAATCGCAAGCAGGCCAGCAGTTTGTTGCCCAATCTTTTCGGCGCTATTCCGAACCAAATAAGGGTCCTTTTTCCTGTCCCAGATTCACCGGTTACTTGGGCTACGGCTCGAGAAATGATCCGACATAACTCTCCGGATCTTCTTCTCGCGGCAGCGCATGTCCTGGATGGCGTTGCCTCCGATATCAAACACATTGAGGAAATCTCTGGAAAAGTATCGATGATATCTTTCGGCGGAGGACCACTCTCTAAGCCTACTGGCGATATACTCACCAAGCACTTTCGTGTATTTGGCATGTATGGGACTAGTGAGATTGGAACCATCCACAAAATCATTCCTAGTGGTCGTTGGGATACGAGAAGCTGGAACAGCTGGAAGCCTCATCCAAAAGAGAACATGCAGTTTCGGCAACTGCATGATGACGTCTATGAAGCAGTCATAGTTCGAAATAACAGCCTCGAGGAAGAGCAATCGGTGTTTAAGATTTTCCCTGCATTGCAGGAATATCCCACTAAAGATATGTTCAGTCCAGATCCTCATCGAGAAGGCTTCTGGGCCTACCAGGGCAGAGTCGATGACCTTATCAAACTCAGCAATGGAGGTACTGTAAACCCTTCCAGATATGAGGAGATGATCGCTAGTGCATCGTTTGTAAAGTCGGCGGTGATGTGCGGTACAGGTAAGCCAAAGCCTGCCTTACTAGTTGAGTTGTTGGAACCATTATCAGATGGCTCCAGCGTTCTAGAAGATTTGTACTCATTGGTGGACGCTTGTAACGATGAATTTCCACCCCAGACATCAGTTGCAAAATCGAATATCATCATAACGTCCCCCAAAAAACCGCTTCCAAGAGCAGCTAAAGGGAGTATTCAGCGTGCGCCGGCTTTGCAGTTGTATGGAGTAGAGATTGATGGACTCTATAAATAGTTTAAGCTATGACTCCATATGATTGATAGTTATCTGGCACCAATAAAGCCTATCACCTAACTAGCTTTTAATCGGAGACGGCGAATGCCCCAGTTCAGATATATGAGAAAATGCTGCCAAAAACAAGGATATTGTTATCATTGAAGTGGAATTGTTCAATTAATTGTAGAAATGAATATCTACACTAACTAATATTTGATTTGCAGTGCAACATTTTGCGTTCTTATTAAAGTCTCTCGTTCTATTGTAAGAGTTATGGAATCTACTCATCACAGACTAAGCAAAATCACACCAAAGTCAATAATTTTTTCAACTATTCAGATCCTTGTTATCTTTATAAGATATTGAGATAATTTACTAAAGTTTATATATATTTATAAATAATCAATAAGAATTAACGTGGTTTAACACCGAGTGCACCATATCACCGAGTGCATCACTTTTACCTCAATTTGCACTTTCTAACTCATATCAATCAACAATCATTAAATCAATCAATTAAAACTATTAAAAGTCTAATAATCTAGGATCTATTATATTATTTTGACAAGTTCTTGAATTATGACCAGTTTTTCTACACTTACTACAGCATCGATTAGTAAATGATTCCCTATTAGAATTTCCCCTATTTTGACATTTGTTGTATTGAATCTGAATATCAATTTCTTATTGAGATAATATATCTGCAGCTTCTTATCCAGTAAGTATTCCTTCTTGATGTAATTGAGTCTTTTTCGTATATCGATATTTGTTTAATATCTTATCTGCCTTTTAAAGTAAATAGTTTTCTGGATTTAAAAGTGTATTTTCATATACCAATCTCTTTATACCTTTAGCTAAAGCTAGTACAGTTTCGAATATAGGTGTAAAGGAGCTTGATTGATGACGAGCTATTCGAGATTTCATTAAAGTTGATTGAGAAAAAACTTCAATTGAATTGTGAGGAGTTTGAGAGATCTAAAGGTTTAAATCGAAAGAGGGGAGTAAGCGTATAAATTCGAATATCTAATTTTGAGAATATAACTTGAAGGTCAAATAGTATTAGACCTATTCCTCGAAAGTTAGTTTTCATATTCTGAATAGTAAATGATTGTAAATATACAGCTTTAAAGATTATAAAGAATTCAATCTTGGTAATATAATTGATATAAACTTTGATAAATCCTTCAATTTGATAATTATATAAACGTTTGAGTATATCAAAATATTCAACATTAAATAATTGAATTAAATGATTTGAATATAATAATAATTTAAGATTGTGATCAAAAGGGTGTTTATAGACCAGCAATTGTATTTAACTTAGAATCTACAGGTGAAGAGCACCTGTAGATGGGGATAGCTACTCTATATATACACAAATGAATAGCCTAGTCGCAATGACTAGGCAAAAAGAAGTCATATTTATTCCTCCAATGATCTTACTTTACCGATAACCATTGATACCTAGTACTTGTCCGGATCTGATCCTCAGGTCACCTAAATCGCATACTAATCTCGAGTAATCGTATCATGTGTGGATATGGTTAATGTACCTGAGGTTTCTTATATAATAAGGGTGGGAGGAAAGCAGGGATTTCCGTCACAAAGATATATAATATCATTTGATTTGCAATATAATTGAAAAGATATTGATTCATAATTTTCATATCTATTCAATACTAATATTCGATATTTGCTCTTCTTTTGACGAATAGTATATTTATCGAAATATTTTAATCATTCTAGATCTATTTTATTATTCATCCATTTATTAGAAGTAGATTTAATAGCCTAATCTATAGGAAAATCGGTTTTAGTATATCAATTGGAAAAATGAACTTATTCTTGAATTACCAAAAATAAAAATATAATTTCACCTTCTTTATTATTATATATAATTACTATAGTCTATTTTCGATTATCTAATTATATTGTTTTGCTTCTATCATTTCGTTCAGTACTAATTACAATTATTCCAGGGTATATTATATCTATCATAAAACTAGTTTCATTGAAATTATAGAAATCGAAATCGATAATATCATATTTCACTTATATATTCGATATCAATCGAAACCACTCTTTGTCACACTCAAGAATACTGGGTAAAGTATCTTGTATTAGAAAATACTAAGCTAAGGAGAAAAGAAGAAGGAAAACAAGAGTAGAGAGTTTTCCTATGATTAAATACAAACGGGGCATGCCACGTGACCCGGAGGTGTGAGGCGTCACACTCTTTAATAAACTTGAGATCTTCACAAAGAACTCTTTGAAAATTATAAATATAACTAAAATACATCTTTAATTTTATATAACATTTTACAAATTGATGTTACGAGGTTTGCCGTCTAGATCACGTGGAAGTGCTCTAGGCTCTCGAAGTAGGTTTATAACTAGGCGTCAAGCAGCGATTTAAAGTAATGACAATAATGATATGCAATTCGTAACTAATAGTAGAGTATACTAAATGATTGATCTTGAGCACGAAGCTCTATACAAAGGGAATCCATCTTGATTATATAGACCTTCATGCCTATGGCTAGTCAGGACCGCTGCGCGGTCCTGGACAGCCAGCGTTCCTCAGCGGTCCATAACGTGACTTTAATCACGTTACCTTGGTTTAGTCATGTGACGCGGCATAGAAGATAGCCGTTGTAACAATTGATAAATCTAGAGCTTTCCAACTTTCTTTGTTCTTTACGATTCAAGAATATAATTTATTATATCTTCTATATCACTTAATTTAAATATAAACCCTTTCTTATCTATATCAATTATATATTGAATAAATACCTCCTCTTTTAAATTGATCATTTTATAATTATTTGTTCAAATTTCTATATAAGGGGCTAAACCATTCATTCTGCAAAGAAGTATTGTATACATTATATTATATAGCTTGTGTGACGCCTCACACCTCCGGGTCACGTGGCATGCCCCGTTTGTATTTAATCACAGGAAAACTCTCTACTCTTGTTTTCCTTCTTCTTTTCTCCTTAGCTTAGTATTTTCTAATACAAGATACTTTACCCAGTATTCTTGAGTGTGACAGCTTGACAGCCTTTCAAATGCTTAGTTTTTTATCTTTTTGAATAACTTCGATAGCTAAAAGCATTTTAGTTTCTTTCCTATTTGATTGCATAATAAATGATTGATAATTCGTGTGTTGAAGTTGGAAAGTACAAATTGAGATAAAAGTGATGCACTCGGTGATATGGTGCACTCGGTGTTAAACCACGTTATATTATAAAAAGAAAATTAAAAAAAACTGATTAAATTATATTATAATATATCATTTTAAGAAAATAATTGATTTCACAATGGGTTTGAGATTGAAGTTATATAAAATAAAAAAATAATACAAAAAGTTGATTGTCTTTCAAAAAGAAAAAGATAGAAACCTTCCTTTATATCTAATTACTAAGGATTACATAACCAGACATCTATAGAAACCTTATAACGTGGTTTATCAGCGAGCGGGCCATATCACCGAGCGGGTCACTTTTATCTCAATTTATATCTTTCAACTTCAATACGCGATTTATCAACAATATATTATGGAATCGAATAATCAAGAAGGTCGAATACTTTTAGCTATCGAAGCTATCAATAAAGACCAAAAATTAAGCATTCGGAAGGCTGCTAAACTATATAATATCCTGTGTACAAAGATTCAGTGCAGAATGGATAGTACTACCCCTTGTATCGAATCTCGAGCAAATAGTCATAATTTGACCAAATTAGAAGAGGAAGTGCTTATCTAGTATATAATCGATATAGATGAGAGAGGGTTTGTATCTAAATTAAGTAGTATAGAAGATATAGCGAATTATATCCTCGAATCATGGGGTGCGAAGAAGATTGGAAAACTCTGGGCTTATCGCTTTGTTAAACGATACTCAGAATTAAAAATATGTTTTAATTGTGTTTATGATTTTCAAAGAGCTCTTTACGAAGATCCCAAGCTTATTGAAGAATGGTTTGGATTGGTATCGAATATATAGGTGAAATATGGTATTATCGATTCCGATTTCTACAATTTCGACGAAACTAGCTTTATGATGAGTATAATATGCCCTGGAATAGTTGTAATTAGTGCTGAACAAAATAGTAGAAGTAAGGCAATACAATTAGGTAATCGAAAGTGGGTTATAACAATTATATATAATAATAAAAAGAGTGAAATTATACCTCTATTTCTAATAATTCAAGGACAAGTTTATTTTTCTAATTGGTATACCGAAACCGATTTTCCTATGGATTAGGCTATTAAACCTACTTCCAATAGATAGATGAATAATAAAACAAGATTAGAATAATTAAAGTATTTCGATAAACATACTATTCGTCAAAGAAAGGGCAAATTGTGACGGAAATCCCTGCTTTCCTCCCACCTTTATTATATAAGAAACCTCAGGTACATTAATTATGTCTACACATGATACGATTACTCGAGATTAGTATGCGATTTAGGTGACCTGAGGATCAGATCCGGACAAGTACTAGGTATCAATGGTTATCGGTAAAGTAAGATCATTGGAGGAATAAATACGACTTCTTTTTGCCCAGCTATTGTGGTTAGGCCATTCATTTGTGTATATATAGAGTAGCTTTCCCCATCTACAGGTGCTCTTCACCTATAGATTCTAAGTTAAATACAATTGCTGGTCTATAAACACCCTTTTGATCACAATCTTAAATTATTATTATATTCAAGTCATTTAATTCAATCATTCAATATTGGATATTTTGATATACTCAAATGTTTATATAATTATCAAATTGAAGGATTTATCAAAGCTTATATCAATCATATTATCAAGATTGAATTCTTTATAATCTTTAAAGCTGTATATTTACAATCATTTACTATTTAGAATATGAAAGCTGGTTTTCGAGGAGTAGGTCTAATATCATTCGATCCTTAATTTATACTTTCAAAACTAGATATTAGGATTCGTACTTTTATCTCTTTATCTACCTCTTTAAAACTTATTAACTTCTGGATCTCTCAAATTCCTTATAATCCAATTGAGGCTCTTTTACAATCAACTTTAGTAAAAGCTCGAATAACTCGTCATAAATCAAGCTCTCCTACACCTATATTTGAGATTGTACAAGCTTTAGTTAAAGGTACAGAGAGATTAGCGTATGAAGTTACACTTTTGAGTGTTGAGAATCATATATTTCAAAGAGCAAATAAGGTATTAAGTAAATGTCGATATACTAAAAAAATTCAACTATGTAATAAAGGAGTACTTACTGGACAAGAAGCTGAATATATATTATCACAACAAGAGGTTGATAATCAGATTCAATACAACGAACATCAAATGAGGGAAATTTTAATAGGGAATCATCTACTAGTCGATGCTGTAGTAAGTGTGGAAAGATTGATCATAATTCAAGAACTTGTCAGAATAGTATAATAGATCCTAGATTATTAGATTCTTGATAGTTTCAATCAATTGATTTAATTGTTGTTAAATAATATGGGTTTGAAATGATAAATTGAGGTAAAAGTGGCCCGCTCGCTGATAAACCACGTTATATATGATTCGAAATCCCAACTTTCTCATAATATATTGATGGGTGGTGGTGATTAAATCTACTTCAGGTTATACCCCGAAGAGTGAATGATTACTCGGTAACACTAGGTACCCGCCTACCTAGGTAATTCTAAACTAAACTCCTTGTCTCTTCTATATGCATGCATAGATATTCGTCTCCATCCCATGATATACTTCAATATGTTATTCTTTCAAAAGCAGCAACATCACACTCCACTTTTACATATTCAAAATGCATATTCAAATAAATGATCAAACAACTGTTTAAATATTCAATATATACATATCCTCCTATTCCCTATCCCTATCCTTATCCCCCATCCTTAACCTCCTCAAATCCCCCATGGTATCGGTAGTAATGGTATCAAAAGAGCGCCCTATTTCCATATTTCATACTTCATGCTTGCTTTCCTCCAATTATATACAAATCCGGTTGTGGCAATTGAAGTTCCGTTTCGTATATCGTTCGTCACTGTTTGCCTTTGTATGGTACAATCTCATCGTGTCATCTCGTGTCGCTTCGTCTTTCCCCTATCTTTTATATATCATCGTGATATATATTCTCCGGTTTGGTAGATGACAAGGATTTCGTATCATCAACTCACATCACACCCCGTACCACGAAAACCGAAAAAATCTTCAAAAGAAGCCTCTTTCTTCCGAAATCGGTGTCATCCTCCCGAATTGCTCTCCGTCCTCCCTATCCAAAACCAAAAGCGGTCGGAATCCCTCTCTATTCACCATTCTCACCTTCTCCCTCCTCTCTTCACTCCCTTCCTTTACTCTTCTCTCCCATTCCCCATCCCCACTTTCCAATTCATTCCTCTCCGCAACAAATAGCCCTCTAGCGTAATCCCTAACGCAGAGCGCACCCAAAACCTGTAATCCCATTGCAACCATCACACCCCCCATCAAAGTCACATACCCCAAGTACATGATTCTTTTACAACCCTTTTCTGTCCATCCATCTTCTCCACCCGTCTTCCCCATAAAATCCGCAAATCCAGCAATATGTGATGATGCGGGGATGTGCGATGATATGCTGTAAGTTGCTAGACTTAATTCTTGACTATTGGTGTGGGATGGGATTTGAGTGGTGAAATCGAGAGAGGTGGTGGAGGAAGGGGCGCAGAGAATGGAGGAGGAGTTGGAGAGGAGGGTGAGGAGAAGCAGCCTGGGGATGGTGCTCAGGAGTGTGTCGAGGAGGAGGTAGGTTGAGAAACATAGGATTGAGAGTGCATGTTTCTGCTAGGTTGTTAGTTACTGTTCGTACCTGTATCTTTTCAAACTCGAAGAGTTCAAGAAAAAGAAAAAGAAACATCATAAAAACAATTCAATCCACCGCCAAATATTCATCTCCAGAACAAGCACTCCAACCTTTCACCCAAGCTGAACTTTTCACCCCCATCCACCTCCGGAACCATCGAAACAGCCTCTCTCTTCGTGACAAAACAACATATCCCTCTAAGAAAGCAAAATGAAGAACAGAAAAAGATAAAAATACGTACCCTAAAACCTCCAATGACACCAAAAACACTCATCACATTAGCAAAATGTAAATACATGCCATAGTTAGCCGCGAGATGAAATGGATCATCGGGTAATTGATGGACGAATATTGAAGAGAGGGTATTAGATGTGAGAGAGAGGAAAGCGATGAGGAGAGTGGTGGAGCGTGTTGAGGTTATGGATCTAGGTGGTGTGTTAGTTGGGTTCGAATGTTGATATTGATTGATATTGGTATGTGTTGTATGGGAACAGGAGGGAAGGAAAGAGGACGAAGGAGAGGGTAAAGTATGTGGTAGGAAATATATATCTTACCTTGATCTTAATCGTGTCATTGCTGCTAGAATAACTATATATCTTGTGAAAGAAGATTTATATTCTGAATCTGAAGTTGATCTTGTGCCCTTTCTTTCCTTTCCTATTCCTCCCAAAGTTCTAGATTCAAAGACCCAATTTTAGAATATCCTTCAATCCAATGTCCGATGTAGGATCCAATGTATTGATATTTAATTGTCGCGGTGAGGAGGTATCTCCGTAAATGCCCAAGTACTCTCAAGTACCTGGTGTATATTTATATGTGTATATATATAACAAAGAACCCCTCAACCCACCGTTTTCATACAAAACAAATGACGAGATTCGATGCAGATGGTTCGGAAAAAACCTTGTTCCAGATACGAGTATAGACTCTGCAGACTTTTCATAGGACGAAAAGAAAAAGAAAAGGAAAAGGAACAGATGAGAGTAAGTAGTGAGTAAGGTGGGAGATGATTAGATTCTTAGTACAAATAAGAGCTGTATTAGAAATGCTTTGAAATGAATAAATAAATGGATGTGTTGTGATGTGATGATTGCGATTTTGATTCCGTGGATTCCGAGAGGGGGCGGATAACGGATTGCTTTGATTACCGAATCGAATCGATCGTATGTACTAGATGCGATGCTGAATGGATGGGATGGAATGTTACAGAGTAAATATTATGACCCAGAGTTCGCTTGGCAGGGGAATGAGCGATTGTCTCGTTGCTGTAATCTATATACTTGTATGTATATGTGTATATATGTATATATGTGTGTTGGAATATTTATTTGTGGAGGTTTGAATGAAAGATGAGGGTGAGAGTGAGAGCGATAATGGGAGGTTCATAGAATGTATATATTATATTACATTGGGTGGATAGATACGAGTGTACTCCGTTGATTTCTAAGTATGCATCAACAATGAAAAGCTTAATTCCAATGACGTCCGGAATCCCATTGCGAGAGGGGAGGACCTGGGGTAGGTATGTATTTGGGAGTAGAATCAATAGATGCTGAGTGGGCGATGTCAAGCTTGATACAAAGGGTCTAGTGATTTTTGAAGGAAAATAAAAGCTATTGGAATTTTAGACTGATTCTAGATTGGAATAGTGTCAATTTGCTAGATGTTTAGAGAGCTTTTCTTGCTTTTGGATGGAAACATGGCATGGGTATGGATAGTCGGAGGAAGATGCGGAAGTGCCGGGTAGATAGATACTTGGTCGGAATTTAGAGGTCATTGGGTCATGTTATTGGGTCATTAGGTCATTGAGTTAATGCTTCGGGTTTATGTGCTTAAGACCGATTGTCCTTCGGTTTGTCTACTGGGTAGTTCTACTCCAAAAGAAAGAAAAATAGTATCGGCATCGAGTATGTATGCATCGACTATGCATACAGAGCATGTAGGTTCAGACGAAATAGGACGGAACAAATTTGTTGGACAAAGCTGATTGATACTCTTTCTCTTCGTCTACAGTAGTATGATCAATGATTACTGGTATTGGAGAGTTCCAGACCAGGTCGTGCTTTGTTGTACGAAAGCTCCACAATTAAGGCAGGAGAACAGGCTTTCCCCATATGTATATATATGCTGAGCGGCAAATCTACAAGGCTTCTGGACAATTCAAAGCGCGATTGATGTTTAGAGAAGACGTTACCTCGTCATCTCGTCACCTCATCACCTCATCGTTCGGAAGTCAAAAGGGATACAGGTCGATTGTTCGAGGTAGGTATTTTTGGATAAGGATTGTACTTGGTTGTTGGAATGGAAATCGACATATGAGTGAGGTCTGTGAGGTCTGAGAGAGGCATGATTGGCGATTAGTGATTATTTGATTAGTGAGCAATGAGTAAACTTGGTGAAGCAAGTTCTTTCAAAGTGATGAGAATGACTTCATGTTCTTGGAAGATACCGTGTGTTGAATTATCCTCGTATTCATGAGTGGTACGATAAGGCGGAATGCGTCGGATTAGATAAAATCAAAGCTTTGTTCCACCGACAAAGAAAGGTCAATGAGAAAGTTGAACGCAAGGCGAGAGATGTCGAGATATGGAATATTGGAAGGAAGATGGAAAGATGAGAAGGAGTGTCGTAGTCGAGTTAGAAATTGAGAGGCAGAAAAGATAAAGTAATTCTAATTCTGTATATCTGGTTTTCATCATGTGAAGATGTGAAGATGTGAAGTACACAGATAGATGACTTAGCATCTGCCGGTACTGCAAGGCACTCGAAAGCACTTCAAGGTTGCATGCATTTGTGAAGAAACGAAGAAATAAAAGGCTCGGTCGGGAGGAGTGCCGCGGAAGATCCTCAAAGCATTCAAAACTCAAAAACACGACACTGATGAACCTCGAGGTTCCTTTGGATCCCTTCACGAATTACGACTGCAGCGTAACATCCATCGAACTCCTTTTCGACATTTTGGCGGACAATTAGAGCTAGATTGTTAAATGTAGGGGGAAAGCATCTAGCATACCTACCTACCTACCAACATTTAAATTAGGAGTAAACGAAGAAAATACCTCGTAATGAAAATATATTAATCTGATTGGTTCACCGATTTTCCAATAGGACAAAGTAGAAATAGATAATTGTGTGCCGCCCTCGTATGCCGCGTTTCCCCAGATTTATTCAAAAAGGACTTTCTTTGGTGGATGGTCAAATTTTCTATGAAAGAATCCATTATTGATCATCGAAATAAAGGAATATTCTTTGGAAAGACGTCGGGTAATAAAGATTAGATGGATCGTACTCCGTACCGTACAGAGCAAGATCTCACATATATCGTATATCGACAGGATTCCGAAAATCTTGGAGATTCAAGGGGATTAATAATTTTGGACCGAGACCAGCAGGAGGACCCTGTTAACCCCTCAATTATTCGGAGATGCCTTTCCATGGGTAAAGGAAGATACGCCGTACTTTTCATTCCTTTTCGTTCCCAGCTTTGGAAAATGGTATCATAGGTAGGGAGTATCTCGTTGAGATTGAGAGGATCATTTTAAGGGTGTCAAAGTATTTCATCTAGTATTGATGTGGTATTTATGTAGTATTTATATAGTGTTTATGTAGTATTTATATAGTGTTTATGTAGTATTTATATAGTGTTTACGGAGGTATGTCGTATCTATATACTTTTCATAGTATTTCATCTGGTACCTAGGTGTATCAATATACTTCTAACCAAATCTCACGCTTCCCTTTGTCTCTTGCATTTCTTCCAAAACTCGCCAAGGCCAATAAATTTAAGTTTTGAATTGAAGGGGTAAACCTTTTGATATTGAGCTTTATCTGGTGCCAACGTCTGTCTTTGGTGATTGCTACTGACCCTGAAACTTTAATAAATTGCTTCAAGTAGCTATGGGTAGGTGTTTCTCCATCTGTGAAAATGGGTTACTCCGTATATCCTAATAGATTGAATGTGGAGTTGGGATATCGAAAAAGGCTCAAGAGCTCTAGAAAGATCAGAGATCAAAGATCAAAGTTCGAAGCTCAAAGCTCGACCCCTTCGTCTCAGAAATCGAAATTTGACTTTGATGTCCATATTAGAAGGATTATGATTGAGCCCTGCAGGCGGGGCTTCTTTACAATGGGCGATCCAAAGGAAGAAACAAAACGTCTTTGATGTAGGATCTTTTCATAAATGGATGCATATGTTTATATAGATTTGTCTGTGCCCGTTTTATTATATTAGACTCCCTCTCCGCTTTCCCTCCCGCTTAATATGCTTCCCGGCCTCATGTTGATTTGATGTCTTGTAAACGGTAAATATCAAATATCCCTTCGTGTCAGACTGATGACTTTGAGTATCCCGAAAGATGTCATTTTACATACCGGCACAGCGCAAGAACACTGCAGGCGCGGGCTCACCGGTCTGCTCCGGACTGAGACCCTAAGACTAGCCCGTTATTCAGTCCACACATACAGCATGCACATGGATACTTAGCACAAGGTACCACCGTAGCCACGTCTAATGCTATGAGATGGGGAATGGCGATGAAGCTTTTAGATAGAGGATGCTAAATTCCAATTTGCCGCCTCGGAGCCCTCAAAGGGATGAGTCTCTCTCCAAGGCTGAAACTCATGGTCATGATCATTTGCTTCAAATTCCTTGATTTTCTTAGTAACCTTATGTGCTCTGTGAAAATACTATGTACTGGCGAGGAAAGCCTTGGAAGAGCTGGAAAGTTCTTTGTACCTGTGAGGAGGTATCTATGCTGGAGTGGGCATTTGTGATGCAATTTGGGCGGGCGCATGCTATTTATATTGAGGTCACACAGTCACACACTCGGTGTTACTTGATATGTGAATGGCTAAACGGTTAGGCCAAAGGAAAGGGCTCACAAAGGAACTGCAACTATAATTACCGGGGCTACGAATGGCACGAGGTTTACAACAAAGTAAGGTTTGAGGATAGTTGGGGCAGAATAGAGTAGATGAGACTTGGCTCTCTATCCATGGGGGCTCATGAGAAATAGAATCATCTAAGAATTGCATTGCCCGTATGGTGAGAAGGGTAACGGTCGATGGATTGGATAAATGAATGAATGTATCCTACATATGACTGGGTGACTGGACTGGCTGGCTGACTGGATGGATGGATGGGATATGTGTATGAATAAAAGCAGGTACAATCAATCTCGTTTCCCATGACTTTGAATAATATCCTCAAAAAATAGTACACTCATTCATTAGTCAATCCTTCAATCCTTCAATTCTCCAAATGAAATTTCGGTCTATTCGTTTATGAAGTCAATATCCAGAACGGGCTTGCCTTAGAGGTACCTGGTCGTTTCGAATCATACCAACCAACCCATCAGATAAGAAAATAATTGTGTCCAAGGGAAAGTGTAATTGTCTTTCTAAGCACTTACTCCTTCTTGTCCTTTTACCTTTTACCTTTTGCCTTTTACCATTCCCACCTCACCTCACCCCGTCGTTGCTTGCTGGGACATATCCATGCTTAGCGTTCCCATTTTAATCGAGAAAGCCATATTCACGTCCCATCCACCATATCAAAGTGCTGCTTTACACTTTACACTTTACTACCTACCACAATAATAATAACTACTACCTACTAGGTACTTACTACAAGTAAAGTACAGTACAGTAAACTGTCACTCCTCCCGCCCGAACGACGCTCTATTGTATGAAAAAGTACCTAAGAGTGATACAACCTTTTGAGAACAAAGCAAAGCAGAGCAGAGCAGTGCATCTCTTTCTACCAGCCAAATTACCTTCTCCCTCATTCAAATTGATCATTTTCCTAAAAGAGAAGAGGATTAATAATTTTTTCTTCTCATGCTCTATGTTACAAACCGCAAGAACCCGTAAATATACCCTCGATACCTACTCAAGCAGCGAGTTCCCTCTTTTCTCCACTCTTCAATCTCAATACGAATTTCTATGGTCCGGAATTAAAAGAATAGCGAGGGACCAATACATAGACCACCGCACTCACAACTGAATATCATCACTTCCTTACAAGGGGGCCAATCTCGAAAGAAGGAAAAATAACCTTTCGAACCTTCTCATTCTTCTACATACGAATTACGACCCACTGCCACACGATTGTTCACAATTAGATATACTTCATATTCGGGGGCAACGACTTAATCCTCTTTCTTTTTTTTCTTCATAGTCGCGTGGCTACCTCCATCATCTTTTAATCTTTAGCAAGACCCGTTTGTCTTTGCTTCGATATTCCCGCCTGTCGTTTATGATTGAGACATCCTCAACACATCGTCAGGAAAAACCCGACATTCCCTCACCCACAACCGACGGAATTTTATAAGTTTGATGGAGGGCCAGCCTTCTACAGGTAATTCTCAATATCAATATCAATCTGCACAGTGGTCGCGACTTGTGCGGCGCAATACCCACGCCGATTCAAATTCCAGCTCCTCTCCGAGTATTCCTGGTCTCCCTCAGCTTCCAACTCAATTTATCCCCATTCTACTTCCCCAACAACCCTTATTTCACCAGCAACAACTTGCACAGTACAATAGGCTCATTTCTTCAGGCAGAAACAATAGTCTGCAAACCGCACCACTCCCCCCACTACTTTCAGCACAACATATTCAGGCTGTGCCCGGCCAGAGATCCAGCTCAAGTGGCGTTACGACGGAACGAAAACATAAACCTGCTGCGAGGGGCGGTCATGGGAATAGGGACGTACGAAAATATACCAAAGGCGAGCGCGCGCTCATAACAGAGAAGGAGACGTCAGCAACCATGTCGGGCAAGAAATTCGAGTTGACGGCTCAACTTCCCCCACGACCAGTTCCACAACATCAAAATTCTACATTATCTCGAGAATCGAATTCCGTACCTTCGACACCACATCAGCATGCGAGGAATTTCTCTTTCGAGTCAAGAGAACCCTCACCGAGTGCTCCTGGCAGCCATTCCCCTAGATCAGCATACTCTGAATCGAACATAACTCTACCCTCAAGACCACCTCCTGCCCCACGAAGGGGATGCCCATATGAAACAGCCATGGCCTTCACAAAACGGCGCATGGCTTATAGCCTTGGGACTGACCGATTGGAGCAATTGAACGATTCTGACATCAAGAGCAAACTATCGGATGATGAAGAGAAAAAGTTGTCCACAGACATGCGCGAATTGTATGATCGATTATTACCAACGGCTGAGACTGATGAGAGGAGGAGGAAGCTAGTACTAAAGCTAGAAGATATGTTTAACAAAGAGTGGCCTGGGCACGACATACGGGTACATGTTTTTGGGTCATCTGGCAATTTGCTTTGCACAGATGAGTCTGATGGTGAGTTGGAGAGCAGCTTAAAGATTTGAAACTCAACTAATAATTTAGTTGATATTTGCATAACGACAGACTGGAAGGCGATGGAGGGTGTGTGCATGATTGCCGAATTGCTTGCAAAGAGTAAGTTCTCAGAACTCGGTCAATGGCAACATAGCTGACAATTTGTAGATGGTATGCAAAAGGTAATATGTGTATCAACTGCCAAGGTTCCAATTGTCAAAATATTTGATCCAGATCTCAAACTGTTTTGTGACATGAATGTCAACAACACTCTTGCCCTCGAGAACACCCGAATGATAAAGACGTATATTGAGATCGATCCCCGGGTGAGGCCCTTGGCTATGATCATTAAGCACTGGACAAAGTCAAGGGTCATCAATGATGCTGGTAAGAATAGGCAATTTTTTTTTGGCACAACTGTTTCGCTCACATTTCATAGCATTCGGTGGCACACTGAGTTCATATACCTGGATATGCATGATCATCAATTTTCTACAAAGTCGAGAACCTCCTGTGCTGCCAGCTCTACATCAAAGACCTCACCTCAAGCTACCAACGAAGGAAGGCGGCGAGAGCAGCTTCGCAGACGACGTTGACGCCTTGAAGGAGTTTGGTCTGAAGAACAAGTCGACATTGGGAGAACTTCTGTTCCAGTTTTTTCGATTTTACGGGCACGAATTCGATTATGACAAGCAGGTTGTCTCGGTCCGAAGTGGAAAGCAAATATCGAAGCAGGAGAAGGGATGGTCGATATCAACGAATAATATGTTGTGCGTGGAGGAGCCATTCAACGTCGGTCGCAATCTTGGGAATACAGCAGACGATTTCTCATTCCGTGGACTTCACATGGAAATGAGGAGGGCATTCGATCTGATATCTGTCGGTAAACTGGATGAGTGCTGTGAAAAGTTCCAGTTTCCAAAAGAGGAGGAGCGAGTTTGGGAGAAGCCACCTCCATCTAAGAAACCAACCTTGACTGCTAGTCACCCGCCGCATAGATCTGGTAGAGGAGGCCACCGTGGTGGACGTAATAACCATTCCAATCGCAATTCGTCAGGTGGTAGCCGCAGGTCATCGAATAGCAATTATGATCATCCCATTTACCAGCAGCATGGGATGCCATCAAATATATCTACACAAGAACAATGGGTTCAGCAACAAGCGCAAGCACAGTTGCACAATCATCTTTATACGACATATTCGGTTTTACAGGCGCAAGAAAATACCTTAAGAATGCAATTGATGCAACAATCGTATGCAGAGCAGGCCCATGCTCAAGCTCAGGCTCAAGCACAGGCTCAAGCATATGCACAGTCACATGGTCGAATGCAAAGTGGTGGCATGCCGATCAAGCAACAACCTAGTGATCGAAGCCGACCCTCCTTATTTGATCAAGGGCCATTAACCGCGCCTATACGACCAGAAGGTATGTATTTCTACCCTCTTCAATATGCCGGGCAACAAATGTATGCATACCCAACCTCAAATACGAACCCATCGTCACCGCAGTTGAGTGCTGTCACTCCTGAGTTGAGAAGAAGTATGCATCGATCCACCGTCACAAATGGCTCGAATTCCAACATGATTCAATCGAATGGGTCAGTTAGGTCGCATTCACAACCTGGGACTCGTACCGCGCCTTCGCCTGTTTTATTGCAAGGGACTGGTCATCCGGCTTTGGGCGCCAATGGACTTGGAGCATATCAACCATCGCGACAGCACACTAGCGGAGTTGCTATCCCGAATTTTATTCCAGATGAGGCCACTGAGCAAGGATATGAGTCGAGGCGTACTGCAACCACTCCACCCGAGCTTAGCACGCCGAAGGAGTATGTTGGTTATTACGTCAATGAGCCACAAAACACATCTTCTCGTAAAGATATACCTCTACCGATACCTGCGTTTGGAGACTTGTCGGGAAATAGACGCCGGCTGTCAACCGATCAACTGCCGCAATCAATTCATGATCGGATTAAGCGTAATCCTTCAAGGTCGCCTTCCCCCCTTGGTAATGATAGGCATTTCTCACTAGCTCAATCTGCACCAGCTCAGCATACGATGTCGAGTTCCAATCTCCGTATCTTGAACAATAATGGGCCTTTGGTGGTAAACGGCTCTTCCACAGGGGGTCCTGGTTTGACTCATGAAACTACGGCTGCGAATGTGGGCCCAGTCTCTGGAGATAGATATTATCACACAACGGGATCCGTTGGATCAATATCTCAAGCCTCCGTTACTGAGAGTGATATCTCATTGGGGGAAGATCTTTCTGGGCAACTTACACCGAGGGATCCGAGAAACGCTCCGAACGGGATTTCTCCTTTGGTTGTCAACGGATCCAGTGCAATTTTGCCCGCCACAAACGGCACTATTAGCCATCAGCCCGTCTCTACAAATGGGCCGCCAATTGCGGACAATCTCGACGGGTCCTCACGATTGTCACCCAGTTCTAGGAATAAACTCGCTCGCCAAAATGGCGGTATGTCACCTCTCGACATAACGGGTAGCCATAATGATATCATCCCAAATGGATTTAACCATCTTTCACCCGTATATGAATCGCACACACCTTCACCGACGATCAACAGGAAGCTCGAGAATCTCAAGTTTAATGGGCCTGCTGTTTCGGAGAAAACCAATGTCGAGCATCCAAAGACAAGTTTAAAGCATTCAGTAGGAACCGAACAACCGGCCAAACAATTCACATCCAGTTTGAAACAAAACGGACATACTAGGGCTGCTAAGAGCGAGGGTAGTGGATTCGGAGTATCCTCAGGAAGCTGGCAAAAACCTAAGGGCAAAAAAGGACGAGGTCCTCCTGAGGCTAAGACTGCCAATGGTGGCAATGCTCACGGCGAAAAGCTCCCAGTCAACGAGAGCGAACGCAAAGGTGGTTAAATCATTGGTGGCCAGATAAAGAGATGTTCTCTTGATCAGATGAAAGCCAAGGTGAGAGTTGCTCGAGGGATCAACATGTGCTCAACGTTTGAATGAAAGGCTTAGTCCAACATCTGTGGGCGTATTGTGAAGCAAGTAGCTTACCTCGCGCACGTTGAATGGAGTTAAGAAGCTGCACGCGGAAAGGTGCATGTGAAAGTGCCATCTCTGCTACAGAAATGGCAGGGGAAAAGGGAAGTTTGTTTGCATACGGAATCTCCTTGGCTATCATCGAGTCAGCTTGTTTTACGACTATTATAGATTTCCTTTCCATGTCAGTCGACACATGGTCAAGAGCGAAAGCAAAAAAAGAAGAAATTAAACGAGTTTTTCGAAAACTCATTCATTCAGATGGATACTTTGTTAGGTTTTCTATCTATGCATTTGCGAAGCGATATGGTTCTGGGTTCCAGTCCGGGCGGCTTTTTCTGGTTTGGGATTGTTTTCGATTCTTTCTATGCTTTTCTATTTGAGTTTTTGCTTTGTTTTGGTCACAGAGGGTTCATAAACTTGCACAATGGGTTTCTACTGGTCGGGTTTGTTCTTTGATATACAATTGGCATGCATACACATAGGGAAAGCTCAAAAATGCGACACTTCATACAAAGTTACTGTTTTGATGGCGCGAGGCGACGTGGGTGGTCGGATAGCGAGGCATTTAGCGGGAGTGGGGTTTGTGGTTTGTTTTTTTATTTTTTTATTTCCTCATTCGGAACGGGTGAGATGGCATGAATGGATGGTAAATGAGGCCAGCAAGATGAAAAAGGAAGGGAAGAGCGTATGATACGGAAGAAATGGCCTCGTGTATGTTTATAGTATAGATGTGCAAAGACTGGGCGAGCATAGCGATGAATAAAGGGGAAGAGGATGAGGAAATACCTACTGGGTGGTGGGTTTACACGGCCAGTGAAGTGCAAAGCGGAGTGGAAAGAGAAACAAGAACAGAAACAGCGATGCACAGCGGAAGATATATGAAATGAAATGAAAGAATAAAAAAATTGTCAAAATAAATTGAAATGATGGGCGATGGCCATTGCATTGCAGTGCATATTAAATATGTGTAGAGGTTTGTTGGTGAAGTGTAGGATGAGTCTAGATGGAGTGTAATGTGAGGTTGATGTGGTGATATGATGCTCAGATTGTGGGAGTGCTGGGGAGCTTGAGATGATGTTTCATACTTAGCAGCTATATCCACCATCTTAGAATCATCATTGAAAGTTAATCCGAAAAATCAAGGGTCCTCATCGGTTTAACCTTAACAATTACCCGGCTTGGGGTTGAATGATTAATGAATGGTACATACTGCTGTGTGTACCTGTCCCGCTTACCCCAGCCGAATGAGAAGGCCTTGTTCAAGGAGGCCCTCCCTTATCTTGCCGCTTTGAGGTGACTCTCGAATTACCTCAATTTGTCTCCATAGATAAATGTACCGCGTAATAAGAATCATCTTGTAATGTCAGCCTTGCTCCATAAATTATGAGTCCTGACCTCCTACTCCGTACAGCGAAGACTACCTATTGTAGCATAGAGTCCGAAAAGATGCAGGATGAGGACGGAATATGAGTCATCTACCGTATACTACCAAATGACAATCCATCACAGACCCGTACGTACGCCACTCTAGAAGGTCTATATCAATTAGCATCTCCGCTCTCGAAATTTCCGACATCATCTACAGAAAGTTGTGGTGAGCCAGAGCAATTGACCAGTCATATCTCCTCGTGAAGCCATTAGACCGCTCAGAGAAAGACTTTTCCTAAAGTTCTGCCTTGTCTGACTGTTACGCGAAGGAGATCATGGGGAATTACGCTTTTCCCTTTTCTGTTGGCCGAAAAGGCTGTGCTAGTATAATATGCTTGGAACCAATCAAATGGATCATAGGAGATCCACAGTGACTCGCCGGTACAGAATAGGTATAGTGTGTTGACATGGATTCATTACGACCTGCTTGATTGCTTCGTGTGAGATGAGTCTCGAAAAAGTCATAATAGCTACACATTTTCCTTCAGGCTTCCAAAACTTTTTTGTCTTTTTCCAAGATTCATCTATTCCAACTTGTCATACTCCTCGTCGTTGATTCTGTGAATTCGCGGCAAGTAGAGTCACTCCGGACCATTAGATCTAAACGTTCACCCTACGTCTCTTACAAATCATCCATCTAATCGATAAGGCTGTTACTGGTAGTCAATTGAATCCCATAATGTCTACAAGAAATCAAATGCCTACCTTCAACTCTTTCACCATCACTCAGCCCTTTTTGGGTGCACCACTTCAATTCCAACCAGCTCTTGGATCAAGGGAGCTCGAGGAGTTGATTGATGCTTACGTGGTTGGAAATGCTTGCAAACAAGATAAGCTTTCCACTGTGACGATCGATTTCTATAACCATGCAACCGTTGATATTAATACCGGTTCCCTCGTTCGTCGATACGATGTGATGCCTTGGGCTTTTGACCAAAGCCCTTCTCAATCACAATCTTCCGGATTGAGTCCACCAATTTTCACTCCTAGCCCTGCTTCTTCAGCTACCTTTGCCGATTCCACTCATAGCTCAATGAGCACCCCTTCACATCGAACTAGAGGGTCACGAGTCACGAAGAAGACCAAAAAAGATACCACTAAGAAGTCTGCGGAAATCAGACTACCTGGCTTTTCCATCATGACCAAGGATGGTATCGATGTTACAAATTCTGCTGGTCGCGGAACTAAGACGAAAGAACAGAGAGAACATGCACATCTGATGAGGATCATCAAAGCTTGTGATGAGTGCAAGCGAAAGAAGATCAGAGTGAGTTACTTCCTATTCTAACTCATGATCGAATGTTTGCTAATTAAATTATAGTGTGACCCATCTCATAGACGTTCTTCACGTACAGATATGTCCAGAGCATCTGCATCAATCAGGCCTTCCCCTCCTTCACAATCAAATCCAAGTCCTGCTGCATCAACCCCTTCCTTATCCCGAGAAACAACACAAGGCTCTGAGCAAAGCAGTCCTCCTGTTGATTCGTTCGCAATTGAAGATTTTGTTCTTTTTCCAGAAGACGACCTCAACCAATGGAACCCAGAAATGTCTATCCCAGGTTTCGATACCCAATACAGCGACTTTAGCATGACCAACTACGACAGCTTCCCTGATTTCGATACTAGCTTCTCAACAATGAATGATAATCTGTCATTCGACTTCCCATCATTTGATCAATCGTCATCTTTTAGTCCTCAACTACTGAATAATACCAACAATTTCTCAAATTATCACAACACACAACCATTGACACACTCGGATGTCAATTCACAATACATCTCTTCCACTCAGCCACTATCCGATCTAGATTTCTTCGAATCATTCTGCGATTTACAGAACTTCTCACCGACCTACAGTCAACAGGCTCATCCACAAGCTGTAGCGGATGAAGACCCTGGAAAGATCAACAATTTTGTACCCGCTCCGGCTCCAAGATCTCGGGTAAATAACGTTCTATCGATATCACCGACGACAATTTCTCAGACCGACGGTGGAGCTAGTGCACATGACTTCCCTACATCATTTAGCTTCTCCCCGACTGATAGCTGTTACCAATCACAAGATTCAGAATATGGATTTGTAAATACCGGCCCAGATGATGCATATGGAAATGTTCCTGGTTTGGGTGTCGATTCGGGCGTTGAGCAATCACCTCAATCTGGACCAAGAGACAGCGCAAGCAGTAACAAGGAACATAGTCGCAGCCAGCGCACTAAACATCAAGTCCTATTGGACCGTGAGCGCAGTCGCGTTGACGATCACGACCGCCAACTTGTGAACGCTTTCCCATCCAGCATGGGCGAGTCACATGTTCCGCGTGCTTCCGCTGAACAACTAGTTTCGAGTCCGGGCGTATTCAATGACGGCGACGGGCTAGCGATGAATATAGACACTTCTAGAGGCTTAGAATCTAGTTGTAGTCCTGTCCCTGGAGAAACTCCGTGGAGCCTTGAATCGAAGTTCGGTTCATTGACTTCATTGGCTAAATCTAGTCTGGATGCACTACCGAATACCATGGAAAGCAACACAGGCGATGGCACACTCGCCGTTGTGAAATCACAAGAATATCCTGACGCCCACGCAAGCTCGAACAGCTCTACGACCATTCTCGCCCCTATTAGTCGCGCTGCACAAATAGTTGGCAATTATGTCCAGTCTCGACGTGCAAACCTTGCTACGAGCAGTTCAGATCGACAGGTATCGAGCGTCAACACCAATATTGTTTATACGCACGTAGCTGTAAGCTCGTCGGTGTCAAGCTCAAGGTCCAAGCCAATTGTAGAATCTATGGCACAGGCAATAGCCGGCGTAGTCGCTACTGGAGCTTTAGTTGTACCTGATCGCTTCAAGATCATGACTTCACCTCGTTTCTCTCTTGTGGACAAATTTGACAAGAAGGTGTCTTCTAGTTCTACCGAGAAATTCAGCAGCGGCTCTCTGGATAACTGCGACATTGGGACTATTGTTTCAAAGGAACAGAATACTTCCGCTATACCATCGGCTAGCCCAAGCTTGAATGTCAATATTCCGGGACACTCCTCTACGCTTGTCAAGAATAGTACGAAAGCAGTAACCGCTCCGGCTACGACAGCTCTCTGCAATGTCTCTACACTTGCAGCATTAGCACTTTGTCTTGCCGCTACTGCTGTAGTGTCGAGGTGTCTCGAGTCATCCGCAATGGCATTAGTCGTTTATGTTGTTGCATCGGCATGTTTTAGTTCTAGTTGTACGGTTTCCCGTCCTGAAAAGAGCATCATGAGCACTTTTATCAGTGCATCTATATGGAATTCGTGGTCCGATATGAAACAGAAGATAGGTTACGAACATCAACGTGTAAGTTTTTCTAGGCGTGAACCTCTGCCAGATTAGGCTCTGAGGAATATGTACTAATATTTGTAATAGGTATTGAAAGGAAAGAATCATAAATCACTTGATGCGGCGGGAAAAATGATGAAGAAGTTTTCCTTGGGAGTTTCGATCTAGATTTAGATGTAAATGTTGGCTTGTGCTAGTGTTTAAGTTCTCGATGCATGAATGCATGATCGGAGACTAGGGAGACGACACTTCATTCCGTTTATGGACGCTTTTTTGTTTGGGTAATGGTAATAGTATACTGGTTTTTAAATCGCGAGATGGTACTTTCTATCTGTACTAGATAGTGCACTTCTTTTAGCATGAAAGGACAGATAGGAAAGAAAAGAACTCGCGGTATAGAATCTCGCAGATAGGATTGAAATTCATACACATCATCGCGTATAACTATCCCTCATACTATCTATTAGTTTTCATTTCGGTATAGAATAATTCATACAAAATTTTATATTCTTAAACTATATTAGTCGGAACATAATCATATATATAATATTCCCCCACATTCATACATAACATCTACCTTCTAATCTAGTAGATAACAAATAATACAACATCATGTTAAAGTGAATGGTTCCTGCGTAGCACGTGCACAGGGCACTAGTCCTATTAGGACTAGATTGAGAAGCTCTCTGTAGGAGAGCTTCGCACTTCCGTAGAACTTAGATAATGAGTGATTTATATACAAGACCAATATAGCCTCAGTTCTGCCCTATCAGCTTCCCACTATTCCCTGTGTAAGGTCATTCCTTTTAATACATCAATTACAATATAATATTATTCACCTGTTTTAAGTACTCTTGTTATCCCTTATCCTACAAGTACCAACAAACTATTTGTTACCCTTAGAGAGGGGGAGTCTTGTAATTCTTATTTGTCTGCATTTTAACTTCTATATAATATGACTAAGATTAAGATTCTTCTACGAGTAGACTAGATCAAGTAATTACATCGGGGTTGAACAATCATGTTTTATCTAGGGTATTTAAATATCTTGTCACGATTCATTAATTCACGTGACCTCGAGGACCTTAGGGTCCCAAGGGTCCTCAAAAGATGATATAGGGTATATAAACTTTCATTTAGTCTCGTGGTTAAGGAGCTTCGTGCTCAATTTAGTTATCAATTAGTTTACCTACATTCTACTTGATCTAGTAACGACTTCACTTCCAAGTGAAGACCAGTGATAAAGCCTTAACCCACAACTACCAACCAGACGAAACCTTAGGCAGCCGCTGCCTCCAGTATAGTATCGTTACATATCTATAAGTTCTCTATTTTATATTCTTACTCTACTTTTAATATTAAATATCGTGATTTTTATTTATTGATAACTTTACTGTGACGCCTCACACCTCTGGGTTACGTGGCATGCTCCGTTTGTATTTAATCATAGGAAAACTCTCTACTCTTGTTTTCCTTCTTCTTTTCTCCTTAGCTTAGTATTTTCTAATACAAGATACTTTACCCAGTATTCTTGAGTGTGACATTTACAATCCCTTGTATTCAATAGGATTTAATAAATTCTAAATTAAAAATTTCGTTATATAAATATATAAGAATTATATATATGTGACGGAAAAGTCGTAAACGGAGTCAATTCAATCACTTAGAATCTAAAACTAAAGAACTAAGAAGATTCTAAGTAAGAAGGTCTTTATATAAAGGGCTAGTGCACGTGAGCCACTAGTGGGTAACAACCGTCACGTAACAATATAGATGAATAGATAATAAAAACCAGAGAGAGTATTTGAGTGATGTAAGATAATTTTAATAGTATATATAATTATATTGATATTTTTTTAATAAGTAGATATTGATAAGGAGTTGTTCATAGGCAGTTGTGGGTAGATAGTTGTTTATGATTTGTTATAGTGTTACGTAGTAACAGTCAACCTGTCCATATGAGCTTAGACCCCGTGGAAAAGCAAACCGATTCGCATACAATTTTGTATGGTAATCGGTTCGTAGAGTCTCCCCACCTTCAGCAAGCACAGACATATAGTCTGATCCAAGTCACGTGATGGACCCTGCATATTCAGGGATACGAATCGTAGGTCCATACGAATCGTAGGTCCATACGAATCGTAGGTCCATACGAATCGAAGGTCCACAAACTCTCAGGATCCAAGAGATCCAATGGAGGACGAAGGTCTATATAATCAGGATGGTTTCCTTTGTGTAGAGCTTCGTGCTCAAGATCAATCATTTAGTATACTCTACTATTAGTTACGAATTGCATATCATTATTGTCATTACTTAAGTCCCTGCTTGACGCCTAGTTATAAACCACCTCGAGAGCCTGGAGCACTTCCACGTGATCTAGACGGCAAACCTCGTAACATATAGGTGAATAGTTGTAGATGAGTAGTTGTAGATGAGTAGTTGTAGATGAGTAGTTGTAGATGAGTAGTTGTGGGTAGGTAGTTGTTAATGAGTTTTTATTAATGAATAATCATTTATAAATAATTGTTTATAATAGATAGTTATTAAATAATTATCAATAAAAAAAAGATTAAAAAAAAAGAATTAATAAAATATAATTTGAAATTTATAAATGAAGACAAAAAAGAGTTATCTAACAAGAATAAAAATAAATAAATTATAATAATAAATAAGAAAGTAAGAAGTCAAGTGAAAGACTAATAAAGCATCCTCTAACTTTAACGAAGAAGATAAAAGTCACTAGACAGTCTAAATTCGTGAAGAAAAGTTTTTAGACACTATGTAACAATTCAGGGCTTGTGATTCGATTGGATTATAAATAATAGTGAGCTACAACCAATAGTACCGAACAAGAGTACTTGGCCCAATCCTTCAATCGCCAACGGCCAAAATGGGAAATTTCGGAGTGATCCCAACAGCAGAGGTGTTGGGGTCGCGATTTAAGGAGTAGTTTTTGATATATAAGTGGTAGGTTTGTTGAAGATGAATTAAGTATGCCTACAAACACCGGGCTCAATGGACAGCATATAGGACAATCGTTTCGGGGTCATATTTATGTTTCCCTTCCGTGGTGATCTCTTGGCCAAAGTCTACTTTATCAGTCCACGCTCTACCAACATACGTGCAATGATATACATCTCCATAATGCCGGTATTTGGTGTCGATTGATTTATCGATATCAAGGTCCATGTGGTAACGTTGGTAGTTCAATTCCTGCCGTCGGAAGACGCATCCGCTATCCTGCTGTCGCTTGTCGGCTTCCCCGAAATCAACCACAACATCACCTGGTCGTGTTCCAGTAGGCACAACGGCGATGCGTCCTGAGCGAAATCGGGCGAATGTCATAGCACCAAAAACATTTTTCTTAATCCATACTGGATAACCATACGAACTATATTTTCGAGAAATGATGGAGATACTTAGTGGTTTTTTAATCTATTCCCAGCAACGGCTATTCTCACCAATTCCTCGTATATTCTAAAAAGAATTGAAAAGTTGTGTTGCGGTCGGGGCCACAGCTCTGCTGCCACAAGACTTTTCCACATAGAACGAAGCATTTGGAAGATAAAGATGGGTGCACAGCTGTCAATCACCAATTGACGATCATCAATCGCCAATTGATTAGCGTGTTCAACGATCTCAACATCGTATGCAGTTGTCCTCAAGAAGAACGTTAAGACCTCTCGGGGCTGGACCTCGGAAGTCGTGGCCTTCACGGGTATGTAACAAAAATTGAGTTCATCCGGTAATGAGATATCCACGAGTTTCATAGGATCCTTAGAAAACGGCCAGCAACGACCTTGAAGGTCATTTATCTCTAGTGCCCAGTCCGGCACCCAAGAAGGAAGGTCGTCTCTTTTAGCATGCGAGGCTTTGGTGGCGGCATGATACAGAAGTCGTCTTATTCCGTTCGGGGTGTCGATGGAAGCACTGTGGATAGCCGCATCCGTGTACACCTGTGCTACACTTTGTCTATAATTAATTCGCCTCGTAAGAGCATCTGGATTCCAGTAGCGAAATCTTGGCCATTTATGATGCATTAGTTGTGGCTTTTTAGGACGAGAATTGTCCGTCACAGCGGCGTAACCAAATATCATACCCTTCAAATCGGATGCTTTTGAGCCCCTTAGAGATGCTAGAACTTCCAGAAGGTCGATCGGAGTACCTCCAGACCATAAGCTACGGTGATACGTCATCCGCCCTTGATTCATATCCCAGAGTACTTGGTGCTGTGGTCTAATCCCGCTATCAAGTCTCGAAAACTTGTAGGCACTATTGGGCGTAACACCCGAAATCTGGTTCCAAGTATAACCGAATAGAGTTTTGCAAAGAGAGCCCCAAGATACTCGCACTCGGTCAATTTGCACAAACACGTTCTGTGGAAGGACCAGTTCTTGGTATACCTAAACTCTACTAAACCACGGGCGTCGGAACAAATCAGAAATTGCATCCTCATGAGCCTCGGATAGAGCATAGGACTTGGATACTCTTGGTGGTCTTGACATGAACCATGAACATTGTTCCCATGTGTGTATGAGCTCAAACAAACAATTCGTCAGATCCGCTGCTGTGGGCCCAAGGTATATCACAGTCTGTTGAGCAAGAGTATATATTTGCTTCATAAGTCCTATTTGGTAGGAGCGCTCATCGTTCGATTTCTGATTGATGCAAATAGCATGTGCCCATAGCCGTAGTGGCCGTTCTCAAAGGCTGGGGGCCACTCCCTTCATCTCTCTAAGCAACCCCCCCATTCCTGGAAATAACTTTCTTCCACCATTCTCTCCCTCCACCATTCTCACCCACCTCTGTGTCTGCTCCCATCCCACCCACTCCCACCTTTTACATTTCTCTTTCTCCATCACTCTCGGTCCCTCACCTTTACCATCCCACACCCCGACCATAAAAATCGACACGAAATGTCTTTTCTCCTCCTTCATCAACAAATTCCTACAATGCCAAAATTTTAAGCCATCCACCGGGATATGCAAGCCTGTTTCCTCCAGAACTTCCCTCGATGCACCTTCTTCAAACGTTTCGCCGAATTCTAGATGTCCGCCTGGGAGACCCCATGTATTAGCTGCGGTCGAATTGATGCGTTCACCAAGAAGATACATTGGGTTTGATGGGGTAGAGCGTGGGTGAGTGGGGTGGAGGATAAACACTCCGATACCGACGACAGGGCTAGATGCTGTGGTCGATGGTGATTTGAAGGATGGCGAGGGGGGGCGTGTCATGCATGTGTGTACATCGATGTGACCCTTTAAAGTATTTGATTTCATGGTAAAGAGTGGGACACTGCTGCTCCGAGTGCATCGAAGCAGTGTGTTGTACGAAGCCTTTCCTAATCTTTCAATCATGATTTCTAGTGAAATCTTACGAGAGATTCTAAAACTTTTCTCTGGCTCAGGTTTTATGTAGTTTTGCTGTTGTTTTGTTGAATTAAACACCTGAGACTCTGAGAAGAACGGCTTTTTTAGTGTGACACTAAAAATGCCCCACCTCACACCTCACTAATGCAGACCCGGATATAGCTGATAGACACAACGGAATAGTATGAACCACGTTTGTATTTGTGGAACTTTGAGCAGACGTTGCAATTAATCGTACCAATGAGGAATTCCAAGCGAAGAGCTTGATATCGACGCGATTAAAGGACTGAATACCATTTACTACTCCGTATGCTACAAACTTAGACATCGACGGGAATTTGTTTTCTTATGCGACATTGTATCAAAGAGTATTCGGCAAAGACCACGATCTTCTACAATATTGTAAGTGTGATCCAGGTAGCAAAGGATGAAGGAGGCAGATACTCTCAATTATCATCTGCTCACATATATTCATTGTCAGATTTTGAACGGAAATCACTAAATTCGGCTTCAAATTCGGCTCGAGTAGCCGTCCAGATGCCAACGGGTATGGATTTCATGGGTGTGAGGATTGCAAAATCAAACGACAGTACACTATGTTATTGCCTGGACTTTACATTCTGGTTACTTCTCCTTAAACATCGATTGCTAATGTCATAGATAATAATACAGCAGATTACATAATCCCGATAGGCCTCCTATCCAAACGAACTAGACAGTCTAGACTCATGAAAACCTTTCCTATCTTCGAAATCTAGCCGTAGCCCATGAACCTGGCTAGTTGCCATAAAGCTTCCGCAAGTTTGTCTTAAACAATTAATCTTCCACTACAGAGCCCCGTGCTTGCAGCTGAGCACTCCTCTCAAGCGACCCCTCATCTACCGTGAACCTCGTCTCCTAGCTTCAAGCTTGCCCTGGGCAACGAACCTTCTAATTCATAACCTCTTTGTATCAAACAACCCTTGGTAGGAATTCGCGCTTTCTGTGTCAGCCTCAATAGCTCGTCCTCGACAGAGAGCTTCCAGCATAGCTCAGAACTGCTGCTGAAGAATATCAGCAAAGCCTCCAGCCCCTATCGTGACTGCCTAGAGTCCTACTTACGATCAATAGACACAGCACAGAAAGTGTCTGAACAGAGCTCATTTTTGCAATATAGTGGTGTCCTTGTTCGGCGTTGAGTTTTCTTGAAAAAGAAGTTTCTGATCAAGTGACATCGTCAGTCAAGTCTTCAACTCAATATTGTTGAAGGAAGCTCCTATCAACAGCAGGGCTCTAAATGGCAAAGAGTTTAACGTTTTAGGTGCGTCGAACTTTCAGACGTGAACCAGTGTTGATTGATAGAACAGCATTACCTGATCGATAATGAACTAAGGATATGAAAGAGCGGACTATTTCGACACATGATTTACATTCGATTCGGAAATAGCCAACCATATTTGAAGATTCTATAAACTTAGCCCGATTGTTGCTGGGGAAAAAGTCATCTCTTCCACTAGATAGGTGACAGATCCAGGTAATTCAAATTCAATATTAAAGTTTTTCTCATCCTGATCATATAACATATTATGTACAACTAACTAGCTAATCAATCGATCAGAAATTCAACTATCCATCACTGCTCCAGTAGACTTGGTTACTTGAACAATAGTCAAAGTTGACTTGCATTACGTTCGATGATTAAATTTGAAATTGAAACTAAAAAGTTCCCCGCTTGTTCCTCCCACCATACCAATACCAATATCAAACCAATACCGTAAGACCATGCCATACCATACCACATTTTGCATGTACGTACCCACCATTCCGAATCCCAAGATACGCGCAATGCCAAAATACAAGTCGAAAAAAAAGAGAAAACGACAAAACCGCCGAGACCCAAGTCCAGATGGGAATTGTGATCATCCATCATTAAATACAATTTAGTTCCTCCCAATTTTGGCTTCCCTAAAGACTAAATCATAACTACTTATCGTCATTCACATTATCCACCAATCATTAGTCGTATTAACCACTCCCACCAAAAACTAGAAATAGTCTGATTTACCATCCCATAACACCCTGACCCTGCCCATTAACATCAAAAATAGCATTTTTCCAACCCGCATTCTCGCCCTCATCTTCAACAATCTGCTCCGCATCTCTGCCTTCCCTTTCCCAAACCTTCACCACACTACCCGGCGCATAAACGCCCTTAAACACATTCCCTCTATTCTTTGCTCCACCCTGAACTCCCACATTCACATACAAATCGGGGTCTTCTTCTGGTGTTAATCTGGTGATTACAGCTTTAATGAATGTTTGAAGATCATCTGGAGATGCGATTCTCGTTGCGCGAAGACGTTCACGGGCATAGAGAAGTTCCCGATTTGCGGCGTGGAAGAAATCAGCGATGGATTTGGCGAGTTGATGTTCGAGGGTTTTGCGAATGATGGGGCGGAGGAGAGGTTTGAAGAGCCTAGGTTTGGTTAGCATTTGAATAAAGGAGTAAGAGATCTTGGAAGGGAGATTTACCAGGCCAAACAAGCGAACTTTGATTTGCTGACATCATATGAGAGATGATGAATCTTTACACGTGTATCTTTTAGAGTGAGAATTTTCTCAAGTTGGTTGTATCCAACATCAACGTCGAACTCGATATCAATACCCCTGTCATCAAGGTGGAAAGAAGCGATACCTTCATCAGCTAAGCGAAGCAAGCCTTTGTGTGCCCTCATCCAAAATCCAACTTCATCTGCTCTTATTGAAAGTCCTTGAATCTTGACCGTTACCATAGAATTTACCTTGGAAAAAGTACGGAATCGAGCTTTCTGAATTAAAAGATCATTGTAGGTTTGTATCTTTAGCCGGTAAGGTAGGAAACTGGTCTGATTTATAGTTCTGCCAGGTTCGAGGATTAGATTTTCGAGTAGAAGATCCATCTCTGGGACGGATATTTCAAGACGAGGAATTGGTACGTATTGTATGGCGGAGATGAACATGGGTATCAAGACAGTAGATAGATCGGTGAAGAGTTCAGTATTGGATTGTTTATTGAGCGGGTTGAGGATATTCCATATTTTCAAAGTTGTGTTGACCAGTTTGGAAACATCTTGATCATTCATTACAGAATCGAATGTTATGCGTGCTTGTTTGAGAAGACTATCAATATCTTTTCGAAGTGGAGATTCGGTGCCCACTTCTTTAGACTTCTCCTTCAATTCCTCGACTTTTTTGTCTGCAGCATCAAAGAAATCTGGATCGGAAAGCATCTGTTGAATCGATTTCGCCAAGTCTCCCATGAGATTTTCGAAGTCGGGATCTTTTTGAGAGTGTTCCATAACCTTATTGAATCGCTTCTCCAGTTCTTTCCAGGCATCCTTGTCACCGAAAGAACTCATTAAAGACCAACCATTCTTCACCGCACGATCGAGCGCTGGATTAGGTTCGACATCATCTTGAACAGCGCTAATAGATTCATCCACAGCTCTGGAATAAGCTTTAGCATATCGTTGAATGAGGAGACCAATTGTGTTGACTGAATCCGAGTAATCAGTTCGTTTGGTCAATTTCGTAACCGCTTCCTTCAACCGACGTCGCAGAGTTTCTCTTTGCTCTCCGGAAATATTCTCCTTCAGGCTTATGCTTGCTTGCTTGCCTGCCTTCTTCAACCCATTGGTAACGACTTCGCCAATCTCACTCGCTTCGGCTTGGAGGTCTTCCTTGGGAATAGGTTCGCTTCGTTCTTCTCCTGGCTTCTTCATCGCCTCATTTTCCTCAGATGATGGCTCGATCTTATTTGCAGCTTCCTCCGCAACATCTGATACCGTCTTTGCTGTATCGGCAAAAACCTGTCGAAAAATGGTATTGAGGTCGGAAAGAAAGATTCGAAAGTCGGAGTTTGTCAAGAGCAGACTACCAACGGTTTTGATACTTCCGTATGCTATAATTGGTTAGTTTTGAACAGCCGTAGGATAATAGCACTTACCAGCTGCGGCATCTGCTTTCGCTCTTGTTCTAGTGGCTCTTTCGACAAGATCTGATGTATTGACAGATATTCTTGAATGTATCAAGAACCATATGAAGTCTTGAATCTGATCTCCATCATTCTTATTTCGTAATAACTCAATGAAATCTGTAAGCCATTGCTTCGAGAATCTAAGCAATCTTCTTCCGCTGTCTGTCAATTCTGGATTATCTGGATTTAACACATCGGAAGCCAATAATGTTCTTAAATTGGCTATTGTCTGTTCAGTGGATGGCATATATCCCTTGGATAAAGCTCTAAGCATCTGATATGTGTGTAATTTTTGATGAGCAGTTCTCTGCAATGAGGTATCATCCTCATATCGAGGCAACAATGGACGAGTATCGTCACCGCCCCTTGACTTTCTCGATCCAAAGCATGAAGACATTTTCAAATCAATTGAAGATGGAGAATTGATGGTGGATCTTTGTGATTGACGAGATCTGAGGTCTGGGGATATGGGATTTTGAAGAATAGGGTGACGGGTTAAAGCTGCATACAATGTCGATCAACTCCACTTTTGCTCCATGCAATTAGATTTGGTTACCAATGAATGAAGAGAATTGACACGAATATTGATTACTCGAGTAACATGAGAAATATGATACGATTATTAGAAATTATATCTTGTTTTTGGATTGCAGTTAAGAGCTTATTATGTGTCAGAACTTGAGGGAGCAAAGACTCCTTTCCTTGCTTTCATTGCTTTGACCAGACGCCTTCTCCTCAGCTAATAAATTGAAGCTTGGGCCTAGAACGAAGTACGTCATCAATATGGTTGATGTCATGAAAGCTAGGACGGCGGGGACGCTAGGATTATATAAAATCCGAGATAATCACGATATCACGTGGAGATAAGAGAATTTAGCTCAGATAGATTGCATGTACTAAGAATGTACGTAAACCTAGTAGTTATCACACATCCATAACAAATCTTCTTTCCACATCCTTTTGGTGTAATATACACTTACCCGCCTAATACACCAGCAAGTTCATTGGAGTACTCTCCAACGATAGAGCGCAAGATTCACGGTTCACCACTCACGATTCAACTTCAAACAGTCATCTCACCCCACTCCACGTCATATAAACGGCTTTCGCGTTATCAATATGGAACAACGAAAGGAAGATATAACTAGAAGGCCATTATATGGTAGGGCGATCAATATTTTGCATGCAAGCATTCAAGCTGACTATTTATAGTCTACGACCTTCCACAGGACATTCTGTCGACTTTAGCGCGCAAAGACGATATCAATAACGAAACAAACCAAGAAGATACCAATTCACCTGCAGATACTACCGAGCGAGTTGTACCAACTAAAACTGGAGAAGGAGTTGGGTCAAAGTCTTGTTCACTATGCGGTGTAAGTTTTCATACTGTGGAAGACCAAAAAAGCCATGTGCGATCGGATTTCCACAACTATAATTTGAAGCAAAAGATTCGAGGGGTAAAAGCTGTCACGGAAAACGAATTCGAGAAGTTGGTAGGAGACCTCGACGAAAGTCTTTCAGGGTCCGATTCATCAGATACGGAAGAAGATGAAGATGGAGAGCGCAAGGAAACAACGCTGAGCTCATTACTCAAGAAACAAGCTGTTATATCGTCAAATAGTAATGAGTTTGATGACAATCCCGGGTTAAGAAAGAGGACAAGAGGATCTGGAAAGGCCCCAATGATATGGTTCACAACACCTACGATGCCGAAGAATACCTATCTTGGAATATATCGAGCTATTTTCACAAATGAAGAGCAAGGAGCGGAAACCTCTATGCACGAAATTGTCCAGAAAAAGCAGCTCACTCCGAAACCTCAAATCAAAATACCGGTCAATAGCGAAGGTATTCCATTAGCGGAATCATACAAAGGTCCTCACATCTTTATGTGCATGATAGGAGGTGGTCATTTCGCTGCCATGATCGTGTCCCTCACTCCTAAGCTAGTAAAAAACCCACAGGCGACGACGGGTCCCTTAACCAAAGAAGCCGTCGTACTCGCTCACAAAACTTTTCATCGCTACACCACTCGTCGCAAGCAAGGAGGATCTCAATCTGCCAACGACTCCGCAAAAGGAGCTGCTCATAGTGCCGGATCTAGTCTCCGTCGTTATAACGAACAAGCCCTTACAGATGAAGTACGACAGCTCCTCACATCATGGAAAGGCATGATTGATACATCTGAATTACTTTTCATTCGTGCAACGGGTACTACTAATCGACGTACCCTATTCGGACCATACGAGGACCAAGTATTACGACAAAACGATCTTCGAATTCGTGGGTTTCCATTCAGCACGAGGAGAGCAACACAAAATGAGCTCATGCGATCTTTCGTGGAGCTCACCCGTGTAAAAGTCCTCGAAGTAGACGAAGAAGCACTAGCAGCCAAGCGTGCCGCTGCCATCTCAGCTCAACAATCGCTCGCCGCGAAAAAAGAAGCAGCCGCAATATTAAAACCTCAACACAACAAACTATCAGAAGAAGAAGAAACCGCACTTTTACATACATCCCAACTTCAATCATTAATTCGTCGCTCAAAACTTCCTGCTCTTTTATCTTATTTTCAAACAAATTCTCTCTCGCCAAACTTCCTTTTCCAACCAGAGGAACAAAATTACCATGCTCCTACCCCTTTACATTTAGCCGCGAGTTTAAACTCAAAACTACTAGTCGAGGGCTTAATATTGAAAGGAAACGCAGATCCAACAATTAAAAACGGAGATGGTAAAACCCCTTTTGAATTATGCGGTGATAGAAGTACCCGCGACGCCTTTCGCGTTTGTAGATTCGAACTCCCATCCCCCTCCACATATTCCTGGGACAACTCAAACATCCCCCCTCCCATGTCACGAGAAGAAGCCAATAAACGCGACGCGCGTGAAAAAGAAGAAGAAGAGAATAAAAAGAAACTAGAACAGAAAAAAATAGACGATGAGAGGTTAGCTAAAGAGGAAGCAGAGAGAGAAGCAGAGCGTAAATTAAAAGGTGATGGGAAATTTAGTAGTAGAGGCGGAAAAGGGAAGCTGGTGGGTGGACTGTTAGGAGCGGGTGTTAAGGCTACAGGACAGGAAAAGAGAGAGGAGGAAATGAGGAATATGACACCGGAAATGAAGATGAGGCTTGAGAGAGAGAGGAGGGCGAGGGCCGCGGAGGAAAGGATGAAGAGGTTGGGTTAGGTTAGGTTAGGTTATTTATGGTAGGAAAATAGATATCTTTGAGTTGATGATAGTGCCTTCTTGGTAATTTATTTTATATTTGTTGATATCAGGATTATAAAGTTGGACTATAGGAATATATATTATATCACACATCACATATAGATAACCCTCCACAAAAACCACTTATTACTTCCTTCCTTCAAAAAAAATATATTATAATACGTACTACTCTCAAGCTAGATCATTCTCGAATACCATCCATTATTAATGACCAATGAAATCACCGCTCACCGACTATCAAAAACTAAGTATATACCTAGTACATATGTTATGTTTATAATCTCATATATTTATGTACGTATGGATTTGTGTATGTGTGTATGTATACGTGTGTATGAATGTACGTGTGTATGTGTGTACGTATGTATGTAATTCTAGGAACATAAGTAGGTAGGTAGGTAAGTAAGTAAGTAAAGCGATCGGCTTATATAAGATAGACGATCCCTCAATTCAATCTAATTATCTCTCCGTTCCATCCATCCATCCATCCATCCATCCATCCATCCATCAATTCAATCTTCAATATTCAATCTGAATCTTATAAGTATCTTCCTCACTTTCCTTTGCTTTCCACTCCCAATACGCATCCATCTACATTTCATTCCTTCCCCCGAATCAAATGGGGATTTCTTCAAGTTCTTCTCCTATTGATCCTCGAGTATACAGCGTGCAATACCGAGTACCGTATCCATTTACTTCTTTTCTTTTCTTTGCTTTTCGTTTTCCTTTCATTTCAACCCATCTCATCTCATATGATCAATGAATGTATGCACAAACAATCTTTGATTATCCATCCCCATCTAACACCAAGCATTCGCAAGAGTCTTCAAGCCTCGTAGAAATCTCAAGTACGAACGACGCCATGCCACTTTTCTATAAATCATCCCATCCAATGCCAAAGCAAAACCACAAAACCGCTCAGTTCAAATCAATTCACCACCACAACACCACAAACGTATAGAAACGCAACCACTCCATATCCCCATCACAGCGACAGCATTACTTATTTTCGAGCCAATGATCGAATCTCGAATATCGTTCTCAAAGCATGAAATCAGATACCCTACCCAATCCCAAACGCTTCTTCGAAACTCATTATCATCACATCATTAATTAGTATGAGTACGAACACTAAAGACCCAATTCACCCAAACGGCGTCGCATAGTAAACTGCAACAATGGATCCTCCATGTCAAAGTGTAGCTGTATAATGACACCCAACTCCGTAAATTTTCATCTCTCCAGAAACCATCCAAACCATTCGCTCGGCTTTACAAGAAAGGTAATAGTCTAACGAAAGGCTAAAAAAACGCCGTCTCCCAGTACAATCCCGAACTCCAATGTAACCTCAACAATATAAGTGCTGTGATTACATATCCGTACTACCAGGCAATCTGACCAACTTGTGTCCATGATGTTCCTTGGGCGGTAGATGATTGTGGCCCACCACCCTATTCATACTCCTATTGCCCGTGCCACATTTACTCGCATCGATTAACTTGGTCGGTTCATCATAACTATCAACTTGACAACACTCGACATTTTTCATCCATCGATTTCTCGCAATATCTCCAATACTGGCCCTATGCTTTGGATTTGGGTTGAGCATAGTAAGGAGTACGCGGCGAAGAGCGGGAGGATTAATATGTTTATCAAAGAATGAAACATGCGGATAGTCCGAATCAGTTATGTTAGCGTCGTCGTGTTTGTCGTTCCATTTATTCCAACCGCGAACGAGTTCGTCGTAGAGGGGTGAGCTGGTGGGCTTCGCCCTTTCCCACAGGCATCCGTTGGCTGTCATGCAAAGCATGACTATGGCGGCACTCCATACATCTAGAGGTCTTGGATCATATTCACCTAGTGAGGATGTCAATATTAGTGATGAGTAAAGCATAATAAAATATTCACGTACCTTGCTTAGCAAGAACCTCCGGAGCAATATATGGAGGGCTACCACAGATACCAGGAGCACAAAGTCTGGTCTCGGTCATATCTTTTCCACACTCACCTCTGGCGGCTCTAAAACCAGGATGAATACCAGCGAAAACTTCGGAAACACCAAAATCGGTAATTTTAAGCTTGCTATCCTTGGTGATCAACAGGTTCTCAGGTTTGATATCTCGATGCGCAATTCCATTGCTATGAAGAAAGTAGATGCCTTGAATGAGTTGCTTGAATAGACATTGACGATCCCTCAAATGGTCTTCCTTGTGGAGGTACTTCTGATTGATGAGACTGAATAGATCTCCTTGCTCACAGTATTCCATCACATGGTTCCACCTACCATTATGTGTACACAGTCGAAAGGTTTGTACAATGTTTGGGTGGCGGGCGGCTTTTGCGATTGAATATTCAGATTTGACCTTATTCTCATAATCCCCTTCTTTTTCCGTTGTAGACTTTCCACGAAATTCTTTCACAGCATATATATCATTGGTACCATTTCTGACCACCAGCTTCACATGAGCCGTAGCACCTTTACCCACTTGTTTTCCACGGCGTCCTATGAATGTGTTTTGTTGATGATATTCTTCATCCAATTCCACGACGTCGACAAGGAAGTCATCTGGAAGGCTCATACTCAAACGTCTTGATTTTAAACCAATTCCAGTTTCGGCTGGCATTGCCCAAGGCTCTCGCGACATCTCCTTAACCAATGGATCCATGGCAGTAGCACTATTAATATCCCAATCAACGCTTGTAGCCCGCTGATGGGCTTTGCTCTTGTCTTCCATTGCTGATGTATCAAAGGCAATCTTTGGTCCATAATGTTGAAACCTATTCATTAAGCTCATGCTTAGACCCGTCGAAGATCTTTGTTTTTTAGACATTGTGAAGGATTCATTCGGTCCTACACTTGAGAATATGTTTTCTTGTGAAGACTGGGGTTCGGATGGCGTACTAGGCGAAGGTGGTGTGTTCGTACGAGAATTGAACGCTGTGGTGGAAGTTGACGTTCGTCCAATTGACATTCGACGATGCTCTTTTCCTAACATTGGATCGGAACCATTATTGTTCGTAAGGTTGGTCTGATCATTTAAGGCGGTTGACAAATTTCCAGTTTGGGAATTCGATCTCTTGAAGAATTTCGAAACTTTACCTCTCAATCCCGAATCTTTTGTAGAAAATATAGATCTTTTCGGGAGCGTGAATGAAGGTGAGGGCGAGTATACGTTTCCTTGTGACGTAGATGATGTTGTCTTGTTGTTCAATGAAGGTGGAGGAGTTGCAATGGTATTGGCAATTGTAGGACGTGGAATTGAACCTGGGGGAAGCTTGCGAATGATGTCATGAGAAATCTCTGAGCCAGTGATTATTCTCGTGTTTTGATGAGGATGTTGAAAATCTGTAGGAGTTACTGGCTCATTAACAGCTTCACTGCTGGTCTCGTACTCATCCTCTTCGGGGATGGAGTCGACTTGACTGGAATCTATTGAGGAAGGCCGACTCGATTCTGCAGAAGCAGAATTTGATTCGATTTGAGGGATATTATGTAATGCATTCGAGGTTTCTTGAGAGATAGGAGATAATGTTGGATGAGAAATTGGTAAGGTAGTTGTCGCCATGATTGCTAATCTGGGTGAGCTGACACCCTATTCAGACAAATCAAGAAGGAGTTGGGAAAGTGCGAATGAGGCGTAAAGTCTTGGGGGTTTTTGAAAATTAAAAATTGAAGATTGTTCCAGCAGATCAAGTCGAACTATAAGGTTGGACTTGTGCACTACCAAGCAGTAGCGTAAAGAGGAATAATGTGGGTCCTTGTGGAGGGAGGAGGTGGATCTGCTCCGATCAATCGGTACACTAGTATTCTGCAAGACCGTTTAAAAGTCTGGGAGTAGTAATCATGAATCATGTAGGTCTAGAACGTCTAATCTGCCTCAATTGTATTGTAGTTGTCTTCGTGAATGGATCTTCTCGACGATGCGACCAATGCGATAGAATTGACTAATTGCGCATTCCCTCCAGGCAAGTGTAAAATACAAGCAGCTATAAAAGAAACATGATGAAAAAGGATGGGAATAATCTCCTGGACAGAGACAAAAGGAGTAGTGATGATTAGTTCAGTAGCAGTAGTATTGAAAAACTCGAAGGACCGGATTCTTAGAATAGACCAGGATCGGGAAGGAGGAGAAGATCTGATAGGGTCTATTAATTGCGAATGCGAAAACGAGGCTTCTGCATAGAAGGCTTGGTAGAAGAAACAAATAAAAGGAAGGGTGTGGGGTGGAAGATCAATCAAGAAAAATCCCTTCTTACATTTGAACGAATGAAGAGGTTTAAAGTAAATCTTGGTAAATGCGGAGGAGGAGAAATGGTGAAATTTATTAGATTCGTGAGACCTGGACTGTACTGGAAAGGTAAAAGCAGAGGCAAAGGCAAAAAGCAAGGATAACCTTGCATGCGCAGTCACACATAAAAAGTAGTTGGGTGATACGAGCAAGAATGCTGCGTTGCGAGCAAAATCGCTTTGGCTTGGTTGGGTTGTTGGATTGAGCGATTGATTGATTGATTGATTGAAGTTCGAAATTGGGAAGCTGGATGACTGATGGCTGGATGACTGGATGGCGATGGCGTAGCTTGTGGCTTTGGCTTAATTATTCCTCCTCTCCTACTATATTATCATTTCTTGCTTGGTGATCAATTGAGTAAAGTATTGGTACTTGTTCGTACTGAATTATAATTAATGCTTTCTCCTTTGAATATGAGAGGATCTAGATATCCATTTATCTATCAATCTGTATAATGGCAGATTACCTAGTACCGGATATGAGAGACGCAAAGACGTGATTGTATCGTAATTCAATAAATCAGTCTCTTTTATTTGTCCTATTCCCGAATCAAGAACAAAGAAACCTTCCATGTCGATTATATGGTGAAATATTGTTCATTGAAAAGACAAGAAACCGGCAATTCCATGCCGAGGAATTTGCCCATGAGTAAATGACAGATACATAATGTTTTTCCCCTACCGGCTCTTGATGACGGAAGAGTAGCGGATGCATACATACAGTCATTTGGATGCAGTAATTGATATATTTTTAATCTTTGATACCCGTACATATTGATCTCTGGAACATTTCTTCGCTTATTCCATTTATTCCATCCCGTCTCAATTCCATTCTTCAGTAATATATACTATCTTATCTCATCTACTCGAGTATACGACATAACCATATGATTGCATGTCCACCTCCCAATTAATTCATAATATCTCACGCAATAAAATATCTGACTCTTTCAGCTTCAGATTTGAAAATGCTTTTACTCACTCACCGATTACCCAAGTACAGCTCCCTTTCATAGGTTGGTTACTTTTGGAGGATTGTCTCGATGCTACATTGTATGAGCCAAGCAAAAGTACAACCCAAATGGTACCTCTCGTTTTCCGGGATTATGTCACAAGGTACTTTTATATTTCGCCGGACGTTGAGTTGTTGAATCGCCAAGACAATAATCTTCGATCAAATCTGCGTCCTAATATGAAAGCCAAGAGAAAAGTAACCCTCAGTATTGCATTGTTACGGGACGGACAGCGGATTGAGGGACGCCTTGTATACCTCTGCCAAGACTTCATTATCATCAAACCGGACATCGAAAATGGAGGCGACGATATTGTCACGAAAAGGTCTTTATCTGCAGATAGATCTGTCCAACAGACAATACACTCACCCATTATCTGAGCTTTATACAACCCGTCAATCCATCTTCCTGGCAATTGGTTCCTAAAGTTACTTCTTCAACGGTACCGAGTACATCTAGACCTTTACCACCTAGAAAGTTGAACCATACGGAGAATTATCTGCTCTAAACATTATGCCGAGAAGATTTTGTGTGTTAGGTGGAAGATGTGAGGAACGCTAGAAAGTTGGGGAACACCAAAATGTTGCATTGTCAAAGAAGTACAAGGGCATTTCATGCATGATGTGCATACAGAAATCTAGCCCTTTTGACTTCCGCCGCCATGTCCGAAAATGCTTCTAAGCCCAAGTCACCCGAAGAAGAAAACATACTGTTGATCATTTTCATCTCTCGGTTTTTAAAGAGTCACAGGTGCTTCAAAATACTGTAAAAACACAGCGACTTAATACCGAGCTAACCTGTCAGCCAGTGCCTGTACTCTAGGACAAATGGAAAGGTAGTGACCCGATGGACACGGAACAATATTGTATCCGTTGAACGACCCTTCATAGGGCAGACGAGGTAAAAATGTGTCTAGCGAAGATGTGGAATTTTGATGATGGATATGTTTCTAAGTCTTTCATCAAAGTATCCTTGAGATAGGTATCTTGCTCCTCGCAGATCTCAAGAAGTCTTATTCAATTCTAATACATTTAGATTCAGCCAAGAGACCCTGCGCATGGAGGGCGCCATTATGATACTGAAGTCATTCACTCAATTTTGGAACTCTCTCGATCTTCCTATTTTGTCTATAGCAAACGGGTACAACTAATCCACAACATTAGTGAGTTTTCTCGAAAATCACTCAAATGTAAGCCTCATTTATTGTCACAACGCGGGACCATCAATTTGATTGTCAAAGTTTAGCGAAACCTGTCCATAGGTAGGTAATATTACCTATGTATAGTACAATTTAGTACTTCTACGGAAACCGTCAGCTATTTACAGTTTATGTATTTGACTTCCAAATCAGATTGTTGGTGATGATGACATAATCCCAAGACTGCAAAGCAAGTAGGTCAAAAGGCGTCTTACAAAATCATTCTATATTAAGGTTAAGTGATTAACTTTTTTTTCTCTTTACCGCTTGCGCATACTCATTACTCAACACATATTTTTGCTCATTTAAGAAATTGTAGGAGACTTTGAGGCTTTTTGATCCCACAATACCTACCTTACTTACACAAATAATCATCCTTCGGCCCCGAAGTCCCCTTCCCCGCATTTACGATGGGACGACGGTTAGACATGGGACTCAATCAGGTTAGTTGATTGTCAAACATCCTTGAATACCGCCGATAGCGTATTGAATATGCACGTACCATGGCGGGGTCAATCAACCACGATGGATCAACCCCACCAGCTGTACGGTCGGAGGGTCATGGTGGAAAGGGGATCCGGAACATCAGGTGAAAAACCATAAGGAGTCAAATTCAAGACCTTTGATTTACATACATACAGTACACATATCGACCATGAGATACGTTGAAATCTTTGCAGAACTGCATTCAATCTTCAATCTTCAACCTTCAATCTCCAATCTTCAATCTATTCCATCCAATGAATTGGTGACTGCATAACTCGACACTCCGAACACCACGCGCATTTTCTTATGACTTGTCAGCTTTCATTCCGGAGCAATCATTAAAGCTCGTGGGCAATTATCTTACCTACACAATCCTCAAGTTGTTTGGTCAAAGTCTTCGTTTCATTGCAATCTCAATATATTTCCAGTCATTATCGCTAACCATCAATGCCTAGGCTTAGCATCATGACCAAGTACTGACGCCAATGTGTCATGTGTAACGACACATGGAGTTCCATACTACTATTCAACCGATCTCTTCTTCCGAACCTTGGGAATTTCTTCCACAATAAAAGCCACATCCATCATCTAACCCATTCAAAACTCATTGAATTATTCCGCCATATATTAAGTTACTTCTTGGCTTTCCTATCAGTCTTCATGCTCTTCAAATAAGCTTTCTCCTCCAAGAGAATCTAGAAAATCTAAACATTCTAGAATACTATACCTGCAAGATTCTGCATGAATCTGAATGTAGTCAAATCGTACAGACAGAGGGAAGTTTGGGATCTTATTTTGCTGAACGTGTAAATCCCAAAATCACCTCCAAGACAAGTCAGAATACGAGTTTCGATTATTGCCGTACTTTATATTAATACTAGACAGATCTGTATCAACTAAATCCTCAGCTCGATAATCTACAGTAGTTCTTACATTATCAAATCTCCGTACAACATTTCATCCGTACTCGGTTTGAAAGCCTCATGGGAAAATATTAAGAAGCGGTCAACCGAAGTAACCTTAGCCTCGCTAGGAAAAATCCCTATCTTGAATTCTACGCCGCAAATGTTTGCAAGCAAGACCTTTTATATCCAATAAAAGCGAAAGGATTACAAATGCCCAGATCTTGCAGTGAGGCATTTACGCCGACCGCATTTCCAAAATAGTTGATCCTGTCCGCTATAACCTTCCATCTTAACTACAAGGTAATTCATTTTTACCCTTCTCAATAACTAGGATACCTTTGGCTGATGGCGGTTATATCAAAAAGCCTATCCGAAATTCCATCTTTCCTGGTAATCGAGATGTGTGCATCAAGTCCATGCAGGTTTATGTGCAAAGTCGCGTGCGCCGACACTTTCGGTGGTGATTTCTGATATTGATCCGATAATCATCTGTTCTTGTGGTAAGAAGAATATTTATGATGAAGATTTTTGAAAAAAGGCTTTTGAAACGATGAAAAAATGATCTTGGATTGATTACCTATGTCAGGCTAGAAAAGTTTCGTTAATGTTGAAAATTATACATTTCGCCTCTGTACTATCGCAATAACAAGTGTGTTTTAGAGGAACTATCAGCATGCATGGAAAGTTCCTTTCAACTCAATTACCCGTAATGTAATGGTCCGAGAATGGACTATTGCAGAATAACTCGTGGGGTTTATTCATGTACCTCGGGTCATTGCTGCTATGCGATACTATGCTTAGACTTTCAAATACGATTGCTTCATGCACGGAGTATATGCATCTGCTTTTGTCGTTATACATCCCTAGTCTATATATATTATGTTTTGCAGGATATTATGGGGTTTGTGTGACATGTATAAGTAAGGTGGGTTCGGGCTGATTTAGGGGTCGATAATATAGGGATCGATGTATTTAATCATTATGTTGTTTGATGTTTGAGTTTCTCCAAGGAGTTCTTGCTTCGTTCTGTTTTGGCATTTATATACAGATTCTTGCGCGCTTGCTTTTACTTTTACTATGTCCTCATGATTCTTTTGTATATCTAAATATTTAATATTTATTGATATTTTCTTTTAACGATGAAGTCAGTAAACCTTCTTTTCAGCAGAAAGTCCTTTCCCTCAAAAGAGTCAAGTGGTATTGAAGTCAATTTCTCACTTTCCTCTCGTCTTGCAAATATTGAATATTTACCTATACCTCTGTCCTGAATTTAAAGGAGTATATCTCGACTCCCTCACAGTTATGTATTGTTGTTCATCTTAGATGTACTCACCAGTCTTCACTATTTTTCATATTAAGGAAGTCAATATTGCCTTCGACATCTGAGTTTAGATGTTCATTAACTTTTATATTAAGATTAATTCCCTTATTTCATGTCATTCTGCTCATAGACGATGAGTAGTCTTCGTCGCTGCAGTATTTTTATTGGCGAATAACGGATACTAGATGTGATACAATGTCTAGTGAGTATTACTATTATTAGCACTTCTATTGAGGAAGAAAAGAGATCTATCATCTCTACTGCGTCGACAGCAGGATAGTACCTAGATGATGATCTTCAATAAGAGTTCTGACCTGAGGAGTAACCTCGATCCCTTCAAACTCGACAAGTTTCGCAAACAAAAAAAGAAAAAAAGGTTATTGTGCTTCTGAATCATTTATTTTATTAGTACAAATGTACTCGAGTAATCAAAATAGTCTATTGAATTTCACTTATATAGTCCAAACAATCCATAAACTCTTCCTTCTACTTCCCCAAAATACATCCAATATCATCTACTAAGATAAGAAGAGATTGATGAACTCAGCAACTTTCGCAAGAAAGGACTATTGTACTTCCGAATCAATCATTCACTTCATTCACTCCCCTAGTACCACTAAAATCAAAACAATCCACCAAATCTCTCACCTTCAAAAAAATCCATATATAAATAAACTCCTCCATCTCCCCTCTCCCCACTCCCTCTCCTTTACCAAAATACATCTCCCCTCCTCCCCTCCTCCCCTCCTCCCCTCCTCCCCTCCTCCCCTCTTCCCCTCTTCCCCTCTTCCCCTCTTCCCCTCTTCCCCTCTTCCCCTCTTCCCCTCTTCCCCCCTCACAAACCCAAAAACCCAAAACCCAAAACCCACCAAAAAAACAACCCTGTCCTCGGTGAGACTCGAACTCACGACCTTTGGATGGCACAGTAATTGTTAACAACTACCTCACATTGTATTATAAAGGAATATGAGACCAACGCTCTAACCAACTGAGCCACGAAGACTTATATGAGTTGTTTTTTTTAGGTTACTTATAATTATACAGTTTTTTTACAATTTATTACGGAGTGAGTTTTGGGATGTGGTTGGAGGGGTGGGGTGTTGAAGAGATTTTTTTTTCTGGGTGGGTTGGTGGGGCGGGGTGGATGGATGGATGGATTGGTAGAGGGAATATATTTAATTAATCTATAAATTTCTTTCTTCCAATTCATTTCATTACATTTGATAATATCATAAAGAGAGAAGATATCAATATCAATAACATCTCAACACATCGATCCATCCATCCATCCCATCCCATATACAATCTCCAATCTCCATTCTCTAATTCCCAAATTCTCACTCACTCATTCACTCACTCTATCCTATCGATTGATTCTCCCAACTTCTTATATCTATCGATAATAATCCTATAAAAATTAAATATTCCACACACACCCGATGATCCCTTCTACTCAAAATACATTTTCCCTCGGAATACCTTTCAAGCTCTGTCCTATGTGACTTGCAGCGATACTACTCGCTGCTCTTTCATTTCTTCTTCTATTTGTGCCGCTGATTCTTTCGCTTGCGGTTATACTTCCTCCTTTATTCTTATTCCTACTTCCGATTACACTTTTACTTGCATTTCTACCTCCGCTTCCGATTCCGCTTACACTTCCATTCTTACTTTCACTTCCAATTCCAATTCCGCTTATATTTCCATTTTTACTTTCACTTTCAATTCCACTTCCAATTCCGCTTATACTCTCAGCGGTCCTCTTATTCTTCATCTCATCCCTCGCACTTTGCCTCTCACTCTCTCTACTCCTCCTCCCATTAACAGAATGTTTCCTACTTTCTCTATTTCCGTTGCTTCCACTTCTTCTACAACTCCTCATTTCACTAACCAAACTCGAAATCCATGACACCGTATCCCTCTCCCAAGTATCCTTACTACTCCTACTACTCCTACTACCCCTGCTACTCCTACTACTCTCACTCCCTAGACAACTTCCACCCCCTCTCTGTCTATCCACTCTTCCAATTCTCAATTTCCTTAATACTCTCCTAATAGCTCCTATCGGCTCACATAGATAAAAGATTCCCATATCGTCAAATAATGATATCCATTCCACATTACATAATTCAAGTAATGGTTTACATAAAAGAAGAATACCGAGATCGTCGAGAAGATTGAGGAATGCGAGAGCAATAGGTGGTGGTTGATTGGAAATGAGTGTAGAAGCTCTTGATACGTCTGCTGGGGAGAAAGTAGTGTAAGGAGGAGAAGGAGGGAGACGAGTTGGAGCGGAAGGATAACCGGATGTTAGGCTTGTCGTGGGAGGAAATGCATCGGGAGATCTGGAGTGCGATGCAGGTGTTTCTGATGTATTACGAGTGGAGTGGGATGGAGAGCGAGAATGGTGGGATTGATGTGGTCGATGTGGTCGATGTTGAGTTTGATTAGTAAGTTGTGGTTTGTCTAACGAGTCGACACTAATATTGATGGTTGGAGAGCGAAAAGTTGATGCCAGTGAGGAATTACGCGTGGGGGTATCATAGGTTCGTGTCCGTATACGTCGTCTATGTTCATGTTCTTGTTGGAGATAGAGTGACGATGGAGGTGACATGATGCCTGGCTTAAGCCTGACCGTCTGAGATATTGAATGTCTCGTAAAGCTGTTTCGTTGAGGTGTAAATTGGATTTTAAAAATAGTTGTGATTAAATTAAAAAGATATGACCATGCAATAAATCTTTCTTTAAAAAAGGATAATAAATATACAATCAAATCAACGCTGGCAAGTAATAAGCTGGCAAGCAATCAAGCAAGTAGAAAAGAGTGAAATGACGAAAATGGATAAAAATAAATCTACCTGTTCAAATGCCTGCAAAGTAACAGTCGGGTGAAAACTATTCAATGAAAAATAGGAGATTCATGAACTTTTGAAACTCGAGAAAGTATATATTACTCCTCGACCGCTTCATTGGAAAATGTTATGTTTCCATCGAAAGTTCGAAACACTCCATCATTACTGTCTGGCACGTTTTCAAGAAGAGGAAACAAAAGAGGGACCCAAAAGCAAGACAACAAGGCTCTATTTAGAAGATCATGGAAACGTAACTATTCACCGTTCGTTTCATTTGAAATCTCATGAGGCGTATCTCTGCCTAAACAACTGTGGCTTTTTTCTCCCAATACCTGGATTCTGTTACTGGCGACTTCGCTGGCAATCTGATCCATCTAGACTTTTCCATTTATGAATATCCCACCTTGTTCATGGGTACGAAAGTAACCTTTGTCGCCTCATTTCATTATCATTTGACAGAGATTTCGTTCATAAAATGATTTCCTGATCGCACACCGTACAATCAGAATGCAAAATATGGGGGTTGAAGAAGTTGAAATGATTGGCGACACGTCTATTCCATATATAGATTGAGGGCGGATAATTATCGTGTACCTATCGGCTTTTCTTCCTATCTGAAACGACGTGCACTCAGGCATTTATACAGCCTTATGGAGTAAAAAATGGAGAAGAAATGGGGAAAGTTATGGAGACAAACAGGCGAATCTGCCTTTTCATGGATGGCTCAAGGGCTTGTGACGTGTCAGGGGGGTGTTTTGGGAATGGTAAGAGAAGCTAAGAGAGCCCTGAAAATCCTTTATGCTTCTTTCGTTCTTGCGTTCCTTTTAGCTTTTAGGCTTACTCGTTAGGGATTGAGGTCGCACGGTTGGGCAAAGCGGAAACAGGATTGACGGATTTATTGTTTGATAATAAATATCTGGAGATGGTAAAAGGGGATCCTCCGGTAGATGTTTATTAGTAAAGTGACATTCCATGTAGCATTTGTCTGTCTTGTGACGAGAAGAAAAAAGAGGAGAGGGGAATGAGGAGAAAAAGGAGAAGGAGGAGAAGAAGGGGAAGAAGGGGAAGAAGGGGGAGATGGGGGAGATGGAGATGGAGATGGGGGAGATGGAGATGGAGATGGGGGTGTAGGGGGAGAAGGGGAAGAAGGGTGAATAGAGTGAAGGATGAGCAGAAAGAAATATAAAAAAGAAGAGTACAATTTTATGCTAACTAGGTACTAATGCTAATGCTAACTGGTACCTGTTTGAGAAAGACCCTGAATCCAAAACAGTCAAATCAACGGATCGGTCCGTCAATAATCATGAGCTAACCAATTAAATCAACACATTTGATGCATAACCAAGCAAAAGGAGTACCGGAATCATTCATATTTTATGCAATGACAACATTAATTGCATATTTCTAGCATTTTTTGGAGGAATAAATAAATGACCAGGAGACTAGAGAGACAAATGGGATTCAATGTATGATGACAACACATCAATAATGTGTATGTATATGTAAATGTAGATGTATGTGTATGTATGTAATATGTGTACTAGGTAGATAGATAGATATCAAGCAGGTACGTATGTATGTAGGTATGTACAAGAAGTTAGATATAATTGTTCGATTTCCTTTCACCGATATTTGAAAATGAAAGACACAAGAAGAGAAAGAGTCTTGTATTCAAGTGAAAGGCCAAAGAACCCAAGGAAGGACAAGGGAAAAGAAAGAAAGAGAAAACCTTTTTCTCGATGAACGGGAAGTGGATCGTGCTCTCCGTCATAATTCCTCGGCCGAATGCCAGTAGTCGCACCTGAAGATCAGATCAATCATCAGCCAGCCAGCCTTTCATTCATTATCTCATCATCAGCTTGCGACGACCCAATTAGTTCTTATCAACTTACATTACAATAACTAATAACTATTTGACTCAGAAACTCTCTTATATTCTTCTTCAATTTATGCTCAAATCAAGTCAATCCCACCCCCATCCGATTCATTCATCCACCCATTCATCCCTCCATCCATTCATTTATTCATTCATTCATTCATTCCTTCAAGAGTCTTCAACAAATATACCACTTGAAAATTCTGGGTATGAGTATTAATACCTACCTAAGCTAGTATACCTTCAAAACAACTCCCGTTCAGTTTCACACCACACGTACATACCTACATACACTCATCTCAAAGTCAAGCTCGAGTCAATTTCAGCAATCAAATAAATCAATAAATAATTAAACGACATATACCCCAACATCCGAAACCTCCCTCCAAACTTTACTCACTCTTTCATTCCTTCTGCCACGGGTGCATTCAAAATGGCACATTTAATCCGATTACCACTCTCTCATTCAGGTTCTACCGTCAATTCACCAATGTCCATTCATCAACATCATCTAGGCCAAGGTCCAACCTCCTTTTTCCCTCCACCTACCTCGTCCCCAGGGCAATATAAACACCACTCACCTCTCAGCGACATACCGATTTCTCCTCCTCACACTCGATCCGCTTCTGCAGAAAATACTGCCGCTCAATTGATTGAAGACTTCAGAAGATATTCACACAAATTAAGAGATCAGTATGAGGGGGAACGAGCCCACATTTTGGCTGATAGACAACGAGCAATAGAAGTCATAGCAGAAGAACGAGAGTTATGGGAGAAAGAAAGAGGGATGTTAATTTCTCGAATTCGAGATCTCGAGAACCGACTCGTATCCAAAGGAGAGATCTTATCGCCCACTGGAGTGTTCAATCTGGATTTAGCAAGTTTTGGCTTTAGTCCAGCAGGAAACATGTTCACCAGTCCAACAGGCGTACCGATCATCAAAGGACCACCAAAAGTAACCGCATCTCCATCAGGGAGTGGAAGTACAGATTCGAAAAAATCATCGCATGGTCACCAGGAAATCAAACAAGAGTCTGGAAGAAATGCCGATGGTTCTCCATTTTACGCACCAGCACCACAAAACCCCACGAGAACATTTTCAACAGAATCAGAGTCATTGAGAGTTGAGGACATTCATGCGCCAAGACAAACACCAATCCAAGTTATCCAGGAATTAACTCCATCCGATTTTGTTGGATCCTCTCAATATGTTTCACCCGAAGTTGCAGATTCACATCACTTTAATGTACATTGGGAGAAGGATGGGAGTAGTAATGGGGATATTATTGGTGCTGATAGTATAGATATATCACAAATCGCTCCACATCTCGAAGGTGTACCAATCAAAGCCAGCGCCGTGGATCCAGTATTCGTTGCTCAAGTATTAAGTCCAAGATCTGCCAGTCCGAGATTAAGCCCCAACGTTAGACCGCCAGGGAGAGATATTGGTTCAACACTAGGGAAAGCACATTTGGAATCGGAAAACAAGAGATTAACGATGTATGCTGGCCATACACCTAATCATTCCATCTCACGCTTTTCGGATTTGGTCAAGGAGAGTCAAGAGTCTGAAGGGGATGAAACGCCTAGGGGCTTCAGTGGACATCTCCATCGGGGTTCGCTTGCGCCAATTCCGGATGAGGATGAAAGACTCGCACTAGATGGAATAAAACCAGATGAAGAAGATGAAGAAGTACATGATCGCCCATTGACGGGCCTGTTAGGCCTTACCAATGTTCCAGCCAGGGATGAAATTTTCCTCGAAGCACTTACGGAGAAATTGGAAGAAGTAAAAAACTCAAGACCAGGTAGTAAAGAGACGAGTCCATCTGCGAGCGTAGGTAGTTTGAGTCCCATTTTGGAGATGAAAAGACCGAGGAACAGATCTATTGGTGGTGGTGGTGAAGATGGAAGGGGCATGGAGGGAGAGGATGATGAGGACGAGGATGAGGATGAACCTGTCGAAGTGAAGTTGAAGTTGAAGTCGAGTATAAATTTTGGGAGACCAATGGGTTTTAGATGATTGGCTATCGTTAAATCTACCAATCTTGGCAATCGGGTGGTTTTCTTTTTGTCTTTCCTACTGGGCACGCAGGCATTCACTTTGATTCGACTACGACCGAGGAGTAAGTTGGCATTTGTATGGACGGACGCTATGATTTATGAGTGTCGTAATTGGAAATCACCACTTCCTTCTCCAATTTAGCTTTAGGCTGGGTTAGGTCGGATCGAGCAAGTAATCGAAATTTGGATGGACGGAAGGCAGGAAGATTGCCGCAAACTCAACTCTCAAACAGCATGATGAAACACCATGGATAGAACATGGACGGGATGGAATGGGACAGGACACATAGTCATAGCGGGAAGATAGACGGATGGAAAGATACCCCTTTTACACTTTTTACACTTTTTAGCCTTTTTTTCCCTTTACAAGATTTCTTTTGTGTTGTCGTCAGCGGAACAGATTTCGAAGGATTACTTTCATCTTAATTTTCACTTTCATATCTACATATCTACATATCGATTGATGAATTGATGGATGGATGCAGTATAGCGTAGCGCAATGGAATGGAATGGATTCATGGATTGGAATAGATTGGATGGGAATGAATTACCGCGAGATACGGAAAAAATAGTATAGCGTCGTATCGTATCGCATGGGCATAGCATAGCATAGCATAGCGTATAACGAACGTATAGCAGAATAGCGAATAGCATTATTAATATACCTTTTTTCTTAATTGGAAAATCTTTCTTCATGTATGGTTCTATCTCGTTGCGTGTTGCTTTTGTTACATGGGTGATTTCATGTGTATGTGTATGTGGTACGTGATAGGGAAAGAGAAAGAGAGAGGTAGTTGAGTTGTCATGCCCATTACATTCTTTTCACTGACATTGATCTTGATATCAGAATATTATAGTATACTTTGGTAAGATCTTACTTAAAAGTAAGTCCTTTATTTGATCGATTTGTCCATCCACTCTTCATCCTTCATCCTTCATCCTTATCCATGTTCCATCTTTCATCTTTTCTCCATGCCTGCCTGATATAGGATCCTAGATGTCATTCATAGATTTTGGAGCTAGATATCTCCAATGTATTTCTCCCATAGCATATCACAAACAGATTGTCCTCCTCAAAGACTTTCGAAATAAATCCCTTCCGCTCCAGTGCTCGTAAGCTAAAATGAAATGGAGCGCTTTCATAAAATCAAACAACCTCTCACCCCTTTACTCCATCCCAGTTGCGTTCATGCAGCTTTACAATAATTGGCCGGAAAACTCCCCTTCACTCCTTTCAATTCCCCATCCCACCAATCATCTGTGCTATCCGTCTTCTTCGTAACCCTGATTCGGTCACCTTCTTTGAAACTCAAATCTCCTTTTCCTTGTCCCTCGAAACTGTAAAGCGCTACTACGAAAATTCCACCATTAGATGAGCCGAGACGTTTAGGTGGAGGAGGCGGAGGCTTTTTCTTGCCAATGGCAGAATTGACGGCTAAGCCTTCGTTGGTAGAGCCGCGTTGGAAATAATCTGGCGAGGGGCCAGCCGGAGTATAGGAGGAATGGGTGGACGCAGGAGTTAAATGGTTGGAGTAGTCTGCGTCAGGGGTTGGGAGTGGAGGTTCAGAGTAGTCTGTGCTGGGAGCTGTGGGGGGTGAAAATACAGGTACGGTATGTGCCGAAGTAATGCGAGGACGTGAGGCGGAACGAATAGGGGGTGGTCGATCGGGTCTGGGAGACCGAGCTTCGGAATATGTGGTTGAGGCGCTGGGGTTTGGGGAAGGGTCTCGATTGGTGCTCATAGACTGATTTGAGGGACGGCGAGAAAAACCATTGCGGACGTTAAGACCAGTTACGGATTTGGCATTGGCGTTTTCATCGCCAAGGTTCATAGGTTGATGGGTGGCCTTGCCACGGCGTATGCAGTCTATCAGTTCGACTTCTTGTTTTATGGGGAGGTAACTCTGGTTCCAGACTGCGATTACGTCTTCCATCGGTGGTGGTGGAGAGGGTAGACCCACATCTTCGCAGTAGTTGTGTAGTGCTGTATAATATTGGGCGAGGAGGGTATTTTGGATCATTATTTGGGCAGCGAGTAGATGTGGGAGTATCGAAAAAGCTGCAGCAATCACGGGTGGTAGTGTTTCTCGAAGGTGAGCATCCGCATCTTTGAATGCCTGGGAAACAATTAGCAGTGATTTTATACATGAAATATGCAAGACCCTACCTCTGCTGCCCTCCCTTGTTCCTCTTCAGCCTTTGCTAGCGCCGCGTTCTCTCGATCAGTTCTCTTCATCTTCGCAGAAGCTTTGTTGACCTTGTCTATATATCTCTCCCAATCCAATCTTTTATTCTCCCGTTTCTTAATTGTCTTCCGGATAGGTTGTAAAAAGTCCTTTGCTTCTGTAGCTGGTTTTGTAACCCGAGAGTCCATCATCATAACCTCTTCCAGTAAATCTGTTTTCAGCTCCGCATATGTTTCCTTTAATTTTATAGTTCGACTCATCTGTTGGCGAGGGGTAACTGCTGGATTGTCTCGATGAGCATCGCTGGTGCCTACGATGGGCTGGTATAATTCTTCGAAACTGGTTGCTGTGTTCAACTGAGTGGAAAGCATGGATACCCATGCGTCTCTCCATGCTTTGGAAGCTTCAATTATCTAGTTATCTATATCAGTAATGCTTCGTGTGTTGGGTTTGCAATTATGGCGCGACATGCAGAGACAACCTACCATATTGAGCATCTTATTCGCATCTTCATAGTCGTTCAGAAGTACCGATACTTTCGCAGTATCCCCAGGACCTTTATTCCTGATCTTCCCGATCTGCCGGTGCATAGAATTCATATTGTGAGTGAAAGAATGTATCAATTAAATCGTAGTTGCTATATGTGCTAGGGCACCACAAGGAGAGAGTTGGAGATGGATGATCCACGTTGTTAATGCTGGACGATTAAAAAGCTCTTGGTTGATATATGAAAGTAGGGACAGCTGTTAATAAATTGATTGATAAGTTTCCAGTATCAAAACATAGCCGAATTGGTAAATTAAAGAAAGTCGACCGAGTGTTTCCAAGAATGATTCGGATTCCTGTGAGAGTTTGTATCGTAGGATTTTATTGAGAAATGCGCAGCACCGAAGATTAGGTTTACCTAGGTAGGTATTGAAACCCAAACTAGTTTGCGGGGTTCATAAAAATGGATGAATGGCCTGTGCCTCCTTATAATAACTTGTAAGTAGAAACTAACTTCTTGACTTCAAGTGATATAAATTGGTCGCTCAGCACTTTATACGAATATAATTACGGTATTTTTACGTTATAACACACGTGTAGGGGTGCTTCTGCAGAGAGATTGATATTGGCAGCTGTACTCGTTAAATTATCTACTCCGTATACTTCAGTCTATGGGTTTTCTTCTCGTATCTGAGCTCCCTGCCAAGTTTGAGAGCACCTTATATCTCCTGTTTCAAAACGAATGAGCCTCTGTATCGACATCACGTCAGACGTGTCATATCGAACCATGAAACCAACCGTTGGTTAAAGATCCTTCTCTCCCTTACCAGAAATTATATGGATCAAAAATAAACCCATGAACATTCCTTATGGAATTTAACATTCTGCTGACGTCTTCTCAAAACAAAATAGACAAACTATAACAAATGCGCTTGTGAACTATCGAGTGGTAAGTAGTATCTAGTCTGGAACGGCCCGCCGACCATTCATTGCCTGTCCAGTGGATTAGGGGTTGCCTTTACGTAAGCGAGTGGGTGTCGTCAGGATTTTTGGTAATTCTACACCGAAACTTCCTTAATCGGTTCCGATAGGCATGTTGTTATACGATCAGTGATGTAATCATCATGCCTCCAATATAGTCTGTGCCTGAGTAGCAGCAATAGTATCAAGATGAGCTATGAGACTTTTACCACTAGCACATACTGCAACTTCAACATTGCAGTACTAGTCTCATCTTTGAAGCGTACTGCTTTTCAATGACCGAAATCTGAAAAGCTGTTCTTGGGTACCTATTTCTGAGAGATGTGCAGTATTATTTCTTTGGTATTATTGAAAACTTAGGCCAGGACGACCAGTACTGCATTGTTGTTCCCAACATAGAATCTCATCACCGCCTCGACCAGCCAACATATCTCGAATAGCCATGATATCCTGATAAGCTAGCCTAGGTGTTACATTCCATGAATCAAAAATATAGCATACTTCAGAGTAGACGAGTATAATAATTTTCGAGTCTTCGCAAGACTCGGTGTAAGCAGCAAGCTGGTTCCTCGATGCAAAAGGCGCTTCAGCATAGCTATCAATTAGTAGAAGTCCCGTCCGTGGTGGGATAGATGACGTTCTCATAATCAGTCCCTGTATTGGCATCTATGATCAGCTCGGCCAAAGTTTTGAAAATACCTGGATAATTCTCAGTCGTCGTGGAGCTATGATCAAATGGATTGAAGGACATGCTGTGTTACTGACTAGAGCTCGGATTCAATGCTACGCCAGCAATTGCTCGGGTTTGTAGAAGTAGCAGCAGCGATGAGACAAGAGTTCAACATGGCGGAAACGTGTATGAATGATGAAACCTCAGTGACTGTCCAAACCTCTCCTTGGGAATGCCACAATTTGAAATATCTACGACATGGATCACTCCAATGCCTTGAACGGCAATCCTCAAACTTTATAACTTTCCACAATTCAAACTCCCATGATATATATGTCGTTTGATTGAATGCAATCCAAATTATTGAATACGGCAGTTCAGACATGTCGTCAGCAGATAATGGCTGAGAATAATATGAACACGCTTGTTAATTTAAACGTGCTTATCGTAGCTTAACCTCGTGCTTATCAGCACGTGAGAGGGCGGGAGTCGGCGCGTTGGATTATCTAGGTTTCGCGTCATGTAAGGATCCGACGAAATCCAAAATTGACTTCAAGTCAAGGCAATCATTTCCACAAGGATGCCTACTGCTTAACGATTCCATCAATACCAAAGTCACATTGGGCATTTGCAATGCCTTGAAGAAGACTTCATTTGCCCTCGTCACTATGTCTATGGACGTTCCTCCAGATCAGAATACCGCGCCGGTCCTCGAATTTCGATGCCTCTATTCAGCTGATACCCGTCGAAAACAGAAGCGTTGGCAAGATGGGCGACTCAAATTTCATACTTTCAACAAACGTGTCATGGTGTTTGACGAAAAAGCGAATCTAGTAGGAGATGCACACTGGCGCGAAAAAGCTCCACTCGATGAGGGAGCCGAGTTGGAGTTGGAAAGGAATGGCATATTGGTCACAGTAACGGAATTCATAGAAAGGAGGGATCAAGATCTCACCGAGCTCATCGATAAACGAGTCAGAGAAAGGGAGGAGCGATTTATTGCAAGAAATGGAGATTCATCGCCAGCACGATCCGCAGCATCTGTTATTCGGTCGCAAACTATTGCAGCAGCTCATCTTAAGCCGAAGCCACTTAACTCTATACTTGGCACACCTTATGGTCATTATGGAAAGGCATTTATACCAAACACATCTCCGTTCGAACAACGGCAGATGCTGAATGCTAGCCATGCGAGTGAAAATGACAGTCCCAGGCCTACAAAACGACGTAAGGCAAACGAAACTCAACCAAGTAAAATTGGCTTTGCGCAGAATCTTATGGGGGCTACCTTGTCATTCACGCCGACATCATCAAACACCGGGCCTATAAGATATGAATCCTTAAAGCTCAAGTCCATACAGCGGTCCAAAATTAATGACAACAAAGAGAATGGAGACAGAAACGAAGCCGTCCCATCTAATAGGAAGCAAAGCTTGGTAGTCGACATGGCTAGAAACGCAGACACCTCTAAGAGTCGAACCCAAGCACGAAAGAGAGACAGGCCTGAAAAAGGTGGATATGCTAGCAACCTTACTGGCGCATCTCTATCACTCTCTTCTCTTCGCGGAGCTACATCTGGAAATATGGCAATGAATTCATCTGTGCAAAAGAACCAATCAACAACTATCGACTTGTCAGTGGATCCTAGTTCTGATGAAGATGACCACTCGGCTCCAGTTCCCAAGCCTAGAGAAGCTGCTGGCAAGAAAAATAAACGGCCAGTCGACTTATCTGAGAAGATTTCGCGATCATCAACTCTGCCATCAGGAATCACACTAGCACCTAAACCAGCAGCAAAAGAGACGATTAAACGGCAGGAATCTCAGAACAGATCCTCACCACTGAATCAGCTACCGGAAAGGCCCCATTCATCTCTGCGCATCAGGTCCCGTCCACGAAATAAGATGTTGATGTTTATTGATCAACCTAGCCCAAAATCTTCTACATCAATAGAAAATGGGACTAATAGTCCATTTAACTCAGATTCTGTTATTTTTTCAACTAAAACACATTCTAGCTCCAAGGCTTATTTGTTGACAACAGAACGAGAGACCGCCTCAGCTGCAGGGAAATTATCTTCACCTCCCAGATCCTCGATTAGTAATGATGCAAATAACGATTTGGTTAATGATCATGGCAATAATGAGCCGCACATTTCGGCGTCCCAGAATGATTTAATCCTTAGTAATTTCGAGGAGCCGTTCCCCTCTTCACCAGGCACTGGTATCGATCATCAAACAATAGATGCAATACTGTCTCGCAATAAGTTGATGGGCGCCCAAAACTCCATACCCAATGCTGCATCATCATTGATGGACCAGGGACATTCGGTACACAACCAACAACGTCACTCGAGCAACATAGGAGATAGTTCCAGACGCCCTAGACTAGACTATCTTTCAAGCTTTAGCGATAAGATTCCGCAGAGAGTTGAGGATTATGCGCAAGATCATGAATATCAATTGCCTAAATATCTACCCAAAGCGTCAGGAACTACAGAGAAACGAATTAGAAATGCTGTTGACCCGAAGAAGGGCGCCGCGCTAGTTCCGGACTCAAAGACTACTGCCTTAGAGACTCGGGCAGAATCTAATGTGCTTCCTTCCCTTGCAGAAGGTGGTACGGCAGCAATTTCTGAACCTACCTACAAACCTGACACCGAATCTGTCACTACATCAGACCCCACTGAAACGATAACGCCATGCGCCCTCCAACAGAACTCGGTAATACCAAAAGCTACGCTGCATCTTAATATTGCGGATAACAGCAAACCCGAAAATTTGGTACCAGAGACTGTGATGATTCCAAAAGCTGGATTTGAGGATGAAGAAAGTGCTGTTAGTATCATGCACGAGGCGGGCTCGGAGATTATCGAATCGGATAAATTTTTGGTAGGCATAGCATCTAATAGTTCTACTTTCGACACAGCTGATCCCTCCATGGCTAAATTCATGCCGGTGCCAAACCAGCATCGACTGGAAACAGCCCCTATCAAGACGACTTCTAGTCTCGTTCCCCAACCATTGAAATTGCCTCCACCGGCACCATCTTCTAACAATTTCGAGATTAAGCAGTCATCAAGCTCAATTCTAGACTTTATCCCTGCTGAGCAAAAACGAAGTGACGAGACCGGCGGGTTTGTGTCAGCAAATCAAATAATAGAGAAAGAGGCACAAAGTCATACTCACGGTCTTTCAAGGCCTAGAATAATCAACCCCGCAACTCGTGGAATATCAATCCTGAAGGTTCCAGCTGTTAATCATACGGGCCCACCCGCGGTGATCTCTCGAGGTGTTGGAAGCGGGGGAAACACTATGAACAACACGCTAGGAAATTTTGGAAGTGAAACAGGCAGTAAAGGGCCATGGAGTAGAGAATCATTCGACTTGTTTGGATCATGGAGGCCTCCTGTACAACAGTCATAAACAAATGCATACCCATTGTCGCTCGCCCCGCCAAACTGTTAGGATTTCTGCCTCTCCAGCAAACATAAGGAGCAGCTACTCAATCATACTGTCGTCAAATCTTCAATTTTCAAATAGAATGGCTTTTCTGGAACTATGAGCTCCTGTCTACCAGCTACATTCAAGAGACTGCTTTACTGCGAAGATTTGTGACGAGCCGAGGGACTCGCAGAACCTCGTATTGCTAGACAACCTTTGGGCACAGAACTAGCTTAAAGGGCGTGAATAGGGCGGTGCTATCTCGTTTCAGAAAGCTCAATGGAGTTTTCGTACACAAAATAATTAATTGCTTCGCCACACAAGTTGTCGCCGTCGCCTCTTTCTCCTCGTCACACATCGCAAGCTAAGTGATATCGTGATGCTCACCCATATTTGCTTACCTAGGGGGTCAGATTAAGTCTTCGGTACTCTATAGTACAGGACCTAATCTTCATTGAAATGTTATTGGGAGGGTGTTTTGTGTATACCAAAATAATCCCAGTTCTCACAACAATGGCACTCATGTCTCGCCCGGCATTATGCAGCTTCTACCAGCCACATCTTCCAGAACGTTTCTTATCTCCACTGCGAATCTCGCTAGGAAACAGAAGAACAAGTACTTGCACCGCCTCTCGTCCCGTTGTTTTTCAACCATCGAAATCATTTAGGAGATTCGTGTCAATGTTTTCATGCTCGATTGCAATATCGTGTTTTCAATTATTAGTGTGGATGTCGAGCAGTTCACCGAAATCCCTGCGGCAGCCGTGGTAGGCTCGTCTAAAAGTTGAGGGCGCTGGGTAATGTGTAGCCTCATGGCTACATAAGAAATATGGTAAGGCTCTTCCGTCTCTTCTATTAAAGGCAAACAGAACTCTCCGTTTGCGAAGTATCTCATATTATTCCGTTTATTGTAGAATAACTATTTGATAAATACAGTTAACACGGGAGGCATTTCAACTTTTTAGCCTTCAGCCTTACTTTGACCCAACAAGCACCACCCACTCATCCAGAGGTGCAACCAACTTGTCAAAATATTTACGTCGGACTGGGCCACCGAAATGTATTCTCGACCGCATAACAATCTGCGGCCACCTTTATCTAGACCTCGAATTCATCAGCAAAGTTCATCCATAAGACTTCATCATCATACCCCTTCATTGTCAGGCCAAACATCGTCTTCCTCTTCGTCTCAACGTGCAGCAGGTGTCGTAAAGAAACCTATTCCTCCATACAAAGTCCAACATGCTTCAAAGTTATATAACGAGTTCCGTATGAAGGAAGGGCTGGCGCAACGATCCCCGGACCCAAATGCAACATCTCCAAGTAGTATTGGATCATTTGGGATTTCTAGCCTATCTGGACCTCTTACCAATGGATCCCAATCATCTCAGGCTAGGACTGTGCATTCTTTTGATGCAACTCCGTCGGATTGGTCTTCGGTAATGTCATTTGATCCTGACAGTCAATATTCAGGGCAGTCTGGGAGAAATCGGGCAGTCTCTTACCAAGGCCGGTCAGTACCACAGCGGACTAGGAAGAGGTTCGACCCTATGTCTAGAGCTAAAACAGCTTTGATTCGATATTTAGGAGCTTGCCAAAGTTGTAAAGATCGGAATGTCCCGGTATGTGGTCGAGCCTACCATTGTTGATGCTTTGCCTAACTTGTTTCTCTTAGTGTCCCTTAGAACATCATGATATTGAAAGCCTAGTCCATGCCCACCAATCAAATTCTATCACACAAGAAACCGATTCGCAGTCCTATAATGCGACTTCTCCTACATACGAACTAGAAATTTCAAACACCCCCTCTGGACAAGCTACACCGGTCACTTCACACAGCAAATATGAGCTGCAGGGGATTGGTGAGAGTTTTTTTGGCGTCGCACCTGAAATACCCTGCGGCGAATCAATCTTTTCACTCGAAGATATGGAATCTAGTCACAACCAAATTCTATGGGGATCGTCTGCTTCAATAGATATCGAGGCTCGTGCCGCGGCTCATTATTCTTTTGTTCAAAACGGTGGTCAATTTCCTCTTGGTGTCTGGGATGATTCGATGTTCAAATGCTACTATCTTGATGGCGAATGTCAGCAATCTTTTCTGGACGAAGAAGCTCTACAAGCACACTTTGAGACTGCTCACTTCGAGTTCAATCGCATTAATCCATGCCGTCGATATATTTGCATTCAATGCTACTCTGTGAATGCTCCTTTATGTAATTGTGGTGGCACAGTCAAAATGTTCATCTGTGGAAACTACATACGGACTGCACAGCTTCCACCCGAGCCGCCAACTAGACAACCTAATACTTATACTATGTTTGATACATCATCGATATTTTCAGGCCCGTCTTATGCATATTCGGATTTTGAGCAAGGGCTTGGCTTAAATGTCAACGAGGCTCAAAACTTCGACAACAGCGTCAACACCCATCTTTACAGAGATGGTAGTAGCATTTATTCGGACCCTAATGCTGGTACATTTGGTGCCTATACCTATGATTCTACGCAACCAGGAGGGAATAGATATAATAGAAATGTATGGATGTCCACCCAAAGACTAAACAAGGCTGCTGTAATTCCTATACGCCATCGTGCGGTGAAGCTCGGACATGCCTCGAAGCAACAAAAGATCTCGATTTTTATACTACTATCCTTGATGCTTATACTTACTAGCACACAACTAGTCCATTGTATCATATCTACCGTTTCGAAAATCGATGAATTCCTGCCTAGTATCCCAACTCTGGGATTTATAGGTTTTCTAGTATCTTTCGCTACAACTTGGGCTACGAGACATATTCATTCAATCCATAAAGCGAAGAAGTATAAAATGGTAAGTTCTGATGATGTTCCCTTGGCTCAAGGAAGAAGCTCTGACGATAGTCGTGTCCATAGCATCGATGTCCTCTTCATGCATTTACGCCTCTAGCAGACCAATACGGACAGAAGGTACCTCCTATTTTGATGCAAAAGAGAGTTTCATGATTTTATGAATCACGTATCACAATGAATCTCATGCCGCAACGTATAATAGCCACTATTTAACGAGTAATGGCCATGACGGTAATTATCGACTCGCAACCATAGCACAATTTCGCGAGCCAAAGAAAATAATAATAACAAAATACAGAACCCGAAAGACTATTCATTGTCGAATATGGATCGAGGCATTGAATGGTGGGTGGTACGCGGCACACTCGATCTAGTATCCGGCCTTATATCTCAGTGACGAGACAACCACGCATGTCCCTTCCACATTATGAATTTCTTTCGTTTTATCATCTCGCGTTTAGCATGGGATAGAATAGGCGTTGATCGTCTTTTCCCTTCGCAGTTTTGTTTTGGTCTGTATGTATCAGGCTCAAGCACAACACACTTACAAAAAATTACCTGCATTTGCATTCTCTCTATTCCTTTTTGCTCACGTTTTTGAGGGGTATTATTGCGGTAGCGTACTGGCACATGGATCGGGAACAGTGCCAATTTTGCTTTTTCCTTTTTTCTTTACCAAGGAGTATGAAATAAGGACGCGACATGAAGGATGCTGAATGAACAAATTTGATTGCAGAATGCTATGCTCGTGTACCAGGAGTCACGACAGCGATGAGATTATATTTAGTGAGATTATAGTTAGTATTATTGAGGGTATTCCAATTTCTGCAAGACGACCATGATATTATCTAGTGCAGTCATCGTCATCATCGACTCATTTCTGACACAGCAATATTTGTGATATTAATTGGTGGCTCTCTATGACTCAGTCACCTACTGTCGTGTTAAAGTCAGCGGGGATTGGCATAAATGATTATTTCTCATTCCAAATTTCTTGCAGCCCCGCCAAATCATGCATTAGTGATAATCCTCTTGGTCATCAGCTTAATTTGGATCTTCAATTCCAATTCGCTTGCTTTGAAATACGATCCGTCTGTTAAACCGTGATCCAACTACTGGAATCTTCTGGACTCACTCATGAAGTACTCGTGTAACACGTGATTACCAATATCGAATACCCCGCAATGCAGCGGTGAGACATCTGATTAACAGATTACAAATTCAAAGCTTTTACTTGCTCTCCCAGTTCGATATTGCATCTGCAGCCACGAAAAAGGGGGTGGAACATGTGCTCATTCTCTGGTCCGATTGGTAATGGTTTCAAAACTATGGAGGAAGGCGGAATCTTGGGAATACTCCGTAGATGCGCGAGTCGGAACCGGACATTCTTTTGTGTGGGGATGGATACTTGTTGTTCCTCTGTTGGACACCAACCCACTTTGAGATCTATAAATAGGAAAGAGCAATCTCATCTACCCATCCTTCGACGATATATAACTTTACCATAAACCCAGTGAATCTTATATATTTCTCTCTTCATCTCCACAAAGCTTCTTTCTAAAGACAACAAAGCACAGGACCTCTCTAAACATCCATCCATAAACATACATTTATCCATCCATCCAAAATGTCTCTCACACTCTACGACATCTCAGTCCCCCTCTTCATCAAAAACCTCAAGTCATTATCAAGTCAGTCTCACCTGTTCATCGATTCCACAAATTGTTTTTTGAATATTCATTAACACTATCCTATCCTCATAGAATTCCTTGCAAAAGGACAAGCACATTTTGAGAAAGATGAATCGAAAATCGTTCATGCGAGATTGGTCGAAGATATGGGAGATTTGATCTTCCAGATCCATCGTATCTCTGATTCAGCCAAGGGATTGGCTGTGAGGGTTGGTGGTGCCGAGGATGTTGTCTTTGAGAATAACGAGACGGACGTGAGTTTAGTGTTTTGTTCTTTTTTTGAGATAACGATTAGGGAAATGGAGGGACGTCAGAGAAGATTGTTCACCAAGTGGATGTATCTTTGGCAATCACCCTAGGTTGGGAAAATGTAGAATATTAGGATCCGGCTTCAGTAAAGATGCGAGACTCAGAGTAGAAGAGCTTGTCACATTCTGCGATCGCCATCCAAAGTTCCTCTTTCCTTCTATATTCTATTCTCCCCAATGCTGACACCCCTCACAGTTTGCAGGTATCTACACACGCATCAACCGCGTAACTGAGATTCTTGAATCCCTTCCCTCCACCTGTACAGATGGCAAGGACGACACAGAAGTAGTGATGAAGGTCGGACCCAACGAACTAAAATTCACCGCCAAGCAATTTGTTCTGGATTTCGCCATTCCTAACTTTTTCTTCCATGTCGTTACTGCTTATAATATTTTGAGGTATGTCTTGATGTTTCTTATGTCTTATGAGTTGTGTTTTCAGTGTTCCCTCCGAACTGCGGTTCGGCCACATTCAGAATGTTCCGGTTTCTGAAGTCGATGGGCTATTCAAAAAGTTTGGGACAATGTATTCGGTTTTGAATACTGGATTGTTTTCAAATATTGAAAGGCTCACATTGAGTCTTCTAAATGGGACTGTTGAACCACTGTGTATAAACGGCAGAAGACATGCGGAGGACTTTTGATCAAGAGAGATGGAACATGTGCTAATGCAACCGTCTTTACAGAAAGGAAGGTGTACCCGTCGGAAAGGGAGATTTCCTCGGAAGAACTTAATTCGAGATGCGAATTAGGGGACATGAAAAAGAAGTTTCACCATCGTGATGAAGGTTTTGGTAAACTCCACTCCGTAGCCTAGATTCGGCCACGTTATCAATCAAAAAAGAAATCCTCATATCCATGCATGCATTCATTCATTCATGTATTCATTGATTTTTTTTAAGGTGATATTTTTCTTAGAATGCTATCTAAAGTTCTTTACCTCTCCTCAATACTTATCATATAAGTACGTGGCTTAGCCAGAGAAGGAAAATCAGAGTTGATTTTCACTAAGAGTAGAGATCAACTGATCGATCATCGCTATCCAGATCAAATACCCCAAAGAAGACAAAAGAATACCAAAAGAATATATTTTTCAATATCATTATATGGATTACCCGGTCCACCACCGAAAATCCTACAATTGTCAATTTGTTATTATTCAAACCCACTTGATGAGAAGTATATCGTGCCGTCCTTAATAATACATCCAATACCTTCTCTTCCGCTTGAACATACTCCTGTCTAGGTTTCATGTCCTTTGTGTGATATTACACCTTTATACTCTCCTGTCCTTGCAGAGAGAGGAAGATGGGAATATTAGAACATACATGGCCGATTGGTTCAATTAATATTTGTTTTTCGCTTACGGCTATTTTTGTGGTAAATTGAATTGATGCTCTGGCTATCCTGATGACTTGTGGCGATGGGATGGTACTTGGATGATGAAGCGTCGATGAGATATGCGTGATCGTTATTCTTCGAGTCAAGTGCTCGAGAAGTTTTGGGAGTGACAAGAGCGGAACTGCTGGAAATAGTTGAACGATGAGATTGAACCGTCTGATCTGGTCGAGTAAAGTGAATGAAAAAAAATTAAACAATGAAGGTAAAAATGTATAGATTTGAGTCAAGCGTAGTGCAGAGAGAAAGCTTGGTAGCGTCATCAATATTTAATCCATTAATCATGGGGTAGGATTCTGGATTGGGTGATGAATTGCAGGTGAAAATCACCCATGAATTACCATATTCCATAAAGTCGTGAAAATCGTGGAGTCATACCCTCGTGCTTCTTGTGCATATAATGCTCATATTTCGCTCGTCCTCGATCTTCCTTCTTCTTCTCAACATCACACCTTCATCGACGATACATCCCCCTCGACGATACATCCCCCTCGACGATACATCCCCCTCGACGATACATCCCCCTCGACGATACATCCCCCTCGACGATACATCCCCCTCGACGATAGACATCATCAACGATACATTTTCATCAATGATATCAAATAAATAATCGAACCCAAAACTTCCCGAAAACAAGAAACAAACCATGATGTCTCGAATTATTGATAAAATATCGCCCTTCCACAGCCAGTATGTCAACGACTTATCATTACAGGGGCGCAAGAGCGACGGCTAATGTGTGCGTGTTATTTATTAGTAAGCCAACCAAAGCAATCGGCCGGCGTCTCAAAATTTACCAATCCACAGATGCTTGGCTCGGTACCATTGCTCGAGGGGCTCCCAAACTTAAAACCACCGAAGAAAAGCTCTCCAAACTTGTCGAATGGATGGAGGCTCCTATGCCTAACGCACTTTTTTTTTTCTCTGACCCACCACCCTCCGACATAGCCTCTGACACACCCTCTGACACACCCTCTGACACACCCTCTGACACACCCTCTGACACACCCTCTGACACACCCGATTCGGCAACCATTCCATCAAAGCATACCGGTGATGCTACGAAAAGCATTATATACGGGTGTCTCTCAAATCATCGGCATGCTTTATGCTGTCTCTCAAATCATCGGCATGCTTTATGCTGTCTCTCGGGATTATTCGAAAAGCAGTCAATAACTGTAGCCATCCGTTCCTTGGTAGCACAAATGGTGCAGATTCTTTTTGGGTTCGGGAAGGAGTTTGTAAGCCATGACTATTCTGATATCAAGACCCATGGTGGGACCATCAGAAGTGGAGTACGGTTTCTTCGTGAATTAATGGGGTTACTTAATGTCATGAATGTAAGATTGCTTGTCATTATTGACGATTTTAACTACCTTTATGATTCTCAAAAAGACCATGAAAATGAGGTTTGGGAGGACCTTTTCAAAGTTCTACACTGTCACAAAGCTTGTGATCCGAACGAAAGTAAGGCTCAAGTGAAGGTATTCATTAGAAGCTCGGGTAGCGAGGATGTTCTCCATAAACTGGGATACTCAGGAGTGATGGTGGGAGCTGAGAATTCTAGTAGAAATTGTCCGTATGATGATTTAGTGGAAGTGATGGGGGAGAGGTAAATATGCCTGTAATATTATTTTAGGAGGTCCCGACATGGATACTACATATATCCGGAAGAAAGGAAGGGTGGCTCATAATATGGCTGCAGATACGGTAGATCCGTGTGCCTCGAGAAGAAGTTAACTAGTACACGTCGATAGCAAATAAATGGCGTGATTATCCTAAATTTATTCCAAATTGCAGTAAGTGACTTGACTACTCAGTCTGTAACAAAAACCACTTGGCCCCATCTCACATCAAAATCCGTACCCACATCTACAATAATGTGAGAAGCTCAACCAAGCCCAAGCCGGTATAGTATCACTCGATACATTACCAAAGCACAACTATTGCCCAATCACTCGGATAAACGAATTTGACCTTAATCATTTTCCAAACACGGAAGGTAAATGGCAGAAACATCAACATACTCACACAAACCAAATGCACAAACCAAATGCACAAACCAAATACACAAACTAAATACACAAACCAATACACAAACCAAATACACAAAACCAATACACCAAAACCCAATACACAAACCGAACTTCCAAGCCCCTCAAAAAAAGGCCACCCACCATCATCGAAACCCAACATTCAGACCCCCAAAATAAAAAATGAAAACACCATTCCCTGTATACTTCAAGTCACACCCGACTTGATACCTCTATCTCCTACTTCAAACATACATGCCTCACGTCCCCATCTCCCAGATCCTTCATACATCTATACCTCATACCCACAACAAAAGCACCGCATATAACAATATATACCCAACACCCTATCCTCTCCCAGCCTCAACGTCCTACCGCTGATATCCAAGCCATGAAAATCTAACATCCTACCTCTAACCTTTACCCTAGCCCTGATATACACATTTAAATCCACAAACCCAAACCTAAAACCAAACCCAAATTAACACAAAAAATCAGATAACAAAAAGTACATCAAGTAACTATAAATCTCCATCTCCATCCCCATCCCCATCTCATCTCCATCAACAAAGCTACATACTTCCTTCCATTTACCGCCCCATCTCTCTCTCTCTCTCTCTCTCTATCTCTCTCTCCATCCATCCGTCCATCCATCCACCAATATCCACCTATCAACTCAAGACTTTCCCTCATATATAGAAAATCCATAATCCACAACTCCACTCCCACAAAGAAAACAACATAACATATTCAAGCCGAAGATATGGATGGAATATCACCTCGAAGGAAATAATTTCGTGGATCTGCCAAGAAGATAGTTGAGGTTGGAGAGTTGTATTATTTTGGATGTTGATTTTGAATGTTTGAGGATAGAGGACGTTGGGCGTTGGGCGTCTTCAGTTCCATGAGGTGTTGATGCACGGACCAAGGGGACCAAGGAACACAACGACGACAACCACCCGAAAAGAGAATGGGATGAGTTTATTTAGCAATCTCTAAATAGACTCCTTATAATTACTTTAACAGGGCTAGAAGCTCACTTCACAATAAAACTCAATGGGGTATTGTGTATTATTAGTTGTATATATTTTCATAATTATTACAATCGTTTAGTAGTATGCCTATGCAATGTATCATTCCAGCATTCATCTTGGTTTAAGATATCCTCATCCCCAAACATCAAGTCCAGTGCTGTATTAAAGAAAAACTCCGAGCATATATACATCTTGCATATAACTCATAATCTGGACGAAAAGATGATAATCGCGTCAGTCTAAGACCACTCCACCCTTCGTCTAAAAACGCCCAAAAGTTAAGCCAAAGGCTTTCTAGCAACCATCAAATACATAGGTGTGAACAAATCCTCCTTGGCACCTTGAACCAAACAATCAGCAGCCACAGCTAATGAATCAGCTGTCTTTTGTGTTCCTTGTGGTGCCAATTTCAAATACTCCAAAACACCAACAAATTTGTGTACTATTCCTCTACCAGTCTTGGTCATACGAGCAATAGTGAAGAAATCTCCAATGGTACCCATATGTTTGAAGTCACCGGCTAAAGGGTAATACCAGGGGGTAGCATCTGGTCTCTTGGCCAAATCCTCGTGGAGTACAAGTTCGAAACCAGCGGCTTTGATGGCGGCGATACCCTCGGAAATCTTGACCATATTTGAGATTCCGTCACCCAGCTCGATACCGAGACGAATGTTACGGTGATGCTCGTTGTCATTATCGTAGTTATCAGTCATGAGCCATTCGTAGACACCAAAGGTTCCACCTGGCTTGAGAACCTTGAAAATTTGGGAGTAGACACCCTCGAGGGATGGTGCGTGAACAGTGGCTTCAATTGCGTAGACAGCATCGAAGGAGTTTTCTGGGAAAGACATTTGCTAAAATCTTATTAGTTGTGATCTAAAAATTCAAGATGAGTGCCATTGAAGATGTGCAAAGCCTTTATCAGTGCACATGGTGTTGATTGTCTCATGGCTTGGTCTCCAAGCTCTGAAGTAGCAAATACTTTAAAAATGCGTGACATCATGTAGACTCTGCATTTCTCCATCTTATGAATTTGTAAAAGACAAGTAACATACCATGAAATCTCCCTTAACAAACTTCAATTGATCTGCCATACCCTCCTTTTGCGCATATCGGGTTGCACGTTGAATTTGATAATCATTGTTGTTCAACCCAGTAATATGTGCTCCAGTGAACTTAGCAATCTCTCTCGCGGGCCCACCAACACCACATCCAACATCGAGAACTTTGTCGCCATCCTTAATACCAATCTTGGCCGCGAGGTAATGTTCGTGACGGGCAATGGCTTGATAGAAAGGTTCACCGTATGCGAAACGACAGAAATGGAAAGATTGTCCCCATCCGTATTCGTAAAGATCGGTCGCGAGATTGTAGTAACTATGAAGACATTAGAATTGGGTCTTGTTTGCAATTGACGGGTAAACTTACTGTCTTGTCAAAGTAGCATATTCAGCGACTCTTGCATCTCTATCCTCTTTGGTTTCATCCTTGGCAGTCTTGTTGTCAAAATGCTTGAAGTATTCATCAACAGCCGCTTTTTGAGCTGAGGAATCTTTCCCCATCATAGCACGGAAACCACCCTCAGCATTGGCGGAATCCTTATGCATTGCTTTGTTGAAAGCGGCATCGCGGGAGTGATCCTCATTCTCAAGTCTGGTTGCAGCCATTGTAAAAGTTGTTCAATTCGTGAATTAGAAGATGTATTACTTTAAAGAAAGATGGATTCGAGTTGATCGAATGTAAAAGAACTGAATTAAAGTGAAGTAAATTTGAATAGATGAAGCTGTGAGTTATTGAAGAAAGGGGAATTCTTGAAAGATATTTATCAACACCATTGAAATTATTGCCAAGTAATTTGGCTACCCCTGGTTATTTGGCGAATCGTATTCGTGTGCTAGTCCCAAATAAATATCAGAAAGGGGACTCAAGCCTCCGGTTGGTCAAAGGACCCTGAACCCATGGATGGGGAATTTTCGATAGGCTGCGGGACAGCAAATTGTGCAGATTAGCCTTGAAAGGCTGGGTAGTTTAATCGTTGGCATCTTCAGTCGTGCGGAAGAGTGAGAAGAAACGGTGAATGAAGGATGACAATGATTATTTGAATTATAGTGGATTTATTTTGCAGTTTTGCAAAGTACACATCTGAAGACTGGGCATTGATAATGATCTAAAGAGGCTGACAAAAATTTAGAAAAGCGCGAGGATTAATTGCATTTTGCCAGGTACGAAAAAGCAATAGCCAATTGATAAGTTTGATTTGTGAGGCTAGATCTGTCTTTCAGCCTCGTCACGTGCAATATAATTACTCTACTCTACCTATAGTAGTATCTGCTGAGTCAAGTTTACTGATCTCGAATTTATTCGCCTCTCCTTCAGCCTTTCCCAGCTCAAATCATCAAAACATCAACGTCAGTTTGTCGCAAAAGAAAATCTGAGATATTAAATATCAAACCTGTCTTCTAAGTATCTCATAACACTGCATACCAACATATCACCCTCAACATGCCACCACAAATCAAACAAGATCTCAATCGCTCTGGATGGGAAACCACCGACTTCCCTTCTGTCTGTGAAAACTGTCTTCCCGATAACCCCTTCGTACAAATGATTAAACAAGACCACGGCGAAGAATGCAAAATCTGCACAAGACCCTTCACAGTCTTCCAATGGAAAGCCGATCGCACAGCCCGCAGCAAGCGTACCAATATCTGTCTAACATGCGCGCGATTGAAGAATTGCTGTCAATGCTGTATGTTAGATTTGAGTTTCGGATTACCGATTGTAGTTCGAGACGCGGCGCTGAAGATGATTGCGCCGGGCCCGCAAAGTGAGGTCAACAGGGAATATTATGCGCAGAATCATGAGAAGGAGATTGAGGAAGGGAAGGGTATGGAAGAGTATGAAAAAACCGATGAGAAGGCTAGAGAACTCTTGAGGAGGTTGGCGAATAGTCAGCCTTATTTTAGAAAGGGGAGAAAGATGATTACGGATGGGGAAGGTGGTGGGAGCGGTGCTGCCGGCGGAAGTGAAAGTGAGAAGGGTATGGCTTTGGCGACTAAGGGACCGGGACCGATACGAACACGAGATGGACAGCCGAGCAGGGGTACTGGCCGGGGAGGTAGAGGCGGGATGAGAGGGGGAAGAGCCTTCCCTAGTGCAGCACAATTACCTCCTGGTCCTCAAGATATCCTACCACCTTCCGATAGATCGATAACTTCGCTATTCATTACTGGTGTAGAGGACGACTTGCCAGAATACAAAATCAGGGATTTCTTCTCACCGTACGGGAAATTAAGATCACTGGTCTGTTCGCACATGTCACACTGCGCGTTCATTAATTACGCGACAAGAGAAGGTGCCGAAGCTGCAGCAGAAGCATTACAAGGGAAAGCTATAATTGCAGGCTGTCCACTGAGAGTACAGTGGGGCAAGCCGAGACCAATTGGTACCATGGATAAGGATGAGCGCATAGCCACAGGCAGGGAAGGACGATCAGCGTTTTCGAGTTCGGGTTCGGGTGCACAGAGAAGAGCGATTGAGGGTGGTGCTTCACAAGCTGCAGCTCCTCGGGATGATTTGGCCAGTATGTCTGCTGTTGCTGCTCCACCCGGTGCAGGCGATGTGCAATATGCTAGTCTGGCTGGCAATTAAAGGTCCTGATGAATGGAAATTGAATCACCGGAGTTTGGGAGTTAGGAAGCCAAACGGCATGAAATGGAGTGGAGTGCTCTTTTGCATGTTTAGAAATACAGTGCATATAATGACAATATTGACCTACGTGGTCACGATTTGAATCCATCTCGCTCTACATCAGCCTGTGTGAAACATCCTTGCTATCCATATCACTTTTTAGATACCAGCCTCCATGTCTTACATTTACATTCCCTTTTTCTATCTTCAACGCTCGAGGTCTCCAGAAGACCATGCATACTTAAGATAGCCTAATCCTTACAAGTCTTCCCATCAATCGTAACATTCTTCCCACTCGGCATCTTAATCGTATCATTATCTCCTCGTTCCGTATGTTCATGAATATTCAACTCTGTTATCTCTTAGCTTCATTTCTTTCTCTCCCAAATCCCATTCCATCTCATGTTCTTTCAACATGATATCCCGTCTAGATATTTGATAAAAAATTAGCACCTACTATATTTCTCATCACCCTCTGCTTTCTGTCCCTGCACCACATTATGCCTCAGGAATTTCGCAACATCTTCTGCATGCGCAATAGCAGCTATAGATTCCGGTGATTCGGGAGTGAGAGATCGATTGGTGAGGAAAGTACTGCGGGCTTGATTGCGGGCGGAAGTCAGGATCGCAATATCTCCTGTTGATGTATTAGGTATTGGGGTTATTTGAGGGAAAGAAGGGTACGAACCATTGAAGGCGATCCTCGTCGCGCGGAGAAGGTGTCTGTAGGCTTCTAAGGCCATTTTTTCTGTTGTCTACGGAGCTACACAACAGATTGGTTAGTACATGTAATTATTATTCTTTGAAATGAAGTTCAACAATAGCGATGTTCATCGTCACCCTAAAAATGAGAACTACCTCGAATATTAGTTCAACAAGTAACAATGAAACTCGCAGCGAAGGCGCGCTGCATTTGTGGCAAGAGATCTCTGGGAACCTAGGTGCGGATTAAAAATGCAGGGAGGCCTGTGAGAGAAACCAGAGGTACAACCAGTGCCCAACATGCCCGCAACAGTCAAACAAGCTCTGGGGTTGACATCGATCTTGCTTTTTCATGGCCAACCCCTCACAATCTGACTCAGACGAGCGTCATCATGAACTTGAAGGCTATCACAAACCGCCGTATTCTCCAAATTTGCCACGAAGGTCACTGATTAATCAAGGGACTTTCGAAGAAATGAATGGAGACCCTAGCCAGAGTAGGAATCCAAAATGGGCTGGCGGAGAAAAGGAAATGGTTGTGTTTCGCAGCCAGCATAGGAGGCCCACGGGAACATCCGCTGGCCTTGAGGGACAGATAATTACGTCACCATTCCCTACCCTACGTCTTCTTATATCCCGACATTGCGTGAGACAGACGATCCGAATATAACTTATTCAGACTATCCATGTGAATGTCCAAGTTTAGATACAACAAGCACTAGTTCTTCTGTAAAATATAAGACCGTCGAAGAACGCAATGAAAATACATTGTTCTCCATCGAGTCACCTAACAAGCTAAGTTTTTCGACAGAAATCAATAGTCCGGGAGGAGCCAGTAAATCTGTGGCTACTGGCGAATCTCAAGTTGAATTGCTCTTTACCCGGATAATTTCAGAGGGGGGACGGGTGGAAGACCCGTGGAAAACACTTAAAAAAATACATCAAAGGGATGAGGAGAAGACAAAAAGAAATGCTGCTCAAGCTTTGCTGCGTTTACACTCTTCACAAGAAAAGGGCCATTGTCCGTCACTCAAGTACTGGAAGAATTCCATGAGGCTATCCCTACTAGTGAATCCCGAGATATATTTCCCGCTCCTTTCACTAGTACCAAAGAAGTACACGTAGCGAGAACTTTTAGAAGAGCGACTGGAGAGTAGAAAGCTTAGGTAAAGGAACATACTCTAGCTGGCATGACACTAGATGCACTAGAAAAGGCAGTCCTTTCCGGAGCCCGTGAACTCTTCTCAAATCCCCCTTTCATCCACTACCGATAATGCCAGAAATGTGACATGACCCGAACCCAGACTAGAGCCAGCAACGCCAATCCTATGATTAAAAAAAGCAGAACAATAAACGAAAAGAAGATAATGACACAAATTTGGATATCGAAGCAAGGCTAAACAATGAAGAAAGGGTGAAGGGCAGGATGAGACACAATAAAAGGCTTGAGTTAAACTACGCACCTTTGAAGACCTCGAAGAAAGTTAAGGGGATAGAACTCAAAGCTACCAACGAGAGTGGAAGGCCGTAGTTCAGTTCAGGTATAAGGAAGCTAAGATTCGGGAGGACAATCAGAACGTTGATTTGGCAAGGATAATACGAAAATCAAGCGGTGCGAGAAGCTATGCGGAACGAAAGTACGTATAATGGAAGATCAAATTCGGAACACCGGAACCGTAATGTGCAAATTGCTGCACTAGAAATCGTGTCAGGTTGAATGAAAAGACTGGAGCCTCTGATTGAGAATTGCGAGGAAAGGTTGCAGCGTGATTTTCGATATAGCGCAAGATTCTATTCCAGCACATCAGGAACTCTTGAAAGACTTTGGCCTGCTTAGGTAAGCATTTTTAGCCTCCAGGATTGGAGAGTACGCCGAATGGTTTGACATAGAGCGCGATATTCAAAAAGCGTATATAATCTATAGTATAACCTTTTACATAAATCTCAAGCCTCTTTCCGTTCAGAGTCCCAGTCTTTTATTTCAATTAGAGGCACGCAGATGTTTAGTTGGACATTGAAGTTGTTTGGCGAAACCGACCTCACCGGGTCGCGCACACCAAACTTGCATATCTTCAATAGAACTTCTCTCAGCGTGGAGTATTCTGAGAAATCAGGAAAGACTACAAATGAAACAAGTTGATGAATTGATTAGTTTATAAAAACCAAAACGAAACGAAAATCTTATGGCAATAATTAATTATCGAATTCTACATTTATTGATGCTAGGTTGCCTAGGTATGTATGTGTCTGCAAGCATTATCTCTTATCGGCATAAAATACAGGGCGGTGAGGCAAGCGAACAATTTTTTCGATCCTAGCATTCTAACCTTTTCTTTCTCCCCTCCAACTTTGTAAATAAAGCACTCAATATTAATAAAAATGGCGTCCCATAACCAAGTTTCTTTACCTCTCCCTGTCCTCCCAGAAGGATGGTCCGCAGAGAAGGATTTCAAGGCCGTTGCTAGCATTTCTGCTGCAACTCAACGAAGCCTCGAACCTGTTGGTCCTCACTTTCTCGCCCACGCTCGCCGAGCTCGTCACAAGCGTACCTTCTCCGAGGATGACCGTCTCGAGGCCCAGAACAATGTCAAGAAGGTTGAGGATGATGATCTTGGAGAGATCAGCGAACCTGAGGACCCCATGATGTTGTCCCGGGATGCTAAGGACTGGAAGGTAAAGTTAACCAACACTTGCCAGCCCCACCGTACTTTTACTAACAATTGATAAATAGAACCAAGACCACTATGCTGTTCTCGGTCTCAGCAAGTACAGATACAAGGCAACTGAAGATCAAATCAAGAAAGCGCACAGAAAGAAGGTTTTGAAGCATCACCCAGATAAGAGAGCTGCTACTGGTGCCACTGAAGACGACAACTTCTTCAAGTGCATTCAAAAGGCCACCGATCTCCTCCTCGATCCCGTCAAGCGCCGTCAATTTGACTCCGTCGATGAAGCCGCCGATGTTGCACCACCATCCAAGAAAGACCAAAAGGACAAGAAACTCTTCTACAAGAAGTGGAGTCAATGTTTCAAAGCCGAGGGTCGTTTCTCCAGGATCCAGCCAGTGCCCAAGTTCGGTGATGACAACAGCTCCAAGGAGGAAGTTGAGAATTTCTACAACTTCTTCTACAACTTCGATTCATGGAGATCGTTTGAATACCAAGATGAGGATGTTCCAGATGACAACGAGAACCGTGATCAAAAACGTCACATGGAGCGTAAGAACAACAACGCACGGAAGAAGAAGAAGACCGAAGATTCTGCTCGTCTAAGAAAATTGTTGGATGATGCTTCCGCTGCCGATGAGCGTATTAAGCGATTCAGACAAGAAGCCAGCAAGGAGAAGAACAAGAAGAAGTTCGAGAGAGAGGAGGCCGAAGCCAAGGCGAAGGCTGAGAAGGAAGCTGAAAAATTGGCCGCAGAGAAAGCTGCTAAGGAGGCTGAGGAGAAGGCTAAGGCCGACAAGGAGCAAGGAAAGAAGGCTAAGGAAGCCGCCAAGGCCGCCGTCAAGAAGAACAGACGTATCTTGAAGGGAAGTGTCAAGGACGCCAACTACTTTGCCGGAGAGGGAGACGCATCAGCAAGCGCCATTGATGGTGTCTTGAACGACGTCGAATTAGTTCAAGGCAAGATCGATCCTGATGAGTGCGCCGCTTTGGCTGGCAAACTCAACGGCTTGAAGATCGCAGATGAGATTAAGGCTGTCTGGAGTGAGGAAGTCAAGAGATTGGTTGGTGCTGGTAAGCTTAAGGAGGGTGATGCCAAGAACCTTGCTTAGGTCTTGTGTTAATCTTGTACTTGTACATGATGGAGCGTTGTGGAAAATAATTAGATATAGAATGATATATTCATGACCTTTCTAGAGAATACCGTCTTGCTTCGTGTGTTTATATGTTCCCCTATGTAGTGTGCATCTTACACATCCCCTGTTTGAGGCAAGCGACCCAAATAGCTACTCTCTAATCTCTACACGCATCAACATCTAGATGGAAGCCAGGGAAATCATTCCCATTCCCCTCTCCTATTTTAACATTATCAGACACACAACATGTCCCCTCCCTATCACTTCCCTTAAATCACACTTCCCTCGTCCTAAAATCCCCTTATATTCACATTCACATCCATATCTACAAAGCACCGCTCATGTAACTCACATCACCAATCACAATCAAATCTCACAAAGGGAGATACAGATGAATATCGATGTTGCTAACTCTTATTGGTAGCTAAGAAGTAAATGAATAGATAAGTTGGGGGGGAGGGGGGAAAATGGCAGCTTGAATGAGGGACTGTTCGTGCTTTATCAAGTGATAGCAGTGATAGCAAAATCGTGATGAAAATTAGATGGGTTAGGTAGATGAGGTAGATGAATGAATGGCTTGAAGTGTGATATCTTGTGTTCTTGTGTTCTTGGATTGGAAATTGGTTGATGTGGATAGATGGATGGCTTGCTGGGCTTGTATCCGCTGTTCTTGAATTGAAAATTGGTTGATGGGATATGCGTAATTTTTGGGCATGTAAAATTCTGATATTGCGGTAATTCATGGTTCGTGGCTCGTAATTCATAAATCGTGATTTGTTGTTTCGTAAATTTTGAAAGAAACGGGAATTGCTAAATCAAAGAGTATTGATCATATGTACTGGTTGGATTAAATGAGCGTGAAGGTATAATGGAGCTAAATGCGCAAGTTTCGATATTCCGAGAGGAAGTTCTACTTGCTGTGAGAGAGCGCTCGACTGATGTGTGGTGATGCAAAGTAGCCGGGACTGCGGAAGACAGCAGAGAAATAAGAGAGGCTCAAGCATCGCTGTCCGAATCATTCTCAGCCTCTGATTCCTCGAAATTACGATCCTTCAAAAGATCATCGACGTCAGGAATAGCCTCTTCTTCCTCTTCTTCTATCTTGGTACTGTCGAAGATGCCTGGTTCTGGCTTCTTTTTTTCTTCCTTGGGCTCATTGCTAAGATCGATCTGCCACTCTTTGTAAAGAGCTTCGATCTTCATTGGCAGTATTCCCTGCAATTTGACTTTCGTCAATGAGGTTTTTTGCCTATTGCTTCTGCGGTCGCCACACATAATATGTTGGTCAAGAGTGGCAGTCATTTCAGTCATGAATCCCTCCATGATCTCAGTGTACTTTTCTTCGAATTGGTTGTGGATATCTGCACACATCCGTCGAATTGTAGCGTCCAATTTTCTACCACACTCTCTGTACATAAGTCTACCTCCGAGACCTTCCACATGAGTTTTGTGCGTAGCTTTTTTGCATGCATAGTGTCCTCGGCCTGCTCTAATGTTCAGTCATTTTGTCCATAGATAGTGATGGAAAACTTACCCTGTTCAGCGCCACATATGTGATAAATGGGCATCCAAGCGTCTACACAGGTTGGTTTTACCAATCTCCATGCATCTTTTGCCGCCGCGTCAAAATCCGCAAAGATAGAATCAGCTCTGACTTGGAGTCGACGTACATTCCGAAGAATGCTATCGCGCAGATACTCAAATGCTTCACGTAGAGAAGGCAAGATATCTAATGCTGCAGACATAAGGTTGTCTGCAAAATCGGTGAGACGCTTTTCGGCCTCTTTGACATATTCCAGAACCACAGTAGGCATGCTTACGTGAATAATCTGTGACCATTCTTTCTTGATCATATCAACAAACTCGCCGTTCCTGTTTCACGTTAGTAAATTGACTTAATATTTGACGCGAATGACTTACAATTGCTCATTCCAGTCGAGCAGGCCAGCGCGAGAATGCTTCCATACTCCCTCGTTCTTATTGAGGGCCCGGTGTGTACTCCAGACTATTGGACGGGAAACCCATGTGGTTTTCGTCACTATTTTTCGAAGTTTGGTCGCTGCTTTGGTCGAGATCTTTGGGAAGGAACTAAAAAGATGCTTGTCAACCAGTTCTTCAGCCGTATTGCCGGTCGTGATGTGAAGCCTAGAAAAACTCTTGGTGTATCTCTTAGTCTTGAAACACATTGTCATGGAACGGAACATACATACCTCATCAATACTACTGAAGACCAGAGATGCTCTTTGGTCTAGCATTACTCTCTCCTCAGCCGTCATTTTGAAAGATGTCGTTGTATCTTCTAACCACTTTTGTAGCCGAGCAAAAGCACTGTAAAGTCCCGTGTTAGGTGCAATGCTGCTTTTGAGGCGAGTTTCCCACGTGGTTGAGATCAATGCATCTCGCAGACCCGGAATTCCTGTGTCGCCTTTAGTTTTAAAACCACTCCTCATTACTTCGACTTCTTTCCCTCTGACCAAGTTCATGAATGCGAGAGCTGAGACACAATGAACAGGCAAAGGTCTTGGGGACTTCTCATCACCTAGTTGCTTTCGCGCAGTTTCGTAGTCCTTGGTGATTGACGAGACCTGAAAATTATTCCGATTCACAATACATCGGTTTCTAGTGCGGTAATCCGCATTGAGCTTCGCCTTAAGTTTAGATAATACTTAACCAGTTGCTGGTCTTCTGGAGACGCCGTAGGACCGGCTAGAATGATCAGCTCTGTTCGAAGATGGGGAGATAAGGACTATAACACACCTGATGGTTTCGCTTCCCGCTTGCGCTTTTTATTCTGACGCTGAGAATCAGCCCTGCTAGTGATTTGATCGAATTTATCCTTCAAGTCTGTTAACTTATTCTCGACTTGCTCCAGGATTTTCTCCAGCTTTCTAATGGTCGAATCTTTGACAGTCAACTCACTGATGAGTTGGGCAACGTTTTGGTCATTGATCTCGCTGGCTTTAAGATCCTCAAAAATGGCCTTATCCAGTTCCGGATGGTCATCGACGTACGATTTCATGTCAAGAGATGCATCTGTCTGCGTCATGATAAAAAAATTGAATCTTTCAAATAAAGTCCATCCAGCTGCATAGTACGTCGCTGAACATCACTAAGGATGTCTTTAGCTCCCTTGTCTGTGGCAGCACGTTTGGCAGCTGAAGTGACACAGCAAAGAGCCAGATTTTATGTACTGTGCGGCTATTTGTGATCTCACCGCACTCGTGTCGTGGCTTCCTGGCAAGTCGACAAGTACGATGCCAGTCTTGAGAATATCTGCCTTGATATAAAGCTTGACAATTTTCACAAGCGGCCAGCGAGAATATGAAAATCCATCACCCATTTCCTTACTCGTATCAATGAAAGGCTTGATGCCCCTCGAAAACTCTTTGAGATTGTTCTTCTCAATGATTCTTCTTTGTCCCAACATCTTCCTGGCGTTAGAATCTTGCAAGAGCTCGTCCACAGACAGATTCTTGAGTGCATCCAACGATACCGGTTGCTTGAGCACACATCTGTACTTTTCAAATGTGTTCTCCATTCGTTGTTTGAGCTCTGGATCCAGTTCACCGTCTTCTTCCTCTTCTTGAACATCCCAAAGTTTCTTATCCTCAAAGATCCTCTCAAGCTCCCTTCTTACCTCACTCTCCTCAATGGGCAGCACCTCTGCAACGTAGCGATAGTCAGGTCTGTCATTATGAGAAATCTCAACAATGACAGCCGTTGAAGCCAATTCATGACTGACTGGTAAAAGACTCTCTTCGGATAGAAGTGCATTTATGAGCGAGGACTTGCCATCCCCACTTGCACCGAGAAAACCGACATAGATCGGATGCTCCTTTTTCTGCCCCATGACTTTTTCTATGCTTGTCATCAGTCACCTAGCATCAAAAGAGAAGCCGACGTCGCAAAGGAATATTACTTAGTGACGAAAGCTCAAATTTCACAGCTGTTTTAGAATGCTCATGCTGAGCCATAATCTGCATAATGTCCCTCAGAGCTGCAATTCCTGCATCGCAAGCAGCCTCAACTATCTTGACTTTCTGCACAAGTGGCTTCTCGTCGATCCTCTGCCATACCGGCGTAGGAGGTGCTGGTTGAGTGGGTGGTTCCGGTGCCATGAACTTTTCGAATTCTTGGTCTTCGATCTTTGGTGATGGAAGCCGCATCTTTGCTTAGTAAATGAGTGACTTTGAAAAGCGGGTGAGGATGGAAAATATGGAGTAAATCGGGGCTGCTGATGAGTGTTTCTCACGTTTGGCTTCGGCCTTTGCCAATTTGATTCGTTCGAGGAAAATACCCTGGGCATGCAATGGAGCGTTCATGTATTCAAAGCGTCACTCCTTTGAAAGGTTCTTAATTATATCCGAAGACGTTATGTTGTGATTGTATCGGAGATGGGGTTGAAATGGTTGAGGGTGGGAAAGAAGTCACTAGTGAAGTATTGGTCACTAGCGTATTGCAGCTCCCTTTGAACCTGATACTAGATCGAGTTGAATTAAAGGTGAACTTATGAGCCTGATGAAGTGGCAGATCGAGGGGAGGAAAATACCTTGGTGCCAGATTCGATTTCTAAAGGCAAAAACTGTGTAAGTAGAAAAGGTAATTGCGAAGAAAAGAGCAAGAAGAGCACATTCACGTGCAGTATACAAGCAATCATCAATAAGTACCTTAATAGCAATAAGTTGAGCTGGTGGTTGCTGGGAATGATTGCCAAGAACTATACTCGGAGAGAAGTGTTTTGTCCGAGGATGATGGTTTGTTGGCTTATAAAAAGTTATTTCCAGATCGAGGTTGGTACCTCCATTTGCTGCAGCAGATATTCTATTAACAGCGGAGCGTAGTCAGTGATACTGGATAAATAAATATTCCAATATCGCCACCCTTTGCATGAGGAATATCGCAAGTCAAAATCGACGCCTTCAGGTGTAATAGAAGAGATGATATCTTCGGCCTAAACATTATTCATGTGTCAAGCCTTTGTGAGTATAGTAAGATTGAAGGGGAAATAAACACATTGAGGCTGTCGTCCATTCTTCTATCATATGTACATATATTCCCTAATAGCGCCATACCTCCACCGAACCACGATATCAACATGAATATTTCATGGGCCATAGTGTGAGTAGATTTGTCTTTTACGTAGGTGCACAGGGGTTTCGCCTGCTGGGGAATCTGGAATAACCTTCTCAAGTTTCTATTGTGCATCACATATAGTTAGCAGCTGCTCTTCATCATAGGTGTAAAGGAATGTCATACCAGATTGTCAAAGACACATTTGTTAAGTTTCCACTCTTGTGGTCGACATTGCCATAATTGTTGGTTATTATTGTCGAGGCATGCCCTGTAACATGGTTAATCAAGGCCAATCTCGTCATGCATTGGCATAGTGAGAGTTTATATTACCAGTGTTTCCGGAACTCCTGAAGACAGTGTTTGTTCACATCCTCAATCCTACATAGGCGATTAGCCTACAGTTCAATGGGCTACAGTCGAACAGAGGGCCATAGTTCGACACAGCACCCTTATCTATTCATCGATATACAACTAGCCGCATCTGTAACCTCATGAAGGACTAGCACTTACACGCTCCTCGCACATCTAGTAACTCTTCGGCCCTCCTTCAAACAATCGATCTCACCCTTTCCAGGATTGTCGTTCTTGCATTGCATGAAATCATCATTGTAGGCTCTGCATCTTGCACCGATAAAGAAACTCGCGGACAATAATGGCGCCGAACTGCTACCAATTTCTGTGACGGGGGGGATTTCCGCAGGTAATGGGGTGGTGTCAATCAAGACTTGCTGGTTAAATCTGCGATCATGGTTAGCACTAGATAAAAATAAGACAATATACTAGAATGAGAGCATACCTAGGATTACGTGCAGCCATTTTGAGATATGTTGTGAGGAGATACTGGGTTCGCAAAGCCCGTAAATGAGTGTTTTGGAGGTTCGATGCAGTATGAAGCTTTGAGGTCAAGTTCAAAAAGCGCAAGTTGATTGGCTTATCAGCCGACCTTTCAGAAGTCGCGACTGATCAAAAGAGCTTCGTCCTGACAACGAATTTATGTTTCTGCAAAATAATATAATTCACCCGGTGAAAATATTCTATCAGCTTCAACATTGAACAATATCTCGCCAATTTCTACAGTTCATGTTTTAGCCCACAAAATAAATTGGCGCATCCTGTATCCGATAAATCTTTCAATTCCTAATAATATATTATCGAGCGCGTTGTTCCCAAGGCCGGCATTTTCTTTTGAGTAGCTGCAATTGTGCATTGTGCCAAAAGTCCCTCGAGGCTACTTGCATCTTCCTTCAGTAATCTATCTCCACATTACCGTAGCTCAAAGCGCATAAAGAAGGCATCATGTTTGGAAGTACTTTCGGCCAAAGCCAGCCAGCTGGCGGAGGTTTATTTGGCTCAACAGGCACGGCGCAACCAGCAGGAGGGTTATTTGGCTCGACTACAACTACGGGAACTCAGAACCAAGGAGGAGGGCTTTTTAGCGGGTTAGGGCAAAACACTCAACAAAATCAACCACAGCAGACCGGCGGGCTCTTTGCTGGAGGACTTGGAGCAAGCACTCAGCAGAATCAGCCTCAAGCAGGAAGCTTATTTGCACCGAATGCCCAACAGCCACAGCAGCAACCTGGAGGACTGTTCTCAGGACAGACTATGGGAGCACAGCAGCAAGCAGCCCAGCAACAGCAAAACACCATTCTTGGAGGATCACAACAACAGACTAGTTTATTCGGGCAAACACAACCGTCGCAAGCTTTGGGGCAATCACAAGGACAATTTAACAACACCCTATTTGGAGCCAGCGGACTGAGACCTCGTATGTACCTACCAACTTATTCGAAGTGCAAGCTAATTCTTATATAGGAGAAAAGAGTGTCATAGACCAGATTGAAACAGTCGTGGGTAAATGGGATACTGGAAATAAGGATTGTGCCTTCCAATATTTCTTTTACAACAACGTCGGCGAGGACAGGGCGCCATTCTACCAACCGCAGCCTAATGAGGATCCGAGAGCTTGGGAAGAAGCCCTTTCGAAAAAGCCAGGACCTGGGTATATCCCAGTAGCATGTATTGGTTTTCAAATGATGGGCGAGAGAATCAAGGCTCAGCAACAGCATCTTGCAGCGTTCAACATTCGTCTACACGACATAAATGCTAGCTTGACGAACCTACTACAAACTCACGATACGAGGACGAGTATACGGGCAATGGATGCTAGGAGGAAGCATGTGGTATTAAAACAAAGGTGTCTGGCGTTGGCGACTAAAGTACAGGTTCTAAGAAACAGAGGCTATGCGCTCAGTGGAGACGAGGAGGACCTCAAAGCTAAGCTTATCAAGATAGAGAAGGGGGTTACTGATCCCGCGTTAGGTGCCAGAGCAGAAGAGATTTGGGCGCGAATGATCAACGTTCAAGAAAGAGGCCGGCTATTAAGGACCGAACTGGAGAGGGTTGGGCAAGAAAATGGAGAGATTTTGGACGATACCATGACCGCGCGATGCAAGAAGGTACTGTCACAATTTTCATTGAAATGATGAATTTATGCTAACTTGCTAAACAGATCCTGGAAGACTATCAAACTCAATTAGCACATTTGAAAAAGGAGTTGGATAGAGTACATAAAGATTATATCGAATGGGAAAAGGAGCAGCCGCCACAGACAGCAGCGAGGTCAACATTTGGCCGATGATTGATGCGAAAATACCCATGGTTAATTTTTTGATCGGAAGCTTAGACTTCATGGAGTTGGTCGGGATGTAAAAAAAGATAGACATTGTATAATATGGAAGCTTAATTACACGCTAATAGTAGTAATTTCTCTTTCATCTCTCTCCGAATCAATCGCGCAGGATCGCCGTCAAGGTGATCGTTGTCAAAAGACGTTCTAACTCCTTACCCACATATCGAAAATACGCCCTATCCCTTCTCGCCATGGCGGCAAGTGACTCACAGCCTAAGACTTATCTAGTACTTCTCCCCTATAAAAAATAGAGAATCTCGTTAACGCCAATGCTTCCGATTATCCATCCTACCACCAACATTTCAATAATCTTCAAAAACTTATCCTCGAAAATGACACGACCTGAAATTCCACCTGTCTCACTTTACCCCGCCGATTTCGAAACATCCTTCCCCACCGTCTCCCCCGACTCCCCTCCTTTCCCCTCCCTCATCCCACTCTCCCACACCACAAAGCGCATTTCCCTAATCCCGCTCTCTCTTGATCACATTCCAGATCTATGGAAACATGTCGGCGGAGAGGAAAAATATATGCTTTACAAATATATGCCAGGTGGACCATTCAACACCATTGAAGAATTCACAATTTACCTAAAATGGCTTATTGACTACTCGCAATCTGAATTTGTGAATTGGGCAGTTGTATTGCCCAGTGGAGAAGCCGTGGGCATTATTTCTTTTTTGAATATCGTACCTTCTCAGAGAAGAATCGAGGTTGGTCATTTGTTGTTTTCGAAGTCCTTGCAGAGGACTACGGAGGCGACCGAGGCGTGTTATGTGTTGATGGAGTATGTGTTTGGATTGGGGTATGAGAGGGTGGAGTGGAAGTGTAATGCGCAGAACGTGGCGAGTAAGAGGGCCGCGGAGCGGTTGGGGTTTGTAGGGGAGGGTGTCTTTAGGAGACATATGGTTATAAGGGGAAGGACGAGGGATAGCTGGTATGGAAGTGTGATCTTGGAGGAGATGGGGTTGGTTAGGAAAGCGTTGGTGGAGTGGTTGAAGGCGGAGAATTTTGATGAGGGGAAGCAGAAAAGAAAGGTTGAGGAAATTAGGGAGAAGCTGGCCAGAGGGCCCAATTAGGAGATATACGGTGGAAGATTCGAGAGAAAAGGAAACCTGAGTCACAGGCTTGCTTCTTCAAAGTTTACACAGAAAGCCGATTCTGTATAACATATGTAGTAGCAGCATTCCGGATTGTACAAAAACGGTTCTTTTTAATGTGCAACTTCATTTTGGTACTGTCTCTCAGATTGGTACATTTAGATGCCTTGAAGAGTAAAGGCATTTTTCTAAAGTCTTCTCCTATGCTTGCAGTATATCTATGATCCTCTTTCGATTCTCAATCTTGTACTCTTTGCACAATAGAGAACTCAATGCCACTGCTAGCAAAATTATATGTGCAGCAGTTGTCCATTATATCCACAGTTTGTCCCAGTACTATTGTATACCCCTAGTCTTCTCGTGCGTTCATATTGTACAGGTCGTCGTGATGCATTATTTATTTGCATACTTAGATGAGGTTTTGGATGCTCTTAACAGCGAAAGGTGCTATATTAAAGTCAGCACACATATGACGGTAATAGGAAAGAGCAAGACATACAAAGGTAAAGAAGAATAGAAAATGTAATGACTCGTTGGACAGTAAGAGTAGCTTCCTCCTCTTGAGCCTTAAGTTCGGCAGGGGATGGTTGTGGTGGTGCTAAAATTGAAGTTAGAAAAGTGCGCATATACTATTGGACGGAAATACCTACGTCCTCCGAACATTTTGATGGTATAAGATTGCAGATGTGTTGAGGTATTGAGGTTGAGCGTTGAGATAATTACCTGGTACCAAGTTGATGTTTATACTATAATAAATTTTAATCCTTCCGTTATCATCTGCTTACTACAGCCATGTGCGTAATTTAAACATTTAAGGTTTCTACTGGCTTGTGACACTAAACCACAAACGTGCTCATGGCTAATCTATCGTTACGGTTTTGGGCAATTCATCTTCTAGAGTAGTTTGACTGAACTTAACTTGTCATGTATCTTGTCCCACTCCTATCATGGAAAAAAAAAATAGTTGGGTTATTTAAATTTCATATAAGATCGACTCATCACTCGTTCATCTTTTCTTTTTCATTCTCTGTCGTTTCACCTGTTTTTTGATACCGCCATATCATTCTCAGATCTCAGTCTATCCCATCTCTATCATTCTTATCTGAATGTGGGGTGTATGGCAACTTAGAATCCTAGTTATTCCTAATAATTCCGGGCCCCTCATCCGAGCTTAAGTTTCTCGTACCACTCTCTCTCCAGATTCGGAGAGACTTTTCTCGATTTTTGCAACCAAAACTTGAGGTTCACGAGCTTCGCAGATTCTGCAAACTCAAGAACAATGGTTGCCTCAAGCCTTCCAATTCGTGCGAGATTTGCTCGAGCTGCACTTCAGTCAAGAAGTTCATCCTTGAGAAGCTCAACCCTCACACGACCATGGGCTACTGGCCAATCCGCATGTTCTGCCATTGTTTTGAAGCCAATTGGGAGACGAAGTTACTACAAAAGCTCTGCGAAGGATGAGTCGATCAATTCGCCTTCGAGCCTCAGTTCTAGAGGAGTATACGCTCCTTTAGATACCTTTGCGCGTCGACACATCGGTCCCGATGCAGAATCTACAGAACAAATGCTTAAAGCTCTCGATCCTCCAGTCAAGAGTTTGGACGAGTTCGTCGAACAAGTTTTACCTCGCGATATCCTCTCCTCGAAAGATCTCAAAATCGACGCCGAATCCGAATCTTCACAGGAAGGGTTTACGGAATCTCAATTGCTTGCAAGACTGAAGTCAATTGCTTCCGAAAATAAGATTATGCGAAGTTATATTGGATGTGGGTATGCCGGAACACGAGTGCCGGAGGTTATTAAAAGAAATGTGTTGGAAAGTCCAGGATGGTATACAAGTTACACACCATATCAACCTGAAATCAGTCAAGGTCGACTAGAATCGCTTCTAAACTACCAGACACTTGTCTCCGATTTGACAGCGTTACCAATTTCCAATGCATCTCTGCTCGATGAATCTACTGCGGCCGCCGAAGCTATGACTTTATCAATGAACGCCCTTCCACTTGCTAGACAGAAGAACAAGAATAAGACATTTTTCGTCAGCCACCTAGTTCATCCACAAACACTAGCAGTTTTAGAGAGCCGAGCAGAAGGATTTAATATCAAGATTGAAGTTGGGGATATCCTAGCGGATGGCGCGGCTCGCCTCAAGGAGCTTGGAAATGATCTCATCGGTGCTTTGGTTCAATATCCAGATACTGAAGGTGGCGTAGAGGATTTCCGTGGTCTGGCAGATGTCATTCATGCTCAAGGTGCAACTTTCAGTGTGGCCACCGATCTTTTAGCCCTTACTGTTCTCACTCCACCTGGTGAATTTGGTGCAGACATCGCTTTCGGAAATGCTCAACGTTTTGGAGTTCCTTTTGGTTATGGCGGTCCACATGCTGCTTTCTTCGCTGTTGGCGAAAAGTATAAGAGAAAAATTCCAGGACGTCTCATTGGTGTATCAAAGGACAGGCTAGGGGACAAGGCAATGAGATTGGCTTTACAAACTAGAGAACAGCATATTCGCAGAGAAAAGGCTACTAGTAATGTGTGCACGGCTCAAGCATTGTTGGCTAACATGAGTGCATTCTATGCAGTTTACCATGGGCCAGAAGGACTCAAGGCCATTGCCGAGAGAGCTATTAAAGGAGCTCGATTCATCCAGGATGGACTTAAAAATCTTGACTTTGAGACCAATTCCCGAGGAACAGGGTCTGATGGAAAGGTTCTTTTTGACACAGTCGTGGTAAATGTTGGACAGGGTAGATCTGATGAAATCCTTAGCTACGCTACTGAGAGTTTCAAGATTAACTTGAGAAAGTTCGATGATAGCCGACTTGGTATTACCATCGATGAAACCGTTGACATCAAGGACCTTGAAGATATTCTGTCTGTGTTCAAGAATTTTTCCAAGTCAGGATCAGGATCATCCGAAGAGACCGCAGAATTGCAAAAGTCCTTTGATAGCTCGATCCCGGCCGCACTAAAGAGATCATCCCAATACCTTACACATCCAGTCTTCAATACACATCATTCCGAGACCGAGATTCTTCGTTACATTCACCACCTCCAATCAAAAGATCTCTCCCTCACTCACTCTATGATACCTCTGGGTTCCTGTACAATGAAGCTTAACGCTACTACTGAGATGGCTCCAGTTACATGGCCAGAATTCTCCTCTATTCATCCTTTCGTTCCTGCTGATCAGGCAACTGGTTATAAGACTATGATCGATGAGCTTGAGGCTGATCTTGCTACTGTTACTGGATTTGATGCAGTATCCTTGCAACCCAATTCCGGCGCACAAGGAGAATTTACCGGATTACGTGTAATTCGCAAGTTTCAAGAACAGCAGCCCGGCAAGAAGCGTGATATCTGCTTGATTCCTGTTTCTGCTCATGGTACCAACCCTGCATCAGCTGCTATGGCAGGTATGCGTGTTGTTACTGTGAAATGTGACATCAAGTCTGGCAATCTTGACATGGCTGATCTCAAGGAGAAATGTGAAAAGTATAGCGAGGAACTTGGAGCTATCATGATCACATACCCAAGTACATTTGGTGTATTTGAACCAGAAATTAAGGCAGCATGTGATATTGTTCACCAACATGGTGGTCAAGTATACATGGATGGTGCCAATATGAATGCTCAAATCGGATTGTGTTCACCTGGTGAGATTGGTGCCGATGTGTGCCATCTTAACCTCCACAAGACATTCTGCATTCCACACGGTGGTGGTGGACCAGGTGTTGGTCCAATTGGTGTTAAGTCTCATTTGGCACCATTCCTTCCTGGTCATCCATTGGTGAAGATTGGTGGTGAAAATGCTATTGCTCCAGTTAGCGGTGCTCCCTTCGGAAGTGCAAGTATCTTGCCAATTAGTTGGGCCTATGTGAAGATGATGGGTGGTAGAGGATTGACTCATGCTACTAAGATCACTCTCTTGAACGCCAACTACATCATGTCCCGCCTCCGACCTCATTACCCAATTCTCTATACCAATGCCAATTCTCGATGTGCTCATGAGTTTATTCTTGATGTTCGTGGCTTCAAAGAATCTGCGGGAGTTGAGGCTATCGATATTGCCAAGCGTCTTCAGGATTATGGCTTCCATGCGCCAACCATGAGTTGGCCAGTCGCTAATACTTTGATGATCGAGCCTACCGAGTCGGAAAGTAAAGAGGAACTTGATCGCTTCATTGATGCATTAATATCGATCCGCAAGGAGATCCAAGCTGTTGAAGATGGTACTACCCCAAGGGCAGGCAATGTCTTGAAGAACTCGCCACATACTCAAAAGGATCTTCTTATTGGAGAATGGGATCGTCCATACACTCGAGAGCAAGCCGCATACCCATTGCCTTACCTCAAGGAAAAGAAATTCTGGCCATCCGTGACCAGACTTGATGATGGTAAGCTACTCCATATCCCTTTCATCTTTCATCTACTAACATATTTATAGCGTACGGTGATTTAAACCTCTTCTGTACATGCGGACCTGTAGAAGCCACCGATGATGCCGAGGGCGACATTACCGGTGTTTCGGCTCCACAACCTACATAATTGCATTTTAGAATTTTGTTTTGCGTATTTTAACATTTAGCGAGCATACGTTTCACTTTATATTTCAGGTGAAACATTAAAAAGAATTTCAACATGAAGTAATTCAACATTGGGAGGAGTTGTGGATGTATATCTATCATATATTATGATATGATGTGATCATGACTTGGGAATGTATATGGCGTTTTAAGAATACATGAGATATAGAGGGTTCTTCGGCTTCAACTGCCAGGATGGGATTGGTATGATGGATGGTTAATTGACTATGAATATAGCTCATATGGGATGGTATTTTGCATTTTGCTTGACATTTATAGATGAATCGTACTTTTCTCGGTGGTTTGATTGTAGGAGAGGGAGTGATGCAAGATATATATTTGTAACAATTACATATTGTATTTTAAGGGTATTCACACTAAATCGTGATCTTGATTGATTTCTTACTGTGAAATTAAATGTCTATACACGACCTGTACATAACTAAAAACTTATAACATCAAAATTAAAATCAAAATCAACAAGTCTCTAGCTATAGGATAAGTATCCTATACAAATGCAATCTTTTAAGTTTTAAGAATAGTTTTGTAGAAGTAATGATTTACAGCGCTAGTAGTAGTTTGTCATTTCATTTTATTTCATTTCATTTCTATGGCTCTAGCATTGCGCATCTATGAAGTAATTACGAATAGTTTTCTGTAAATTAGTTCTTTGGGATTTCACTGCAGGGAGATGATGATTTTGTTTTAATGAGGCGTTTGCTTTTAAAAAAAATTTCTTCTTGGTGGTTGGGAGGTGGGAAGGAGAAAGAAAAGGGGAGAGAAGTGGGGAGAAGGGGAGGCAGAAATTACGTCTTTTTTTAGGGGGTGGTCAATGGCATCTCTTATTGTGTGAACGAAGTGAATGACTTCAATTCAATTACTACTGTAATAAAGAACTAAGCGAACGCGAAAGAGACTAGCTCTTTTAGTAAGTCTATATAAGACTTACTACTTTCAATATGTAGCTAGCTCTTTAGACAGAATACAATTAGACATACAGGACCTACGTAATCCGTGGGTGCTACGTCTTCCGTATCCTTCTCGTACCAACACTTATCTTTTAACAGGTTTGGAGATGGATATAGGAGATTCCAATTTGCAATTACTGTAGGGTTCCACAGGACGCGGCGATATTTCCAGCTGTTATTAATTCACGGTGCATGATAGTACAGCTCGTTAGGCATTATTTCGAGTAGTGGGCAGTACTTCTCACTATTATTGAGCTTCTGAGAATTATCGCTGGTAAGGAAGGTATCTAGTACCTATATAAAGAGCTTTTGGATCAGGATCTAGGAACGCTAGATTGGATATTCAGATGGTCTTGAGAGTACAAGGGAGTGTGCCGATTGATTTCTCTTATCTGGGGCGAGGATTTGATTAATCTTTGTGTTAGGTCTAAGGAAATGATTATGTGGTTGTTTTCTCGTCTAGTGTCAAGGGAAGTGTTTATAAAGTATATTTTTTTGTGGTTCATTTTTGTGTTTGTTTTTTTGTGATTGGACATTTGTTATTTTCTGTTTTGGTGTTGTCTTGATTGATTGATTGTTGTTATTATTGTTATGAATATAGAATGCACGTTTATTCTATTCTAGATTCTTCCGACTATGTAGCTCATCTGGTCAATTTCTATTACATATTATGAGCACAGCTTAAAAGTAAAACCTGATGAATGCTCAATGTGTAACTAGGCATTTGGCTGTCTGTAGATAGTAGATGTACTTAAATAGCAAGGCTGTAAAGGCTGTATAGCAATCTAATTCATCAGAGTAGTAAATCCTGTGAGCTGGTTTGTCTGAATTACATTGATTTGTAGAGCAGTTGGTGCGTTTGCTCCATAGTGATCAATATCGCTTCAAAGTACCACACTAAACTCCTAGAAACTTCTTTCATGTGTTACTATATAAACTTATACAATTCATTACTTCCGAGTTCATTTGAATGGACGAGGCTGCTTTGGCAATACATTGTGCCATTATCAGCAATTCATTGGTCAACACCATGTCGTTACTTCTGGATTAGATTGGTTCTGAATTCGAGTGATGTTGTATTTGTAGTAAACATCTAGTCCGTTGTCGAATAAAGTGCACAAAGTTATAATCATCTCGCTTCACTTTCATTATCAACACACCACTCGTTATTACTTTAAGTGATGAATTATTGTTATTTTTCATCAGGCCCGCTGTCCATGTGTGAAATGTCTATTTTTACAAAGACCAAGGTAAAGTCATCTTATTCCTCTCTTCATGATCCAATTTAAAACTTTATTCTTACTTTATTCATCACCCATGTACATTGTATCAGATCTCCATGTTATCAGGGTTTGTAGTCTCTATGTTGTGTTTGGAGTGTTTTGTATACTTCATAGTTTTGATATTTGCATGGTCATCAATTTTCGAATATTTAGTAATGCCGGTTCAGTATACTATCTTGCGTCTCCCAATAAGGACTAAGTGGGTGGAAGTTCTTCAAACACCTAGAATATAAGTCCAATAGCAGACCATATTGCTATATAGAAGACCCATCTATCTCAATCAATGCTACTTTCAAATTTCAAAGTTCAAATCGATCACTCCTGCTATAATAAGATGCTATGGAGATATATTACAACGGCTTTTGTCCTTGTATGAAATGTGTATTCATATATACTCTAAAGTTATTATTTGACTCTCTAATTCCATCAAGCTCGTTTTGTTATCACTCCTAACAATCATTAATGTTGACCTCCTGGGATCTTGGCAGCATATGCGTATGTATTGCATGATGCGTATAAGGAGCAAACAAAACTCAACTTTTAATTCATTCTTTCCTTTTTGGTATACTGTTTGTTTGCTTTCAATATTTTGATTTCAAAGCACTTTAATTCCGAAGGCCGAATACCTGACCCTATTCCTTCATTTTTTGAATATATACTCGCAGCTTAACTGCTTAGCTAGAGAATCAATCAATTCAATCTGATGCTCTTTCTGGTCTCAAGAAACCCAATAATTATACTAGAGTTTAGGACCAGTTTAGTTCTAATTACTCTATTAGTATCAAGATGTAGAGCGCCCAAACATAAAAGCCTTTCATTCTCTATATCTACCTCAAGTATTCACATCACATCCACACTCACATTTCCAAAAGCAAGGAAATAACATAAAATCAACCGCATTTGCTTTTCCTCATATAAATAACAATACCATACACACAATCAACCTAATAAGTAGCAGCCAATCTCTGCACCAAATACTCCCCCGAATTAATCCCTTTATATTTTTTCTCTCCCAATTCACCTCCATACGTCCCCTCAATCGCTTCAATCATACGATCGAAATTTGGGTTGCAGAAATATGCTATACTGTATCTCGCTGGATAGACACCATCTTCCTTAACTTCCTGACCCTCCTTGAGAGGAGGTTCCACAACCCTATGCAAAGTACTCTTGATAAAATCATTACTCCACCTCGCCAGCAGATCTCCCGCATTAACCACCACCGTACCCTCTACAGGCGTCGCATCCACAAATGTTCCCTTCGGACTCTTGACCTGTAGACCTCCTCTATCATCTTGAAAAAGTAATGTAATACTCCCATAATCCGTATGTTCCCCTGCTCTAACTTGCAACTTATTTTCCTTAAACACACTTGCATTCGCAGGAGGATAATGCAACAATCGTAACGTATTATCCCCCGCACTAGTAAACCCATCAAAATAGGATTCAGGCAACGACATCCCAAGAGCAATTGCTCGCATAACATTAATATGAAGCTCCTTGCACAAATCATGAAATTTCAACATCGTCTCTTTAAATTCCCTTGCATCTTCATCTTCAGGAGTAATAGGAGGCCAATTATTAGGTAATTCCTCTTCACCTTCTTTTCCTATCTCAAAACTTTCTTTTAAATCGGGTGCTTGGGCTTTTAGTTCCGCAACTGCTTTTCTATCTGTAAGTGTGGTGGTTTTTTCGCGGCCGTGGGCTACGTAGCCTCGGTTTGCGAGGGGGGTTGTCCAGGCTAGGGGATCTTTTTGTGAGGAGGGACGGGCGAAGAATTTGGCGGATACGGAAAAAGTGTGGGAGAGAGTGGGTGGGGGAATGGGGTGGTGGGAGAGGTAAATGAATCCTGCGGTGCGGAAACCATGGAGGATGGATTGGGCAGTTTGAAGACGTTGGGTTGGTGTACCGGTTAGGAAGTGAGAGAAGTTTATTATCTGGTGAGTGATCCGAAGGTTAGTTTGCGATGGGATGGATGGAGATTGATGATTAGATGGGATAAGAGGAATGGACGATCATGGAATGAAATGAAGGGGAAATTACAGGAATAACGAGGTTATCCGCATCAACAGCCTTCGCTACTTCTATCGACATTTTGTCTGATATTTCTCTTCAAAATCACAAAAATCGACGTTGAGAAATCCAAATATACTAGATAAGCAAACTTGACTTGAGAAGTTCAGGAATGTATATATTTCAAACTCCTTATCCATAAATATAAATCGCCGAACGCGGCCAAAGCCGCTCTCCGCATTTAGCCAGATAAAGTATACAGGTATAACTGTATCTTTCCTCGAAAAGGCAGGTAAATGATATCAGAGGGGAAGTTATGATAAGCATTCACGATAATTGATAAGAGATGTGGATGTTTTGATATATGGTGGGGTTACACGAACTAGGGGGGTTACTAGTGCGGGGTAGGTTTAATGTTTAGCTATCTTCTTATGGATGGATGTACATTTTATTACATACTGAATACTATGCCTTGGAATTGGATCAAGTGATTTAAGTAAATTCATTGCGTGTTAAGATTGAACTTCTTTCGTACCTTGGAACACTTCTACTTACAAGTTCTCTCTGTATAAGTTCTCTCCTACAGGATTTCCCTACATTTCCCCATCGTCGTTCATTCCTCACCAACTCAAAATGTCCTCAGCTCCGCCCCAAACTCCGATTGTAGATATTCATACACACATTTACCCACCATCCTACATATCCCTTCTTAAGTCACGAGATGAAATCCCTTATATTAGACAATTTCCACCGGCGAAAGAACATCGATTGGTTATTTTACCAGCGGAGGATACGCCTAGTACGAGTCGGGGGAGACCCATTGGAGCTGAGTAGTATGCTTATATTTTCTTGTTTTATGTTTTTATGGATGTTTCATGATAGATTCAGTGAAGAGGATGGGGAATTAATGGGGAACAATGAATTAGAAATGAAAAGGTTGTGATGGAGGAAAACTGTCATGATTGAGGATCTAGTGATCATTCTCTCAAATGGCGGATTTGGCTATAAAGTCTCAGGGCTCATGGAAGTCCAAAGCCTGGAAATTCTCTCTTACACGAAAAATCGCGGGATTAGGACGAAGGACTCTCCAAAAAGTCACTTGTCTTCCCAGCCTCCTCTCTACATAACTTCTACCACGAGCCCGTATCAACTCTTAAACATCTAACTAATCCCAAACTCCTACAGCTACGACATAGCCGAAAAAATTGCTTTCATGGACAACCACTCCATCACTACCTCCGTTATTTCCCTCGCAAACCCCTGGCTCGACTGGCTTCCCCCTTCTACAGCCCTCCAAACCGCCCTTGAAATCAACACTGAAATAAACGATCTCTGCACCCTCTATCCAAGCCGTCTCTATTTCTTCGGTACCCTTCCTTTATCCGCACCTCCACAATCCATCCTCGAATCCATCACGCACCTGAAAACTCTCCCTCACTGTCGGGGTATAATCCTCGGAACGACTGGTCTCGGCTCCGGACTCGACGATCCCTCTCTGCTTCCCATTTTCCACGCATTAGCCAACGCTAAGCTCCCCATATTCCTCCATCCACACTATGGTCTCCCAACTTCTGTTTTCGGTCCCCGAGGAAATGATTACGGACACGTTTTACCCCTTGCCCTTGGTTTTCCCATGGAAACAACCATTGCCGTAACACGCATGATTCTTTCCTCTGTATTTTCCCTCGTGCCCACATTACAAGTCCTACTAGCGCATAGCGGAGGAACCCTTCCATTTCTCGCCGGAAGAATAGAGAGTTGTATCCTCCACGATGCACATCTCAAATCCGAAGGAAAGCTCCAAGATATAAACGGAGGACAACGAAAAACCATCTGGGAGATTTTAAAAACAAATATTTGGTTAGATGCAGTAGTGTACGGAGATGTAGGAGTTAAGGGTGCAGTGGGTGCTAGTGGAATCGACAGAGTTATGTTCGGAACTGATGCTCCATTTTTTCCGCCGTTGGATGAGGAGGAGGAGGTTGAGGGTGAGGGTGGTAAGAAATGGCTTAGTGTTTCGATGAATATGGATGCTATAAGAAGTGCTTGTGGTGCGGGTAGTGAGGAGGAAAAGGCTGTTTTGGGGAGAAATGCTATTCGACTTTTTGGTTTGGATTTACCTGCTTCTGCTTCTACTTCGGTATGAATGGAAGTATGAGTATAGGCATGATATATTTAATTTCAATGATTCAAATATCAAGGACAAAAAATGATAAATAAAAGGAGATGTGGAAAAACTTCAAAAGAGGCCAACTTCGGTAAACCAAAGCAAAAAAGGAGGGGATATCTATTTATTTACTTGCCCATATACATACTGTTACGTTGTAACATCATAAACTATTATCACGTGTTGTAGGATCACGTGGATAGTCATGTAAGGGAGCGAGGGAGCGATGGAGCTGGGGAGCGAGATTCGAATCTCGCTCCCTAGCTCCCTCGCTCCAATGTTGGAATACGAAGGTCTATATAATCAAGATGGATTCCCCTTGTATAGAGCTTCGTGCTCAAGACCAATCATTTAGTATACTCTACTATTAGTTACGAATTGCATATCATTATTGTCATTACTTTAAGTCCCTGCTTGACGCCTAGTTATAAACCACTTCGAGAGCCTATAGCACTTCTACGTGATCTAGACGGCAAACCTCGTAACACTAGAGCACTTCCACATGATCTAGACAACAAACCTCGTAACACAAACCTACAAAACTTTAAAATATATCAAAATAAATATATAATTAAAATACTTGTAATAATCTATTTTGTTTTTATTTCACTTCTATATCTCACTCTACTCAAATATAAAAATACCCAGTTCAAAATCCAAAATCCAAAGTTTTGTCACGATTCACCATTAGGATTAGTGTCTTGGGATGAAAAGTAATCACGTGATAAGGAGCCCTAGGAGCCCTCAAAGCTCCTAGAGGCTCCCTTTATCGATCATTATATAGACAGAGTAGTTTCATAGTTTAGGAGCTTCGTGCTCAACTTAGTTATCAATTAGTTTACCTATATTCTACTTGATCTAGTAACGAATTCACTTCCAAGTGAATACCAGTGATAAAGCCTTAACCCACAACTACCAACCAGACGAAACCTTAGGCAGCCACCGCCTCCAGTACGGTATCGTTACAAGTTTGGAAGAATATAAAACAGGATATACTATTATTAAACTTAAATAAATAAATAAATAAATACTATTAAAAAAATCTCTTTAAAAGAATCCTAATCTACTCTATTTATGCATTCATGCATCCATGCATCCATCAATACAAAGCAAAGTATTCCACACCCCACACCCCTCACCCCTCACCCCGCACCCACTCCCAGCACGATAAAATAAATTAATCTATCAAGACTCGGATCAAATCATATATGTTCTAAACCCCATCAAGTAGAAGCTAGTAGAAGTAAGTAAAAGTAAACATGCCAGGAAGAAACAAGTGATCTTCCTCTTGTTTCGATTTCCATTTCCATACTCTTTCCCTTCCTATTCATACGCCATCTATTCCAGCCATTCCATCCGTCCATTACACAACAGTCTTCTCATTTTTTCATACATCTATATATATGTGTGTGTGTGTGTGTGTATTAATCTCTCTCTCTCTCTCTCTCACACACATTCCGTTAAAGGAGGTGAAATCCTCGTCCTTTCTTGAATCCCAATGTCCCTTTTTCCTTTCTTCATCTATGATGAGAGATGGTGAAGTAAACTGAAGTGAAGTAGAGTCGAGTAGAGTCGAAGTAGAAGAATAGTAAAGTGGTATCTTTGCAATGCAATGTAATGCATTACATACATGTGTAAAACAAATCCATACCCATAAAATAAAGGCCATGAATATCAAAACGGCATATGCCGATATATCCCCTCAACCCCATAAATAAATAGGTACCTAGGTATAGATACAAGAAACGAACAAAAGTATATAGGTATCCTCTAGCAATCATTCCCAAATAACCACATCCACCAAAATCAACCCATGCATCAATCCATGTATCAAAGAATCTGATGTCTAACCAAAACATCCTTCAAAGCATTCGTATCAAAGATCGTATCGTCAGGAATCTGATCAATGATATACGTAAGGTTTGCGAACAGATCTCCTTGATTCTTATAGGCGAGAATAGCCGGAACACCCGCATTATCAAATTCGACATCTTCGTAATGGACGCGGACGAAATGAACGGTAGGGTTTGCGGTGACGAGGGGAAGGAGTGCTGAATTAATTACTTGAGAGACGTCACACTATATTCATATGTTAGTATATGTATGAGTCAGGTAAGAGGAGAGAAGGAATGAGAGAAAGGAAACATACCTCAGGATCATAAACGAAAACAACAACGATGGTTTCTCTTCCTACTTTTTCAATGGCGTCAAGATACCCAAGAGCATCTACCTCGTCAAATCTACCATATCTCCTTACACTAGGACTTGTCCTCCTACTCCTAATATCCTTCCCTTCACTCTGCAACTCCACTCGTCTCTGCTGTCTCCACCGTTCCAAAAACTCCTCATCATCACTCAACCCCCCATCCGACCCCGACCCCGAAGCCGACCTCGACCTCCTCGGCCCCTGAGTAATCGAATTCGCATTCGCATTCACATTCCCACTCCCCCTCAACTTCCCCCTCCACCCCCCCGACCTCCTCGCCTCCTCAAAACTCCTCGCATCAGCAATCACCCCCTTAACCCCCGTGGACCTCCCACTATCAAAATCCCTATGCGGCAACCTCAACGGTTCACTCAAACCGTTCACCCCCCCCGAATTCGACCGATCAAACAACGGCATCTTCATATTCTCCTCAATATTCCTATTATGATATTCTTCTTCTTCGTCTATATCACTATTTTCCCTATCGAAACTATAATCTCTCTCGTCGTCTGGATGATTGTGATGTTCCCTCGCGGAGGCTTTAGCGATAATGCTATCGAATTCTTCTTGCGCGGCGGTTTTTCCAGCCATCTTGGAAGTATTTATAGGAGAGCAAGGGAGCCACGAGGTGAGGTAGTGTGTGGATGTTTGGGCGCTGGAAGGATGGAAGGATCGCGTGGAAAGATAGTTAAAAGGCGTGGATTGGTATGGATGGACCTTGTAAGAGCGGGTGATTCCTTGTCGTATTTGAGACGGTAACGCGTGTTTATTTTTGAGGACTCGGATTTTCTTTTTCGTCTTCTTTTTATACTTTTGCGCTGATGATGATGTAGGTAGAATGTGCGTTGTGGTAATGCTAGGTAGGCTGGGTTAAGCTGAAATTTGGTGGTACATTTATTAAATAGTTTGGTTAGAGATTCCTTGTGCAAGGACCTTCTTGGCAGGAAAAAGCCTGGGGAAAATTGGTTGGATCGCTGGGTATGACCTGAGACTTGGAGTTATTGATTATGATTAATGGTTTGTATCAGACACAGAAGATCATATAGGAAAGTATTGTTTCATAATGATTTTATTAACACAGACAATTGGGACTTTTTCTTCCGAATTCTGTTACGATCTGATTGCATTACCTCATTGATTTATCAGCTGGGAATTCTGCTTTGCTTACCTAGCAGACTGTGCTTTTTGAGGGATGCAAATGCAAAAGAAAGGATACATAGAACTTTAGTGTACATTGATACCTATCTTTCTTTACTTCTTGATTCTATTTTCGATTCAGCCTCTTTTCGCATATAGTCAGAGAAAGTGCATACAAAATTACTGCATCGTTCCCAATTTACCACTTTCCTCGGTGATCGCGATAATCAAAGTCGAAGTGGAACCTCATGATAATGCTAGGATAAGGTACAGCAGAAATCTTTAAGGCTTAGAGTATCATCTACAGGGACCGTTCCAAAAACTAATGTACGCTTGGTTCAGGGGTTTTATGTTTACTGGGTTGATGGTCTTCTGTTACATTCATCGAACAATGCGGGAGAAGAAGAAGGGTAGGATTGATGATCTTTGTGTTGTATTGGATTCAATTCATTAGATCTTACAATAATAATAATAATAATACAATTATCATATCTGAAATGGTAAGACTTATCATTTCCAGTCTTGAATCCTTTCCAACCGCCACAATACCCTTTCTATCAATGATTATCGCCACAGACGCCTGGATAGTAAATAACGAGGTTGATGTTTCCGATGTGTCCTCCTCATAGAATATATTAATAGATATCCTCGAGGATCCCCATATCTTAATGGTCATGAGTTTCTGAGTAATATCTTGGGAAAAGGGAATATGTAACTCAATATACTAATCAATACTTCCTCAAGTTTTCTAGAAGCAAATAACCATCTAGGATCTCAATCCTCCTCGAGAAAGGAAAGGATAAACAAGAAACAAAATCAATCGGGTCTCCAACTCTCCAGGTTCTACCCAATAACTTTTATATAACTACAAATCATCTCATTATGAAAACAGATGATTTCGTTTCATAACCACATCTTGATACATCCGCAAGTTAACATCTGACCTTAATATTCCTGATATTATCTATCCACTTCATCTATACCATTAACCCAACATCATCATGATTAGGTACCTATCGAGTCATAACTCTACTTCCCCAGTATCCCGACTGAATCTCAATCAATCTAATCTTTCAATATATCAAACAACCGCTTTAACACCATCTCAATTCTAAAACATAGGTAGGTAGGTATTTAGATCAAAGCTTGAAGATCTAGGTTACTCATGAGTTAGGTAGGTAGCTAATGTATCAACTATATTATTTTTTTCATTGTAGATTGCTTAGTATATCAAAAACTTTCAGGACTTTGGTTTCAGGTTTCCAATTTCGAGTTTCGAGTTTTGACATTGGACTTTTAAGTCTGATGGTCTGATCTCTATCACCTCTAGGCTGATTCTTGTAAGCCATCATCATCGATGTCCGTCCATCCATCCATCCATCTCATTAGCATCGGCTATCCCGTTACAACTAAAATATGATATGCATATAAGGTTAGGTTAAGTTACTGTAGATTTTAGAGCCAAGTAGAGTATCCATACCATAGTAAGATCTTACATGCACTCTCGGACTCGTTCCTGTACTCTGCATATCATTATCTAGGCATTCAGATTTCTTGTCAGTGTCAAAGCAAAGTAAAACCCTTGTTATGATCTCATCATACATCATATCATCCATACTTCCATTCCCCATCTTCTATTCTTTCTCTTCCCTAATATCCATTTCTCAAACTTAAGATTTATCAGCATGAACATATAAACACATAATCTAATCAAACCTCCAAAGAGACACAACATACAATATAACAATCATCCATCATCCCTCATCCCATCCCACCAAACCAAACCCCAAACAATTCGCAGCCCCATCCTTCCCCTCCACAAGCCAAGCACACCAGCCCATAAATAAATAAACAAGCAAACAATTCAAAAATTAAAAACTCTCACTTTAGCCTATCCAAACTATCGGTATCTTATCTCAGCTTCTAATTATATATATATACATGATAAATATTAATCAATCAATACATTCAGTAAAGCCGACTATATATAAAAGCAGAAATAAAATATAATCTCCTCCCTTTAAATCCTATCAATGTATATCTCACACATCTATTATTTAATCCTATCATCATTTATTATAATAAGATTACATCAAACAATAGATATCTTATATATTATAACTACTCTTCTTCTTGTTCAAAATCATCCACATCATCGGTGTCTAATCATCCAAACTCCAAGCTTCTCTCAGCTTCTCAACTTCTCAACTTCCCAGCTTTTAACTTTCTCATATCTTACATCTTAGGTTTTTCTAAGATTATACTCGGTAAAGCCGTGTTACGATGCTAAACAGCTGATCAATTATGAAAGCTGGAGCCTTGTGCAAAAGCGATCAGATTTCATTCAATCAGTATGTGATCCAGGTTATCTTAGGATCATAGGCGCATACACCATCAGAAGCCATGTGATTAGAAAACCGACAAGTCGAAATCGGTTTTGCGGGTTTCGAGCTGTAGGGCTTTAAGCTATCGGTTTTCAATAGAGTATGGAGATCTATATAATCAAGATTGACTTCCTTTATATAGAGCTTCGTGCTCAAGATCAATCATTTAGTATACTCTACTATTAGTTACGAATTGCATCATTGTCATTACTTAAGTCCCTGCTTGACGCCTAGTTATAAACCACCTCGAGAGCCTAGAGCACTTCCACGTGATCTAGACGGCAAACTTCGTAACATAATACTCGGTTTTTTCAATTATAATATATATAAAATATCTATCTATAGTATATGTTAAAGTGAATGGTTCCTGCGTAGCACATGCATAGGGCACTAGTCCTATTAGGACTAGATTGAGAAGCTCTCTGTAAGAGAGCTTCGCACTTCCGTAGAACTTAGAAGAGTGATTAACCTACTAGACCAATACTGTGACGCCTCACACCTCCGGGTCACGTGGCATGACCCCGTTTGTATTTAATCACAGGAAAACTCGCTACTCTTGTTT